ATCAGTATGGACCGGAAAAGCTGCCTTTGCTTATCATAGGGAAATCGGCTAAACCCCGGTGCTTCGCTCGATTGAAGGGAAAAAAACCTCCAGTGCTACACTACTGGACAATGAAATATCATATTTGAAAAAAGATCGTCACTTTCGCCCGTCTGTAACTCCCTTGTCTTTACCGTATTTCTAAATATTAAAATTACCATTGCGTAGTCCTTGAAAAGAGCTTTCAGAAAATGTATAACACTAATAGTTTAAACCCAAAGAAAAGGGAGTTACAGACGCGCGAAAGTGACGATCTTTTTTCAAATATCATATTTCATTGTCCAGTGCTGTAGGTCTGACTCGTTCAGATCTAATTTAGTAATCGCGTTCCAATGAGTCACTTTTTCGATTTCATCATTCTTTCATAAACCGATTTTGAAAGCGCTAAACAATCTTTAAACGCAAAAGTCTCCATAAATATTGAACACTTTGTAGGCATGCTATCCGACGGATCAAATCGGAACAAACCGGATCGAATCAAGTCATATCGGCATTCAGATCGCGATCCGATCCGGGAAAAAACTTTTCGGATAGCATGTCTAATGGAATTTTCTCAGGTCTAGTGTGATCTCATTTAGAAGATGTCAGCTGCATAATGAGGTGCACGGTTTTGGCATAAAGAAGGAGTTCAAATCAGGTACAATTTTAAGATATATATTTTAAGATAAATCACTAATAATTAAATTTTACAACTGTTTAACGATCAATTACAAAGTTTACTTTATACGCACAAATCTCTCTTTCAGAACGTGGTAATCGCTGGAGAAATTATGTAATTTTGCGAGAACCCGAGGAGCGTTTCGTTTCCGCTTTCGTCGACAAATGTATTTTGTGAGTTTTGTTTTCGTTTTGAGTCTAGAAATTTCATAAAAAAAAAAAGACAGAAAAAGAAAAATACGGTAAAGACAAGGGAGTTACAGACGCGCGAAAGTGACGATCGTTTTTCAAATATCATATTTCATTGTCGAGTTCCGGGAAAAAGCTTCACGAATCGGCACCAGAAGATAAAAGAAGAGTTGGTTTTGCTGGTTTTTCTTTTAAACAAATTTTTAGGAAGAGGAAGAAACAGCCGAAATAATGTCTCAAGGTGCCTGTGGAGCTTTTGTAACGGCGCTAGAAGACGAATATAAAGGTTTTTTTCTAGCAGTAAAGCAGAAATAAATTGGTTTAGAAGTCCGACAAGCTGGCGTCTATTCATTGGGAAAATTGGCTGCGAATCGCCCTTCTTTTGCGTTGACTTGACAATAAAAAGTCATAGATGACAAGTTCAATTTTTGAAGATTACTTAACCAATTGGGACCGCCGATTGAAAGCTGAAAAACGCAAGATTCACATATACGTAAGGGAGGGGATGACTGTAGTTCAAATTCCAAAAAACAAACAGATTTTAAAATGTAACTTTAATATAAAGTTCAACAAATCCTTCAAAAAAAAAACTCAAAAAGTTCCGCGGATTTTCTCGATTTTCCGAGAGAATTTTATGTCGTCGCAATATTTTCCCTAATCTCTTTAAATGACATCTTTTTTTCGGTTATTGTACTTATTGAAAGGAATTGTTTTTTTTTTAGATAAAATAGATTACAAATAGACTACATACAATGTGGGGAACAAAGGAAAATTCCGTTTTTTGTTTTAATCTAATCTTCACCTGTTTTCAATGGGACTCTGTATGTCACAAAGTCTGCAATTACAATAAATCTAAAAAAAACGAAGTGACACGACACTCGAGTTGGTCTGGTTTCGATTTTCTGCCACTGAATTATCCAATCAATCATTTTGTAAGACAGAATTTGTCGAAAAGAACAGGTAACTTTGAGGCGAAGACTTTGCCTAATATAAAGTTCCTGCAGTTCAAATATTAGGTGTGTGAAAAAGTAATCCACGTTTTTAACGTTTAAATATAAAAGAAGATAAGTTTCGTTAAAATAATTTCGAAAGAACAACCTTTTGCCAACGTTCTACAAGTAAAGACATTCCACGGTAATAAAAATCTTGGTCCTTAGAGGCGAAGAAAAGATCAACCTCGGTTTTGACATCTTCTTCGGAATTGAACCGTTTATTGGCCAAAAAGTTAGACAGAGACAAAAATAAATAATAATCAGATGGAGAAAGGTCTGGACTATAAGGTGGATGTAGTAAAACCTCCCATCCAACACTCTGGATTTTTTGTCGAGTCTGTCAAGAGACATGTGGTCGCGCGTTATCATTCATGCGGTATCCATTTGTCCAACTTTTTGATAAAATTCATGGCATTCAAGCGTTTCCTTGCGGTTGACCCATCACAATTTAATGTAAGGCCTATTTCTGAAGGGGTTGAACGAGGGTTTTCGAGAAGACAGCGTCTTATTTGGTCATCAGATAAAAATAAAAAGCGTGGATTACTTTTTCACACACCTAATAGTAAGTTCAGTATCGTATCAAAATGTAGCAAAGAGAAAAAAAGACAATCAATAATTTCAAAAGCTCGAAACCAGCGACTGGATTGGAGCTTTTGCTGGATTGGATATTTAAAGCAATCTATTAGGGTGGTGCAAAAGAAAACCGCCGATGGGTATCAGCTCTTATTTATCAGAAACGAGCGATGTTTGTTTGTTTGTTTGTTTGCTATATGATTTGTTTTCAAGATCTATTAGGGTGGTGCAAAAGAAACTACCGATGGGTATCAGCTCTCATTTATCAGAAACGAGCGATGCTAACGGCATTATTTTTTTTAATGTTTTGTTCGCATATTTGTTTGCTATTTATTTCGACATTTGAATTTTTTGGTTGTTGTTTATTTTATTTAAAAATGCTTATATTTTTTATTTAGATCAAGGTCGAGCAAAAGTTTGTGCTACGCGCATACTGTTTAACTGTCTGCTTACTGTTTAACTTCAAAATTGGAAAGTCTGCTGCCGAATCGTTCTCTCTGTGCTGCTTCCGGAGATGGCAGTTTGTCTCTCAGGCAGTGTCAGACTTGGTTTCAACGATTCCGAGAGGGAGACGAGACTTTGGAAGATTACGAGCACGGTTCGAGGCCAAAAGTCGTGAACGAAGCCAAGCTGAGGGACGTTATTCAGGCCGATCCATGCCAATCTGCTCGAGATCTTGCGAAAATATTCCATTGTGATCATGTCACCATTGAACGCCATCTTCACGCTATTGGAAAGAAAAGTCGTTGTGGAAGATGGGTCCCTCATCAGCTCAGTGATGCTAACCTCGCATCTCGCATTTCATCGCTGGCATTCTCCTGAATCGTGCAAAGAATAGCGGATTTCTTGATTCTATCGTGACATCGGATGAGAAATGGATTGCATACGACAACTTTACGCGAGCACAGCAGTGGCTGAGCGCCGGCGAACGTGCTATTCCAACTCCAAGGCCCGAAATGAAACGCCATCTTTTGTTTTGAATTTACCGTCAAATCGGCAGTTTCTTTTGCACCACCCTAATATATAGCGATTTTCGATATAATGATTCCATTTCGCGGTCTCAACAGAATCGTTCAATCAAGAATCGACTGTAGTATGAATTTTTCCCTTTACATTATCCTTTATTCATTCTTGAGATCATCATCTTTAAGATTATCTTTTCAAATCTTTTAGTTAAAAATAAGCAGTCTCACGTTAGAGAATTTTTCGCTAAACTTTGAGAGAATTTGAACGTTTTATTGTTTCCTTTTGTTGAAAGGGGTTTATTTTAACTCGATATAACGATTTGGGTTAAAAGCCTTGCTTTTTTTGCTTCTATATAACGATTTTCGATATAATGATTCCATTTCGCGGTCCCAACAGTCCCAACAGAATCGTTTTATCAAGAATCGACTGTAGTATGAATCTTTCCCTTTACATTATCCTTTATTCATTCTTGAGATCATCTTTAAGATTATCTTTTCAAATAAATGCTTTAAAAAATGTACTATTCGAGTAAAAACTGGTGAAATTTCCGAAAAAGGAAGTCAATAATTTCGAAACTTAAGAGAAAATGGCTGTAAAACCAAGAATTATCGAAAATTGCCATCTTTGGCGGGAGAAAAGGTTCAAATGATGGGAATGATCTTCCCAGTTTGGGAAGATCATTCCCATCATTTGAAATGTCTAGAAGCATGACCCGGAACTGGTTGATTGAAATTTAAATCAATTTCCTTATCCCTTATTTCAATATTGAAATGGATTGGAAAGAATACGTTTTCATCATGAATTGCGTCCATTGGGCATCGCTTCCGTTGGGATTTCTCTCATTGTTTTGTATTCTATTTAAATCTTCGACATCGATGGCCGTTTATAAAAGATTTTTGATCTATCATCAGGTGGAATGATCTTGATAGGGCTTTCATCAAAATGATACAGCCAAGATTGGATAGACTCCAAAATTGCTAGGCCAGCTCTAGCTGCTAGCCAGCTCTAGCCCAAGGATGTTCCAAAAGTTAGATCTTCTTCTAGCCTGGAAGTCTAGAAGTCAAATCTTGACCAGATTTCTAGCCGTAGCTGCTCAGTTTAACTGCAAGTTCGGTCCACAAAAATCTTTAGCGATTAGTCGGATCTGGCTTCTGACCGCGAATTCTGGCAACACCTTTTTTGAAAACGTTGCTAGCAAACGCTTAACTTATTACCAAAATGTCAAGTGTTATATAGACAAAGAAAGAAAGAAAAAAGCCCAGCTAGAATCCTGTTTACGTGTGGTTTAAAGGGACTGGCGTGAAAGCCAGCCAGAAAGCGGGGCGCTAGAGCGTAGATACGCTAGCGTAGATATGCTAGATAGCGTAGATAGCGTAGATACGCTACCGTACTCCGCACAAAATGTCCCCTTTTGCCGTTATTTCATTTTTGTCAAGATTCCAATGGAATCGTGAATGTTGTCAGGCTTCTATGCCGAGTCCCGCAAGATATAACGCAAGATATAAATAATAAATATAACGTTGTAAAAATCCGGCTCCTTAAAATGTTAACTAACTGTTAAACTCGAAATTTCAGCTCGTGAGTATGTTGTTCGAGACAGCTTTATGCGAGTTAGGAGTGCCCGTTCTCTACCTCCCAAATCTACTCGGTTTTGCCGAGGGATGGCTCAACTTTTTGCCTGTTCAATACCCATATGTGAGTGAGGGAAATTAACAAGATCAACAAATAGTAAACAAGTAGTTCAGGCTCTTGTCGCCCTCCTATTGTGCCTCACCGCTGTCAGTGCCCTTCACGCGGTCGTTTATCGACAGCAACAGGTATTGTCAACAATAAGATTTCTTCATTTTTCATTTCATTTCATTTTATCTCCAGTTACTCCCATTTGACTCAAAAGCCAAATTGTCTGAATGTCAGTTGTGGTTCTTCTGGATATTCGTCTACGTTTTTTTGATATTCCCGCCGCCAATGTGCAGCTTTCTTTTAACGTATACGAATGTGGCAAGTGAGAACATTTATGTAAGTTAAAATATCAATTTCCCTTTTTTACAAGAACACTCTCATTTTAGCTTATGCCTCTCGAAGCGGCTCAAATCTATTTCGCGTACCCGGAACGAGTTTTCGTCTATGAAATCCAGGGGAATATGCTAGTTTGTGAGTTCAACTTGTGTAGAAGACGGTCAGAGTTGTTTCAAAGGCAATTTTGCTGGAGCAGTCTTAGCTGGATATGACTTCTGGCCTTGTCTTACATGACTTTAACACAGCGCAGACACACAAAAAGTCTTTGGGTCGACAGAGCTGGACCCAACTTCTGGCCTTGCCTCTCCGGTTTCAAAAACCTCAAGTCCGGCTCAGATTTGCATCTTCAAACGCTGAACTAATAATAAAAGTGTTCAGAAACACCAAAATGACCAAATCCCTCATTTTTCAACTAATATAAATCTCTGGCCGAAATTTTTCAAGCGACACGCGCGCCTGCTAAATTTCGGAGCGTAGTCCTAGAAAAGCAAAGCAACTATAAAGCCTTCCTTGACCGCATTCTAGCGACATGCTGCGTTTTCCCGTCTCACCCTCCTCTCCACACCCTGCGGCCAGGAAGCTGGCTTACAGGCTTACAGGCTTATAGGCTTACAGGCTTACAGGCTTATAGGCTTACAGGCTTACAGCCCGCCACGACGCCCCGCGGCAAACCCCTCAAAAAAAAGGTGTTTAACAGGAAGGTCGCGGTTCCCTTTCAAGGGCCTAGGAGACTTTCAATCGTCAATTTACAAGCACTCCCTTAACCGATTAAGCTGGAAATTTTTGTGTAAATGGAATCGAGGTCGGAGATTCCGAATTTGAGAACAGTCTCGAGAAGTAGCTTAAGGATTCTTGACAAAATCGAGATGGCAAAACCAGTACTGTTACTGGCTGTATTATTAATTCAACTTTTGAAATTTGGATCTGAAAGTTGCAAAATGGATAATTAACTTATTTTTAATGAAGATAATTCAGTAACAGTAACTTTAATCTATTTATGGAGCACGATTTGCCTTTTTATCATCTCGAATTATTTCATTTGGTCGATGCTCACCGCAATGAAGTTTGTTTTTCAAATTTCATTTAATAAATCAAAAAAAATTGTTCGATTTTTATGGAAAAGTAAAGAAACGAAGATTTGACAACCGATCGTTAACCTGAAAAACATCATTTGTTTTTCAAATTTTAATTGAAGTCTTGAGAAATCTTTGACCTTTGAATTCATTGGGAAAAAGGAAATAATAAAATCTTGAGCTTGACAAAAGCAAAATTTCTCCGAAATTCGTTAAAGATATTCAGCTAAACAACTGAAAGTTTAAAAAAAGCTCAAAATAAATGAATATTGAAAAAGATTTTTTGATAAAATTGACAAAAACGACAAAACAACAAAAACAACAACGAGATTCACTTCTAAACTTTTGTAAGAAAAAGTTAAACTCTAAAATTCCACAGTAGATCAAGTTCTAAAAATCAAAGAAACATTTTTGACTTAAATAGTGTTTTCTGATCTTTTGAATGCTTTTAAAAGCTGCTCAATGCTTTTAAAAGCTTTAAAAGCTCAATTTCCTTTTTTTTTTTTCAGTGTCTACGCCGATCACGTGAGCCCTCAAACGAGACGAATTCAAAAGGAAATTATGCTTCTTTTTGTCGTCCATGTAAGTGTCCAATTTTTTCGTAAAAAAAAGAGAAATTTTGTAACATTTTTGAAAGGTCAGAGTGGATTTTAAAGAAAAATTTGAGTAATTTCTTAAGTAATGTTCTTTCATAATTTTCGATTGGAAAAACATTGTTTCCTAAGCGAATTTTGCAAAAACGAAACCATAAAACAAAGAAAGCGAGGAAAAATTAGAAGTTTTGCTGGAAAAATGGATCCAATCGGGTTATGCCGCTTAACTAGAGTTGAGTCCTTGCGATTAGACGGACAAAGACTAGTGTTACTTTGTGTGACTTTGAAAGATAGTCAGGTAAAGTTCGGATCAATCTTTTCCTATTCTCACTTTAATCTACCTACCAATTATGGTATCAAATAATTTTTATTTTAAAAAATATTCAGTCATTGCTTGCCTTTGAGCTATCTTATTCGTGAAAACGTGAATGAAATATCCAAAAATAAAGCAGTATTCTTTAAAAGGTCTCAAAAGTGATTGTCTAGCACCGCGATTGGTATTTGTATACAAATCGTGGTTCTAGACAGCGTCGATTGGTATTTGTATATGTTGTGTCCGATTTCGATTTCCGTCGGATTTAGATTGAACTTATCGCGGACGTCCGATTTAGATTACAGTCTATATCGGACGTCCGATTTAGATTCAATCTAAATCTTATATATTAGGTTGTCCAATAAGTAATGCGTGTTTTGACACGATTTTCAAAATATCACAAAATTAACAAAAGAGAACTTTATTAATCGATATATTCTCCACAACAATCAACAACATTTCTCCATCGTCCGAGCAAAGAGTGAAGTCCGTCATAATAGAATGAAGCTGGTTTCGATGAGTAACATCGAAATAAGTAACACGCATTACTTATTGGACAACCTAATAGATTGAACAATAATATAAACATTAATATCAACATATTAAGCACGTTTATTATTGTTTGATCTGTATCGGGCGTCCGATACAGACTGTAATCAATAAAAGACCTTTGAAAAATGCAGAAAACTACAGAAAACGCTTAAGAACATATATTAAGCATGTTTATATTATTGTTCAATCTATATAAGATTTAGATTGAATCTAAATCGAGCGGAAATCTAAATCGGACACAACATATATATAGATACTTTATTCAGGACCTGAGATTTGAGATTTACTTTATTCAGGACCTAAAGTGCGCTAGATTTAAGATTAAAACACATGAATTCATACAAATAACATATGTTTATATTAATGTTTATATTATTGTTCAATCTATATAAGATTTAGATTGAATCTAAATCGGACGTCCGATATAGACTGTAATCTAAATCGGACGTCCGCGATAAGTTCAATCTAAATCCGACGGAAATCGAAATCGGACACAACATATACAAATCGACGCGTTTCAGTCTCCTCTACAATGATTGAATAAAGAAAAACCTTGAAAACACTAAAAATCCCGGAAAAACTATGAAAAACTGTGGAAAAAAATGCGTTTGGGAGTCTAAAATGCAATGTGACGGAACCTTTATATAACAGAAATAATTCTACCGTAGTTTTCGTCTAGATTACGATAACAATTTCTCGCCCGATAACAGCCAGTAAAAAAACGTTAAAGATATTCAGCTAAACAACTGAAAGTTAATTAACGGTTCTTTTTGGGGTATTTAGGGGGTTTTTCTTTCTTTTCACATCTTTGTCACCTTTTCTTAAGTTTTTTCGCCTTTTCTACCTCTTCTTTACATCTTTTTTTTTCTTTTAAAGTGTTAACACTTACTAGCACACGTAATAATGAGTTCCGAATCATTATTAATGGTTTCTAGTTGACGGTTTATTAGTTGTGCTTGAAAGGCATTTAGGAAAATAGTTTTTTTTTTTTTGATTTCAATATTCTATATCTAAAGATCAACAAGTTGTTTAAAAAGTAGTAGGAAAATTCTACTATCAATCAATTCGAATGAAAATTTCCTCAATTTCAATGATTTCTAAAAGGTAGGACGATGGGAAAGTATTAATTAAAAACTTGGTTTTTTCCCTTAGCTTTCATGAATGAAACAGTACTAATTCTACAGATTTTTAAGGACCATAGCCACAGCTAATCGCTTCTTGAAAAATCTAATGGAAAACAAAAAAGCAAAAGCTAACTGAAAACGAGTGGAATTCGAACCCTCGAGGGTTCGCCCCGTTGGCAAGAACACTAACACTCGGCTAAACTGGCAACCCGAGCCACCCGCTGAGAACGACTTACAATGCTTCGAAGCAAAAATCGGATTTCGCTGGGGACCGGAATAACCCTTTAAAAACTAATAACGGATTCGAATTCCTCATTTTCAAAAACCCCTGATTTCAAAATTTCAGCCCAATCGGTTTCGAATAAGTGCTAAATTCACGTAAGGTCCACCGGTGGGCCGTATCGTTGATTAGTTGCGATTAGTTGCGTCCTTGCAATTAAACTCGTGTTACTTTAAAAGTCAGCTTTTAAAAGTTTAAAGTTCAAAGTGAGGTCGACGTTAAGGTCATGGAAATTAGTCATATCCTTGAGATTCATCATCGGCGTTGGTGTAACCTTTTTCTTGTTTATCGGAAATGAGCAATATTCATTTTTAGACAACGGTAATTATCGGATTTCTGGCAGGCGGTGTGTTGGTGATTGTGATTCCATTTCTTCTTGGAATCATAAAACAAGGTAAGGAGGGGTAATCTAAAGATTTGCTGACGAGCTGTTCTCTAGAAGAATCTTTTGTGGAAAGATTAGAAAACAAAACAAAAAAATGGAAGCTTTTTCAAAAAAGTACAAGAATAAATCGTGATGAAATTTACTTTTTTTGAAAGAACAAATCCTCATAAAATTATGCAGTTTTGGGAAAGAAAGTCTTTCTTGAAATAAAATTAAATAAAAAAGTGAAATGAAAATCCACAATCCACAGAAAGATTGATTAAAAACAAAGCTATTGGGTTGTCCAGTTATGAATTACTATTTTGTAAATTTCTCAAGATATCGAACAGATGTATATGAGTGTTATATATCATTCGAAAGCTGAAGATCTCCTCTACATTTTGGAATAAACAAGCTTTTGAATTCATTCAACTTTTAGGGAGAAATTGACTGCACAAAGGGAGAGGTCGTTTTCGAAAAAACCCATTCCAGCTTAGCTATTCCTCAAGTTTTATGGTGTAAAATAGCCGCCCAGAAAAGAAAAGAAAAGTAAAGATGCTCTGAAATTGGTATCTTTTTTAAAAAAGTTGTGTTGATAAATCTATTGGCCAAACATCAAACGGTTAACTCAATTTGAGCGGAGCCAAAACTTGATCCAAAGGCACCCTTCCATTTTTTTGGCCACCTCTTCTTCTGTGCAGTCAATTTGCCCAAAAGCTGAACAAATTCAAAAGCTTGTTTATTCCAAAATGTAGAGGAGATCTTCAGCTTTCGAATGATATATAACACTCATATACATCTGTTCGATATCTTGAGAAATTTACAGAATAGTAAAAAGCGCGCATTCATAACTGGACAACCCAATATTTCTGTATCGGACAAACCCTTTCCAAATTGAAATCTGATGTTAAATCCAAATCTCTTAATGTAGTGAAAGAATTTTTACAATTAGCATCTTCCTTTCAAAATTAATTAATCGTAATTTAGACATGAATTTCTACGGATTCATTGTGATGAGTTTAAACGGGATTGTTGCTACTCCAATGTGGATTGCTTCTTGTAAAAGTTATCGGGATTTTATTCGTGAAATCCTATGGAAAGGTAGGAATTTTTGGTATTTTTATAGTTAGCGTTCAGTGTCAACTTTCATTCAAAGTAGTGGATGTAAGTATCAGCAAGTATACTGGATTTAATGCTAGCTTTCAAAATTTACATTTATATCAGAAAGTTTGAAAGTTTTTGAGGACTAAAATGCACATTTTGCGAACTTTGCTGGCAAGCCGTTAATAGAAAATTTTGCAAGTGTTGGGCTTACCGTAAATACTGTAATAGTACCCCACCCCCTCGTACAGTCGCGTAGTCGCAAAAGTTTTTTAGTATTTCGTTTTTTTCAAAGCGCCTGTACTTTCAAAAAAAATGCGTCTTTGGTATCAAAAAATAGCTGAAATTCAAGGCTATTTTTTGATACCTAAACGAGCATTGTAGCATAAACCAGTGTCGAGAAAAACGCGTTCAAAGCTAGACGACGCAACACTCCACACCGTCATTATGGGGGTGGGGTACTATTACAGTATTTACGGTAGTTGCTAAGCTCAGCTGTTAAGCTCAGCTGTTAAGCTCAGTTGTTAAGCTCAGTTGTTAAGCTCAGTTGTTAAGCTCAGTTGTTAAGCTCAGTTGTTAAGCTGAGCTCTCAAGCTCAGTTGTTAAGCTCAGTTGTTAAGCTGAGCTCTTAAGCTCAGTTGTTAAGCTCAGTTGTTAAGCTGAGCTCTCAAGCTCAGTTGTTAAGCTCAGTTGTTAAGCTGAGCTCTCAAGCTCAGTTGTTAAGCTCAGTTGTTAAGCTGAGCTCTCAAGCTCAGTTGTTAAGCTCAGTTGTTAAGCTCAGTTGTTAAGCTCAGTTGTTAAGCTCAGCTCTTAAGCTCAGCTCTTAAGCTCAGTATATATAAATGTAAAAATAACAGTCAACGATACTTCTAGTATAGGTAGTGGATCATAATCGTGTTGCGCATTTGATTTCTTTACACAAACTGACTCTAATTTGAGCACCCGTCTGTACTTATTTAATTGTATTTGTAGTTTGTACGAAGCGTAAGCTAGCTTTAGCTCAGTATAACTTTTCAAAATTAGCTCTCAAAAACTTCGCTAACAAGATCACCAATCCATGAATCGTCTAAATTTCTTTAATCACTCAAATTCAGCCTTTCCTCTACTGATCGATCCACCAAAGATCACCGTAGCCGATGTCTCATCAATCACAAATGCATCGGCTGCTTTACAAGGAAATCATTTGCAAATCCCGAAGATTTCTGTCACAAAACCGGACAAAGCTCGCCCACGGTCCGGTCGATAAATAAATTTCTTTGATTGCATGCTTTGAAACAAGAATTGTTTAATGGTCAAACATTTTTTCTGATCAAAAACTTGCAGAACGTGTAATTGTGAAAATCTCAAACATAGTGATTATCAAAAATCTCACAGACTGATTTAAAAAACTTCATTTCCAAATAGTTGAACTTTCTCACGCAGAAATGGATTGGAAAGCATATATTCTTGTGATGAATATCGTGCATTGGATCTCATTTCCGTTGAGTTGCTTAGCGATTTATTGCATTCTTTTTCAATCTTCGAAATTCATGGCCATCTACAAGAGATTTTTGCTGTATCATGAGGTAAAGAAGATCAATTTGTTGCTATCAAATGGCGTTTTGAGAAAAGGATTTTTGCTTGGCTTGGCTTACAAACTGGACAAATCATTTTCTCAAAAGCGAACCAAATTTAGAAAGAGAAGGAACCAAATTCCTAGAGATAAGGAAGCAAATTTAGAGAGATAAGGAAGCAAATTTAGAGAGACAAGGAAGCAAGTTTAGAGAAATAAGGAACCATATTAGAAAGAGAAGGAACCAAATTCCTAGAGATAAGGAATCAAGTTTAGAGAAATAAGGAAGCAAGTTTCAAAATTAGAGAGATATGGGACCAAATTTAGAGAAATACGATAAGGAACCAATTTTAGAGAGATAAGTAACCAAATTCAGAGAAATAAGGAACCGAATCCCTACTGAACCTAGTTTTTATTTTGTCGACCTTACATCTTGTATTGGAATTTTGTAGACTTTGTGTTTTCTATTTTGTGATCTAACTGAATTGAATAGCTTGATCGTCTTTTGAATTCCTTTATTCTGTGAGTATCAAAGTTCTTAGACAAAGAAATTCATACTGATCATTATTTCTAGCAGTTTTAGTTTCTAACAGTAAACTGCCAAAAAGTTCTCTCTGTTTCTCTGCTACCAATAAAGCAATTTCTTTTCTGAGAAGTTTACAAAATAAGATTTTGTGGATTCAAAACTGAATGAAATGAAAGTTTGAGAATGAATGAGAATACAAAACTAGCATTTTCAAACCTAGCTGTTTAGATGTCGTTGTGATCTAACTGAACTAGTTTAGATGTCGGATGTGACTAGAAAATGGATAGAGCCTTGAAAAATGTGATTCAAGAAACGATTTTCAAATCCAGGCTTACAATTTTTGTCAAATTTTAAAGACTCAACTTCTTAGCGCATTATTCACTACTTTCCTTTCTTCTTTCTCTTGATAGAATACCGTATTTACTCTATTAGTGGGGTCCTCTCTAATAGTGGGGTCGTCTGGAGGGGGGTTGAAAAAATAGTGGGGTCCTCTCTAATATTGGTAACGAAAGTGATACATCAATTGTTGATCTCTTGGATTAGTTCTTTTACTGTTTGTTAATGTTTTGTTACGGTTAAAGCTAAATAAAATATGAAGCCAAACTTGTTTTGTCAAGAATTTCGGAGAAAAATTGATATCTTTTCAATTTAAAACTTTGGTTTTATGTCCTTTTAAATTTCTCTAATAGTGGGGTCCTCTCTAATAGTGGGGTCGTCTGGAAGGGGATTGAAAAAATAGTGGGGGACCCCACTAATAGAGTAAATACGGTAGATGATAGATCTTGCGTGATAAAAAAGTGCAGAAATTGGCAAGGAAAAGTCGATTTCCAGAGATGAAAAATCCCTGTGTTCACTATCAAAGAGTCTTTTGTTACTTTAATGTTTTCAGTTACTTTCAGTTATCGTCAATGCTTTTCGAGATGACAATGTGTGAATTGGGAGTGCCCGTTCTCTATCTTCCCGATGCGATCGGTTTCGCCGAAGGATGGCTCAACTTTTTGCCCGTTCAATATCCATTTGTAAGTGCAGGGAAACAAACTAAATAAAGAGAATAGACGATAGATCTTGCGTAATAAAGAAGTGCAAGAATTGGCAAGGAAAAGTCGATTTCCAGAGAAGGAATTGAATCCTCGACCTTTTTCTTTGCTAACCACTGGTTTCCAATATGGTTTCAATATGGTTCCAATATAGTTCCAATATGGTTCCTTTGAGGAATTCGGTTCCAATATGGTTCCAATATGGTTCCTTTTAGGAATTCCGTTCCAATTTGGTTCCAATATGGTTCCTTCTAGGAATTCGGTTCCAATATGGTTCCAATATGGTTCCTTTTGAGGGATTCGGTTCCAATATGGTTTCTTCCAGGAATTCGGTTCCAATATGGTTCCAACCAACCAGCTATCCGGGATCTTAACTAGTCAAGAGAAAGAAGAAAGGAAATGAATAAATGATGAGAGAAGAAGTTGAGACTTTAAAATTTGGCAAAAATTGTAAGCCTTTCTTGTTTTGGATTTGAAAATCGTTTCAAGGCTCTATTCGCTCTAATGTTGTGTCTGACAGCGGTGAGCGGAATTCATGCGATGGTCTATCGACAACAACAAGTAAACACGATGATTTGCGAATTTGATGACTTGTTTTCATTTTTCAGTTACTTCCTTTCGAGTCAAAGCTAAAGTTGATGAATTGGCAGTTGTGGTTATTCTGGATTTTTGTCTACATCTTTTTCATTTTCCCTCCACCATTAGCTGGCTTTCTTCTAACTTACACGAATCGAGCAGGTGAAATGGTGTCGGTTGGTTTTCAACTTAAAATACCATCAATACAAATTGCATTGAATTTAATGTACATATCGTTGTATGTACATTTCATTGTATGTACATTTCATTTACAATAGTTTTTACACAACGCTATAGTTAAAAAGTTTAGTTGATGGCTCCAGAAGTGGTTGAAGTCTATCACTCGAATCCAGAGCGAGTGTTCGCCTATGAATTCCATGGGAATACCTACGTTTGTAAGTGAAACTCTACTTTAAGAAGAAATCTTGGGTTTTCGATTGTACCAGAGTTGTTTCAAAGGCAATATTGCGGGCCAAGAAGTCGGTCTTAAAGATCATGATCATGGTCTTACTTCATTGATTTACGTTAACGTCTTATCTAGTCTTAAGGCCAAGCTTGGACCTGGCTGGTCTGGCTGGCCAAGCTTGGACCTGGCTGGTCTAGTCTTAAGGCCAAGCTTGGACCTGGCTGGTCTGGCTGGCCAAGCTTGGACCTGGCTGGTCTGGTCTGGCCTAGCTTGGACCTGGCTGGCCTAGCTTACAGGTTTAAGACTCGATTTGAACTTGGCTTCACCCTAAAAGCGTAAATTCTCAATTCTTGAAACAATTTTAGTAATCGTCGTCTCCACTTACTTGATCAGCACAACCGGTTTAGGAGTCTTATCAACATTTTTCCTCTCCTCAATGATCTCCGGCTTGACGTGAGTTTTCTGTTAGATGTTAAGATTAGAAAGTCGATTTAAACTTAATTTAGCGCCTACACAGTGCACCTCAGTCCGCAAACAAAACGCATTCAAAAGGAGATCATTCTTCTCTTCGCCGTTCATGTAAGCTTCATGATGGTTTACTTTCCTGTTTTTATGAAATCTCTTGGTTGAGTGATAATATTGGGTTGGTGGAAAAGTCCTTTCCGATTTAAAGTACCTTAAAGAGTACCTTAAATTTGTCGAATTTTGACGTTTTATAGCTCATCCTAAAGCTGAATTCAAGACGAATCGATTGGTAAAAACCGTTTTGAGATACCTCTTTTCTAAAAGTTTTTACAGCTATTTTAGTAAAGGGCGACAGAGCCAAAAAATGGCTGTTTTCACGTTTCGTTAGTTTTCCGTGCAGAAACCTAGGCTAAAAACATGTGTTTCGTGATCAGCGTCAAAAATAACCCCTAGACACGCATTTTCAGAATCTTAGCAAAAATTTTTTGACAAATATTGTCACCGGTGGAAGTCGAACCAGCGACCCTCAGATCAATAGCCTTTCCGCCGCGATTTCGCGATTTTCATTCGTTTTTCTCGTTTTTTTTTGTTTTATCATTTTTTTTGATGTTGTTAGAAGGCTTTTTTCAGGAATTTTTCACGAAATCGTTGAAACCAATTCCGGATAGTTCGTTCGGTCACGAAATCGGGTCCATAAACGTCAATAATCTCTCGATGAGCCTGTGCGGCATTGGGTTTTCGGTTGAATGCATACAAAAACAGGTGTCACTGGTGCTCCTCCGATTTAACTACAACGACATTCCTGAATTCAAACGAGCAAAGAATTAGATTGATTAAAGTTCAATTCAACTCCAGTAATTGTTCAACTCAATAGATATTTTGTCACCTCAGTCCGCAAACAAACGCATTCAAAAGGAGATCATTCTTCTCTTCGCCGTTCATGTAAGCTTCATGATGGCAGCCGTTTACTTTCCCGTTTTTATCAAATCTCTTGGTTGAGTGATAATAAATTTGATTTTTTATACTAAAAAATTTAAAAGTAGATTTTGATTAGAAGAGTTTAGTGAATAAAATTTTAATAATTTTGAAAGAAAATGGAATGAGTTACATCGAAATAAAAGACAGAAAAACAAAAAGAAGAATTATTTTAGCAGAAATAAATGCAAAAAGAATTTTGATTGGAAATATTTCAACTCTAGCTGTAAGTAGAATATCAATTGTAATACTGAAGTGCTTTTACAGAACCTTCTTTCCAGATTGCAATATCTGTGTGAATAAGAGATCTCTTTCCCTTTCCAAATCCACCATTTTCTTCTTTGCACCTAAAGCTAGGCTAAATTCGGACTTAAAAATGACTTAAAAAGAAAAAGATGATCTACTGTCCTTATAATAAAATGACTTTCAAGTTTTAAATTCAAATTTTTAATAAAAAAACCTTTCAGACGTCAGTGATTGCCGGTTTTCTCGCTGGCGGTGTCTTGATCGTTTTGACGCCACTTTTGATGGGCATCCGGCAGCAAGGTAAACCAATAATTACTTCAAAAAGCTTTATGAAGTTCAATTCTTATTTTCTGATTACTTTTTCTAAAAATTTTCTTCTAAAAATGATTGCAGAGATGAACTTTTACGGGATAATTTTCATGAGTCTGAATGGGATTGTAGCGACTCCAATGTGGATTGCTTCTTGTAAAAGTTATCGGGATTTCATTCAAAGATTGATTTCAAGAGGTAAGAGTCCAAAAAAATGTTAAGCAAATGATTGAATTTAATGATTAAATTTGAATTCTGGTTTGTATTTGAGTATTTGATAATATTGTTGATTAAATTGATAAGCTGGGTTCATTGATAGGCTTTTACTTTGCATTTAAAAATGAAAACCCATTCTTTCTAATGTAAATTTTCTCATTTGCAAGTACAAATTGCTAAGCGATAAAGAATTTCGTCCGCCAGAAAGGGTGCGTTTTCAGTTGGCCTAGATTTACCTAGCTTAGATCAGCTTAGATCTGAATCAGTCGAAAGATGACTATGCAATTGTACAGGGTGACCAAGAATTACCGCAACACACAAAATGCCTGGCACAAAACAACCAAATATGCAACCCATCTCAAAAAGTTAACTTCAATATCTTTCTGCCGCTTACGCTGCCGCTTACGCTGCCGCTTACGCTGCCGCTTACGCTGCCGCTTACGCTGCCGCTTACGCTGCCGCTTACGCTGCCGCTACGCGCCGCTACCGCCGCACGCGCCGCTTACCGCCGCTACGCTGCCGCAGCCGCTACGCGCCGCTTACGCGCCGCACGCGCCGCACGCTGCCGCTTACGCTGCCGCTACGCGCCGCACGCCGCTACGCTGCCGCTTACGCTGCCGCTTACGCTGCCGCTTACGCTTATTTACGCTTCCTTACGCTTACTTACGCTTCCTTACGCTTCCTTACGCTGCCGCTTGAGCTCAACGATCGATTGTCGATGTGGAGACACTTTCACCATTCCTGAAAACAACTAATGTATTGAAAGCTAGTGATCATACCATAAAATAAGAAAAATGCACAAAAACCATAAAAACAGGTAAGCAAAAAGTGAAATGAGGCTCATAACATAATACGACGTTGTTGCGGTAATTCTTGGTCACCCTGTAAAGGTGGTCAAAGTTCAAGTTTGGTAATCAATTTAAACTATTTAAATATAACTAATGCTAACTTTAACTTAATTAACTAATTAACTAACTAATTAACTAACTAACTAACTAACTAACTAATTAACTAACTAATTAACTATAACTTTAACTAATCTAACTAATTTTTTTAACCATTCCCTTTTCAGCATTTCCAAAATTGGCCTCACGATCAACAATCATCGAGACAACCTACACAAAACATTCGACACTTGTTCAACCAATGCAAAGAGAAACGAGAAACGAGCAATATTAATAATTATAGAAAAATCTAGAGCATAATCTAATCAACAATTTAATATCTAATTTAAATTTTGCTTTATAAAATCAAAATAATACTAGCTTTTGTATATAATTGTCACTATTTTAGAGCTATAACTGGCAAGATTTCTTTACTTTATTTACCTAATAAAGTTTACTTTGATGTTAAACTTTAACATTGTACTATTTGAATGACACTTGTGATACAATATGTACACTTTTCTCAAGTAAAATCTTTATGAGTTTCCAAAAATCAAACCAGAAAACATGGGCAAAACACCTACGCGCTTTTTGACGTAAAAAAAACCATAAAACCATAAAACCATTTGTTTATTTCGGGTGGAATTGAGCGAAGATGCGTGCGTCGATTGCGGGGAAATGGATTGAGATCGGAGATAGAACTTTTATCCCCTCAAAAGAAAATAAGTATAAAAGATCAGCCAGCAAGGCGACCATTTGATATCTTCATCTTCTCGCTGAAAAATGAAAAACTTGGCTCTAATTTTACTACTCTTGGTTTTGGCTATCGTTTTTGTTGATGGTGAGTATTTGCTTATATTGAAAGAGGCTAATTTTAAATCATAAAGGATTTAAAAATCGATTCTCACTAAAGAAAGCAAAAAGGTTTAAACGAATTAAACCCGAGTTTCAATTGGTAGCCTCAATAAAATAGCTTCAATCTCCAATCTCCAATCGTTTTGAGCTATGCTCAAATTCTTGGGATCAATTTTTGCCTTAAATTTGCCTCTATTCTTGACAAAATTGTTTTGATGGCATTTTTGATCGAAATTCCTCATCCTGCTAATGTAATTCTAAGATATTAAACCCGATATTTTGATTTTTGAGAATCAATCTCAATTCAGACCCCTCCAATGTGACCTAGTCGGGTTTTACAACAAGTTTGATTCACAAAAGCCCTTGAGATAGTTGGCCCTAAATCAGATCTGGTTTTGGGCCCCGGGGCCCGGGGCCCCCCCCCCTTTTTTGGGGCCCGGGTTTGGGGCCCGGGGCCCCCCCCCCCCCCGGGGGCCGGGGGCCCGCCCCCGGCCCCCGCCCCCGGGGCCCCCAGCTTTAGATCTGAGCTCTAGATCCGTCCCTGGCTTGAACCCTTTAACCCAACCCAGTCTGGCTTTGCTGCCTTGTCCCTGATCCCTGTTTCAAACAAAATCTTTCAGCCGGCCCGAACACGGCTCACATTCGAGCGGCACGATCACACTCTCATGGATCTCACGGTCATCATCATCATGGTGGAAGAAGGGGAGGATGGGGACATCACCATGGAGGACATCACCATGGAGGAGGACATCGGGGAGGTGGATGGGGAAGAGGCGGACGCAGGGGAGGCGGAGGAGGGCACAGACATGGAGGGTGAGTACAAGATTTCGAGCTTGATAATTTCTACAATCAATGCAATCATAATCTGTTCGATTTAGAGACGATGGGGATAAAGACCGTGATACTCGAAAGCTATTTGGATTTAAGTAGACTGAATAAATCTTTTCTTGACAACACAAGAGTTTTACTTTAATTACACAATGAAGTGTAGCAATGATGCATTCAGTGCACCAGAAAGGGTACTTCTACAATCTTAAACACAAAGTACAGCAAAAATTAAACAGCAATTCTACTAGATTCATCTGTACAACGGTTGTTTTTCGGTTTTTCAGGAAATGAACGGAATAGTTTGTTTGAGTTTTGATGTGTTGATGACGGGGGGATAGAAAAATTATCAAATTTTTTGGTATAAACAAAAATTGGTGCTATAAATGCTCAGGCAAAACACTCGAGATCTTCCAAATAAACAGCAGAAATGAAATTCCTAATACTTTTGATGGTATTTCTCGTGTTGATGGCAATTCTTGTTGAAGGTTTTTTTTAGAAATTGAAAGAGATTTGAAGGGGAAAGTTTCATAAAGGCAACTTTATTACTTGAGTACTTTGTGTTGAAGAAGCTAAACCTTTCCAGCACAGTCATTCTTCATTTTTTAATGACAATGTTGAAAAAGTGAACGTGCACCAGAAAGGGTGAGCTTACGATAAGCTTGAGCCCAAAGTACATCCCAAGTTTAAGAAAACTTTAAAGATCATATCTGGAATGTCAGAAAGTCAATTTTCAAACTCTGCACAGGTTCTATTGTTGCTTGAAGAGTAAGGCATAAGGCCCTACTCTGGCTGCATGTATGGAATACGTCTAGGTGTATCTCATTGGTTGAGCGTTTGCCCGGTAAGCGAAGGTCGTCGGTTCGAATCCTGGCGTCGTATTCCCAGCCTCAACCCATAAAAGGACCAACTGAAGGAATACATTTTAGCAACTCCAAAGGACAACAATCGAGTAGCCCGTTCTGGATCTCATCGTCGTGGATCGCATGGTCGACGACATCATCCGGGCAGAAGAAGGGGATTTGGCAGACATCATTCGGGACGACGAGGCGGAGGACGTCGTGGAGGAGGACGGAGGGGCGGGGGGAGAAGGGGACACAACAGGTACAAGCTTTCAGCTTTGAAACAACCTGGGCTCAATCCAATTTTATTATCTCTAGCTATTGAGTCTAAATCTAAACTCTAGGTTTGACTAACTCCGGACTTACGGGAAAAGTTTTCGTTTTTGCTTTCGATTCACACGTTCAAACTATGGTCTAGATCTAGGTGCAAGTCAAAAGACTTCAGTTTTAACAATATATAAAGACATATAAAGGGATGGCAATTGTTATATTGACTTTAAACCAATAGCGATCAAGATCACAACTTCTAGCTTTAGTTTATAATCAAGATAACGATCAAGATAAAAACTTCTAGCTTTGGTTCATAAATCTTTCCTCCAATGACCTTTCCCATTTTCTCTTTTCTCTGCAATATCAATCTTTATTATCATAAAAACTTTCGCTTTCCATTTCTCCAAATCCAGGCCACTCCCACTCATCGGAAAGAAAAAATTGATAACATTTCTCATTTTTTAATTTAGCCGACAATGGGGATAAACAAAAGCACTCGACAAACCAATCGGATCTTGCAAAAATATTATTTACATTGAAAAATATCATTTGACACGTATCAAATAAAGTCATAAAAGCAGTAAACTCTGGAAATGATTGGACAAGAGTATAGGACAAGTGCATTCCTTTCTAGTCCATTGCTTTACGATGTCAATGCTATCGTAATCTTGTCTCAGTTTCTATTCAATCTACTCATTTTCATCTAATTCTTTGAGGGTTCACACGAAAAAAGAGAAATTTAATAAGAATTGAAATTAAGATTACTGTAGATTGACAAAAATTTAGCACAAAATTATAAGAGAAAGAAACTCGAATTCTTACTGTTCTTACTGTTCTTACTGTTCTTACTGTTCTTACTGTTCTTACTGTTCAAAGCGTTTATGGGATCTGCAATTTGCAAACATTAATGGCTTTAATGTTTCTGAAAACAAGTATGCCAGTTTGCTAGGGCCAAAAGTACGGATCAATTCACCAAGCAGTTAGCTATTACTGAAGATTTGCTAATCTGTTGTTTGTGAAAATATCAGCACCAATCAAACAAACTTCATCAATTTGTTAGCTAGCAAGTATGGAGATTGACCCAAGCAAAAAATCGCCCATTTCACGTGACCTTCTCATATCAAAAAGGCTTTTGAGAAAGAAAATGCTTGTTTGATTTGTAGGTGTTTTGAGGGTCAAAGCAAAGCAGAGAATTTGTGAGATATCCGTCGAATCATTTCAAATTGATAGGTATTTATGGTGATCAAGAATCTGTGAAGAAATTCGTCGAGGAATTAAAGGGGAATCTTTGATGCCGAAAAAGGTTGGATATAAAGGGAGATCTTTTAGATCAGTAAAAGGGAAAAGGCTTTTTTTCTGATGAGATCGATTGTTGTATTGTTGTTTCTCATTTCGTTTGTGGCTTTTCATGTGATAGAAGGTTGGTCAAAAATCATTTTAAAACAAGAATGTTTTGACTAGACGGTAGGGTTAGTAAACAAGGCTTCAGGTCCTGGCTTCAGGTCCTGGCTTCAGGTCCTGGCTTCAGGTCCTGGCTTCAGGTCCTGGCTTCAGGTCCTGGCTTCAGGTCCTGGCTTCAGGTCCTGGCTTCAGGTCCTGGCTTCAGGTCCTGGCTTCAGGTCCTGGCTTCAGGTCCTGGCTTCAGGTCCTGGCTTCAGGTCCTGGCTTCAGGTCCTGGCTTCAGGTCCTGGCTTCAGGTCCTGGCTTCAGGTCCTGGCTTCAGGTCCTGGCTTCAGGTCCTGGCTTCAGGTCCTGGCTTCAGGTCCTGGCTTCAGGCCCAGATATATTAATCTAAAATCTATAATAGTCAGGTATGCTTTAACAATTCAATCGGATCTTGGGCCAGCCTGCTCAGCCCAGACTAGCCTAAAGTCGGATTTAAGGGTCTAGACTGCCTTCTGATCCCAGAAACTTTCTGTAGTAAGTCCAAGTCAGGCAAGTTCATGAGTCAAGCTGGTACCTGGCTTTTGGTGGTGACTGAATGTAAAGTTTGTTGTAAAGTTTAATGCCACTTGTAAAGATGATATGTCTCAATTAAACTTTAAAATCTTATTTCAAGTTACAAGGAGGATTTACCATAGCTCTTATTATGCTTTATTTCAGCCCAATGGTGGGGTCAAGGCCCGGAGGGCCCAAGAGGGCCAGGTCCAGCTCCAGGCCGAGGACCCTGGGGCCATGGCCCTCCACCGCCAGGCCCGGGACCCCGAGGAGGGCCACCCCCGCCCGGAAGAGGACCCGGTCGACGGGGAAATCGTGGACCAGGAAGAGGCAGCTGGGAACATCACCAAGGGTTTTGCTTCATGGTTTTAATATTGGAAAACGTTTTTTTTAGTCGTGGACGACACGGGCACGGATGATGGGGATAGTTTCGATTTCGGAAAAACTATCAAAACTTTATGTCTATAAAAACTTTTACACTAAATTGGTTTCGTTTTGCTATCTACAGCTTTGAGCGAGTGTGGAAAAATGGAAAAACTACGAGTTCAGTCAAAATCTGTTCTAAAAGATTGGTAATCTGGATCTGAAAAGGTACCATAATCTGTCCTTCAGATATTATCCGCTCCAACGGATAAAATCATGAACCTATGACCTGTCATAGGTCCATGAAAATAGTTTTCCGGCAAATTGTTCTGATAGGATGAGATAAAGTATAACTACTGAATGCGTGATAAAATAAATGAACAAACCAGTGTATGAACGTTGCTTTAACCCTTGTGCTCTTCCAGTTTGCGAGAATTTGTTTTCTTAAAGTTTAACATTGATTTTTCGGTGATGTTTAGGGGAAATTTTGCATTGATCACTTTATCACTTTTGAGCGAGTCATCAAAATCTTCTCTCAAACATCTTAAAATCATCGAAAAGCTGCCACGTCCATTTCGTTTCTCTCAACTTTTACAAAGAACTTTAAATCATAAAGATAATGTTGATTCTCTTCTTCTTTTCAATTATAGCTACAACTGATCGAAGTAATGAAAAAAAGAAATGAAAAACTCCAAAATCATATTTACTCGTCGTTTAGGTACTAAAGTTTATTTTGGTTTTGTCGAAGAACTGCAAAAATTGCTATAAAAGCTCAATCAGCTGATCAGTTGGGTCAGTTGGGTGAATTTCCTGAGTGTGCAGAAAGAAGGAAAACTTTCTGAACATTCAGGAAATTCACAAGTGATCTTCAGATAAATATGAAAACCTCCTAGCAGTAGAACCTACCACAAAAGTGTCTCCATGTTTTCAAAAGGAAAGTTTCGAGAAGTTCCTTCAGTGCGAACATTTCGACCTCTTTGTGACTACCAATCCAAACCAATCCAAGCGACTAGTTTGATGTTCCAGGTGTTCCAGGTGTTCCAGGTGTTCCAAGTGTTCCAAGTGTTCCAAGTGTTCCAAGTGTTCCAAGTGTTCCAAGTGTTCCAAGTGTTCCAGGTGTTCCAAGTGTTCCAAGTGTTCCAGGTGTTCCAGGTGTTCCAGGTGTTCCAGGTGTTCCAGGCGTTCCAAGTGTTCCAAGTGTTCCAGGTGTTCCAAGTGTTCCAGGTGTTCCAACTGTTCCAAGTGTTCCAGGTGTTCCAGGTGTTCCAGGGTTTGGTGTTCGACTATTGTTTTAAAAACTACGCTCCTAAATGACGTTGATCAAATGAGAATCGATAATGTGACTTTTTCCGTTGAATCTTTTGATTGAATATTTGTGGAAATATGTATTGGCTACACAAACGAATCGACCGAATTGATTTCTTTCAAACGATATTTAAGTCTTCCTTTAGAGCATCGACAAATTTTTGTCGATGCTCAGATTCCAATTTCTGTACACAGAATTCAATAACTGACTCATTTCTTTCTCTTCTATCCGATGTTCGGCAGAGTGTCGTGTGGGTGAATGTTTCCTCTCGGGGTTTCCACGCTGATGCAGCTGGTGGACAGCTGCATTTCGAGTTTCTGATAAACTTCGACTTTTCTAGCTCTCGCTCATTGGTTATTTAAAATGAAATTAATAAACACAACAATGAATCTTTGTGTAAAACTTGTCACATGAGCTTCTCAACAAGGCTAATCGTTTGTTGAGCAAAGATTTAACTGAAAATTTCAGACAAAAGTGAAAGAGGTGCTAGAGTTTGGGCATGAACCTGCAAATTAGGGAAAAATCAAACACTCGAGAATACTAAAACTAGCTGCCTACTGTGGCTGTGTATGTTATAAATTTAAAAACAGTAAATCAATTTCTTTCAACGTGTTTTTCTATAGCGAGCATGAATAAACAAATTTACTGATAGATTAGCTGATTTTAGGATCCTTTTGAAGCCGGCTTCACTCATAGATTTCGTGATTCTTGTATCTCCCTCGATTTTCAGCGATTTTCTTGTACAAACACAAAACACAAGAACAAATCCCGAAGTGATAGTAATGAAGTAATGATGTGGTAATGATAGTAATGAAGAGATTGAAGTTTCTTCCAATTTTATTGTATGAGGAGAGCTCGAGTTTTTTGCCCTTCATTTCCTTCATCTTGTTCTTCATCTTCATGTTCTTCATCTTCATTTCCTTCATCTTCATTTCCTTCATCTTGTTCTTCATCTTCATGTGCTTCATCTTCATTTCCTTCATCCTTCATGTTCTTCATCTTCATTTCCTTCATCTTCATGTTCTTCATCTTCATTTCCTTCATCTTCATTTCCTTCATCTTGTTCTTCATCTTCATGTTCTTCATCTTCATTTCCTTCATCTTCATGTTCTTCCCCTTCATTTCCTTCATCTTGTTCTTCATCTTCATGTTCTTCATCTTCATTTCCTTCATCTTCATTTCCTTCATCTTGTTCTTCATCTTCATGTGCTTCATCTTCATTTCCTTCATCCTTCATGTTCTTCATCTTCATTTCCTTCATCTTCATGTTCTCCCCCTTCATTTCCTTCATCTTGTTCATCATTACCTTTGACTTTCTTTTTATTATTCACTTCGGTTCCTTCGACTCTTTGCTCTGAAGCTGAAATCGGAATTCATAAAGATTTTTAGTCGAAATCCAAACATTTTGAAGGCTGCTTTGAAGGCTTATTACTTTTCTCAGAGTCAATATTTTCGCTTACTTTCTATATATCCTGAAATAGAAAGTTTGAGCTATAATTTTATATTGAAAATGTTTGAATGTTTGTATTTCCTAAAAAAGTGAACAATTTGGAAAGGTACCTTTTTAATCTAATCTTTCTTTCAAATTTTGTCCGATTTACTTCATTTTTGTTAAGAAAATCTTCATTGACTCGTTGTCGAGAGGAATCAAATTCGGAATTGAATGAAAACAAAATTGAGTAGAACGAGCTGAGCTCTGAAAAGCTCTGAGCTCTGAAATCTGAGCTCTGAAATCTGAGCTCTGAAATCTGTTTCATCGTTTGATTGATTAGCAAAAGCTTGCTTCCGCTTTCCGCCTTTCTAGCCAAATTATAAAAAGTCGGTAGTCAAATATTCGTTTGATAATCTTGGTATCTTTTTGTTTTCTTTTCTAAATCTTCTATTCTAGGTTTTATCTGAGTTTCGTTTTACAAAGAGAAGCGCCGATTGGCGGAGCGTTTTTTCGCGAAGGTGCAAGAAGCTTTAAACGCGTTTGGGTTCACGGGTGAGTGTCATGCAAAAAATCACTTAGAGTTGGCTAAAAAATTTACTTTTGGCCATTTCTGAGTCTAGAGGCCGGAATCAGCAATCAAGTCTTTCTGCAAAACGACAAAAAGTCAAAAATGTCCTCAAAGATCACTTTCTTTCCCTTTTTGTGATAATGATCAAATCTTTGCGTAGATCTCTCTCATTTTCATTTGAGACATCGTTTTTTTCGATCGGCTCGTCGAAAAGCTGAAAAGTTCAGCATCAAACTCACAAGATGAGCGGGGGATTTGGGGAGAGTCTCGACAACGAGTCTATCAAGATTTTCTCAAGAAAAAGTTCTGTTTTGAAACTATTTGACCATGAGACATTGATATAAATATAATTTGAGAGAAAATGATATTCAGTCTATCTGAAAACCATGAAAATCTTCGCTTTCCTTTTGGCTTTTCTCTTGATCGCTGTGCAGATGGCAATTGGTGAGTTTTTTTTTGATTGAAATCAGCAATCTCTAAGTGCAGTTAAGTGCTAAGATACTCAAATCTCAGTTTTAAGATCTATTTTTTTAAAGCTAAACCAATTCGGCTCTTTTTTTGAATCTTTAGGTAACTTTGAGCTCGATTTACTCAATTTGCCATTTTGTGCAGCAAAGATTCTATTGAAAAAGGCTTCATTTAAACAAATCTTTAATCCATTCATTAGTTTATAATATTCAGTCATAAATATACTATGATTTTTCAACGATTCAGACTGTGCCTCGAGTTGGATCGGGTCAATTTCGAGTAGAAAGCTTCACTGACTTGTCGCTGCATTAGCTCTTTATCTTTAGCTCTCAACTCTTGACGTAAACATAGATCATAAAAGATTGTGGAACTCAATTCCTAACTAAATTTCTAGTACAGAACTTCTTTCTAGCCAATATAACTCTCTCAACTTTCAGCCTCACCTCACCACGACGATCACCGCGATAACCACCATGACAACCACCATGACAACCACCATGACAATCATCATGACAACCACCATGATGATCATCGTAACAATCACGGACGTGGGTTTGCATTTGAAATTTGAAAAACAAAGGTTTAGATGGGAAATGATGAGACTCAGTGAGACAACTCGGATTGGAAACGATTAAAACTATAATACTTCAATAAAACTTTGATCTTATCACAAAGAATAAAGTCAAAATTGAACAGCTTATCCATTTGTACAGAATTCACTACTTTATGTCAGTGTTAGGTTTTTAAAAGATTTAGACAATGAATCCTTGAGTCTAGATTGTAAGGATTGAATGAAAGTTGGGAAAGGATGACTTTGGGTTCTTGTAAGATTCATAAAAACATGAAAAGTCAACTTTTCAAGGTCGATAACTTTTTGTCGAGACAATATTTTTCTTTACTTTTTATAGGATTTAATAGAAAACATCTCAGGCTTTCGAGTAAGATTCAATAGATTTGGAAAGCTCAATGACAGAGAATCTCAATGACTTGGAAAGCTCAATGACAGAGAAGCTCAATGACTTGGAAAGCTCAATGACAGAGAAGCTCAATGACTTGGAAAGCTCAATGACAGAGAAGCTCAATGACTTGGAAAGCTCAATGACAGAGAATCTCAATGACTTGGAAAGCTCAATGACAGAGAAGCTCAATGACTTGGAAAGCTCAATGACAGAGAATCTCAATGACTTAGAAAGCTCAATGACAGAGAAAATCAAAGTCAAATCAAATGAATGCTATTCAATTCAATTTCAAATTGATTGAATGATTGAAATTTTTACCTAAACTTTTTGAGTCTTCACTCAAGAATTAGAGTGACATAATCCAGAGAAAATCAAGCTAAATCGAATGAAAGAAAGGCCGAATGTTTGATTGAATCGTAGCAAGGTATTTCAATGTGATGATCAAGCCCGCAAATCATGAGATCTCAGCTCGATTTTCAACTCCAGACAAAGAGGAAACACACTTCAAAAACAATCGCAAATTTCACAATGAACCCCACGGGAAAGAGGATACTTTGATAAGCAGTTGGTGTTTACGCAAAAACACGGATGATCACTATAAAAAGACTCACGTATCCCTCGCTTCAACTTCATTGTTTTGATTTTGAAAATGAAATTTCTCGGCTTATTTTTGATGCTTTTCGTTATTCTTGCTCAGATGACATCGGGTGAGTGAAAAATTTGCGAAAAAAAATTGAATTAGTGATTTTTTTCTTCTAGGAGTCGAATCCGGGATTCTGGGTTTGTTTTTTTTTGAATTTCACTAAATTTAAAAACCAATCAGACATTGATAAATGAAAAAAGCGAAAAGAAAGAACTGTGCTCATCTTGAGTAAACCGTTTTCTAAAAAATTCTTTAAAACATTTACCGTAAGCCAGTTGTTTTTTGGGTTTAAAAAGTCAAGAGTACGGTAGCCTTATACGTAGCAAATCTTTTAGATCAGTCTAATCGTAAGGGGCATGTAAGGGGCACGTAAGGGACGTAAGGGGTGTAAGGGGCTTAAGGGGCGTAAGGGGCATGTAAGGGGCACGTAAGGGGCGTAAGGGACGTAAGGGGCGTAAGGGGCTTAAGGGGCGTAAGGGGCACATAACGGGCACGTAAGGGACGTAAGGGGCGTAAGGGGCTTAAGGGGCGTAAGGGGCATGTAAGGGGCACGTAAGGGGCGTAAGGAATCGAGTGTGTTCCTCTCAAGAAATTGTGCAAAATAGGGGAACGAGTGCATTGAAAATAAATGGAATATCTTAGAAATTGTAGAAGATATTTAAGAGATTCAGTCGTTTTCGACCTAACCCTTTTCCTCTTTCACACTATTTCTTGTGGGGAACACACAAATCGTGAGATGATTGCAAGGGAGTCTGGTAAGGGATCTGTTTGATCAGAAGCCAATGGTCAAGGTCATCAAGTGATCAAAAACTCGACTTGCTTAACGAGACAGATCAAAAAATCGGATCGCGCAACTCAAGGCGCTTCATCTACCCTTCAAAGTATCGGATTTCAATGAACCTTTTTTTTTATTTAAAAGCCAAGATTTTAAGCTATCTAATGATACTCATCAATTAGATTTTTCTTTTGAAAAAAATGAGTCAAAAACCTTATCAAAACTTAACGAGACAATTCCTGGTTATCGAAATCTCGATAAGGTTTTTGACTCATTTTTTCAAAAGAAAAATCTAATTGATGCGTATCATTAGATAGCTTAAAATCTTGGCTTTTAAATGAAAATAAGTTCATTGGAATCCGAAACTCTGGAGGGTAGATGAAGGGCGCCTGGAGTTGCGCGACCCATTTGTCTGGTTAATTCTCGTTAAGCAAGTCTTCCCTGTACACCTTGCAAGGTTTTCAAAGGGTAGGTGCTAAAGGACATCTTCGCTTTAGGTGACATCTTCGGCCATCACCATCACGATGATCATCACCATGACCACCACGATCACCACGATCATCACGATCACCACGACCATGGACAGTGGGTTTTAAAAGTTAAAAGTTCTCCTACACAGTCCTTTGTGCTGAAACTAGAAACGCACACTTGCTGGTGCACTCAACTCAACTGCACTGCTTCGCCTAGAATTGAAGTAAAATGAAGTATTCAAAAGTGCACTAGAAAGGGTGTGTTTCCATTTTTGATACAAAGTCCCCGAAAAATTCGTTTATCAATCAAATTCCGAACTTTAGCCATCACTGAAATCCCATCCTTCTTCCAAATGAAATGAAAAAAAGAAATCGTGCACAGCCTGAATAAACATTTTGCTTGAAGTTCAAAAAGAAAAATATTGCATTTGAAATCAATAAAATTAGCATAAAGAGTTTGTTTCTTCATTTAGCTACCATCATCATGACACACATCATTCTCATCATGATCCCTATCATTATAACCATCATACCTACAATCATCAGTGAGTTTATTTGCATATAAGTTTTCGTTTTTCTCTTTAAAGAGTCGATCTTTTGAAAACTACCGTAATCCTGGCTATTCAAACTATACTTCGTCTCAATTTTCTTTAGAATTAACAGTGTTAGATTAATAGTGTTGTTAGAATTAAGAGTTATTTCAAAAAGAGATTGGATAAAGGCAATATTCGATTGGATAAAGGAAACTTTACGATAGCTTTCGAAAGTTGACACTTCTTAGAAAAGTTTACATAGAAAAATTTCGCAAATTATAAGTAAATTTAAAAAAAGTTTAGTCACCGTCGCTGAAAAGTTATCGATTTTGTATGGATTGTACCGAAAAAAAAACACCAAATTGACTCATATTTTCTTTTTTTTACTTCAAATGGAAATAAAATTTTTGCAGCTATCCGCACTATGACAATCATCACTATCACCATGATTCGTATCATTATGATTATCATCAGTGAGTTCAATATTTGAGTGATTTTTCGGTACAATGGGTACTCAATATTTATGAAAACCATTAGATCACTAGATTTAAAGCTCATTTTTGTACAAATCTAATGTTAAAAAAGAAAGAATACCGTATTTTTTCTAATAGAGCGTCGTCTAAATTCCTCGAAATCTCGAGAACCGCTTATCAGAACCTATCGATGTGGGGTCGGAAAATGTAGCTGACGATGAGATCTAGTCAGGGATTTGAGTGTTGAGCTTCTGGGAAAACCTTGGAAGCCGTAAAATCGTCATCAAACTCGGCTCGTCGAACTGCACTACTATTAGAGAAAATACGGTATATCAAAGACGTATACTTTAACAAGTTTAAGTAACTTTTTTTTTCAAAATTATTGTCTTTCGAGTTGATGTTTGTCTAGAAACTCCCGTGGAAAGTAAAACATCGAATTTGTCACAAAATTATGTCAAGTTTTCAAAAGAAAAGAATCAAAACTGAAATCTGCTTTCAATTTTAATTTCCGATAAATTTTAAAGCTGGTAAATAGTGAAGAATTTCTTATCATCAAAACAAGAATAACTAGGTCTGACTTATTCAAATCTAATTTAGTAATCGAGTTCCAATGAATCACTTTTTCGATTTCATCATTCTTTCATAAACCGATTTTGAAAGCGCTAAACAACCTTTAAACTCAAAAGTCTCCATAAATATTGAACACTTTGTAGAAATGCTATCCGACGAATCAAATCGGATCGCATCGGATCGGATCAAGTCGTATCGGCCTTCAGATCGCGATCCGATCCGGGAAAAAACTTTTCGGATAGCATGTCTAATGAGGACGTATCCATGTCCAGAACGGATTAACTTGCGAAGTCTATAGCTTGAAAAAACAGCTTGAGGCTTGAAAAGCTTGAAAAAAGCTTGAAAATACAAAAAATACCCTAATCTTACTATATTTAGTCATCACCATTGATTCGTTCAACCTGAAGAAACCAATGAACTCTTATGCACCTTGTATATACACTTTGCATCTTATTCTTATATTTGTCTTGATAAAATCTTATGTATAACTTGAAAAATCTTATTTGTAACTTATTCCTGATTAAACAGGTATTTCTTTTTCATGAGCTTTAATAAAACGATTGAAACAAGCAAAAAAGAGAAATTTGGTCTTGTTCGAAAACGTTTCATCTGAATTAGGATTGTTTCTTTAGCAGAGTTGAAAAAAACAGAGCCTCTCAAATCGATTTCTCCAAAAGAACAAAGGATTTGAACACTTTTAAGCACAAAAACTTTCTTACTTATCATATTTTGACTCAAATGAATAACTGTTACTGGCTACTGGCGGCAAACTTTCTTGCTCATTTTGGTCCAGGATTTTGTTCTAAAGCAGTTCAAACTTGTAATCAATAGCTAGTAAGTAATTGATTATAAGTTTGAAGTTTGAACTGCCTCGCATAAACACAAATTTTGAGACCAAAATGAAAATTCGTATTAAACATGGTTTTATCAATCAGAATAAAACGATCGATAACAGAAATTGAACGGAATATCTATTTAGAGAACAGTTAGAGAATTGAGTGAAGCGTGAGATCAACTTCTAGCAAACTTCTAGCAAACTTCTAGCAAACTTCTAGCAAAATTCTAGCAAACTTCTAGCAAAATTCTAGCAAAATTCTAGCAAAATTCTAGCAAAATCCCTCTAGCTTTAATAGTTCTAAAGTTTCACAAATATTAGATCAAAAAAATTATTGCCTAACAAACAGTTTAACTAAGATTTTCTTTTGAAAATGAAAATGAAGCAATCATCGGGAATGCTTTCAAATGAACTAAAGTAGGCAAAAAAATATCAATTCTAAAGAAAGTTACAGTGGTTTGTAGCCTGACTCGAGACGGACCGTACTTGCGCGTAGTCGAAGCAATCGAGTCAGGCTACAAACCGCTGTAACTTTCTTTAGCATTGATATTTTTGAATGTGCTTTAGTCGAAGCAATCGAAATGTGCTTTAGTCGATTCGAAAGCTCTTGAAATTCTCTATCTTTTGAGCTATAGATCATGTGAATCCGGCAGATTTGAGACAAGCTAGAAGCGTTTGTAGTTTACGTTTGTAGTTTGTACTGCTCATGTCTACTGTTAGTCTATTTTAATCAGAACTTTTCAATTGTTCACCAAAGACAACATTATTTAAGGGTTTCTGCTAATCGAGGTGTTCTTTTTTGCATCGAAAAGAAGTTAGTCTGCTCAGCTGGTATGAGCAACGAGTGTAATAAAACGACTAAGGGCCGGGGGGAGAAAAGGAGTAAAGATAAAGACAAAGTGAAGAAAGGGAGAGCTTTGTGTTGAGAGGAGGAGAATGATCGACCTGAGGAAGGAGAACAGGAAAGGGACACGAAGGGGAGGACAAGAAAGCGAATGGGAACCCAAGAGGCCTCTCCTTCATTCTTTCATCGCATCTTTGTCTCCTTTTTCATCAGCCCTGTCATTCATCGGTCCATCAGCCCGGTTTTTGTTTCAAATTGTCTCCATTTTGATTAGATGTCCTCTTTTTCATTTGTTTACTCAATTTTCTTTTTCAATCCAGAAATTAATTTTTTTTATTGGATTTTTTAGAGCTTGCATCAAACTGAAACACTTTTTGATAAAATTTGTCTTTCTGGTTTAGCTATGGGTAAAAATAGCAACGTGCCGGTGACACTTGAAACAAGTTCATTCGAGAGTTTAAAAATGAGCTGTAGGCTTCCAATGGGAAACATTTAAGTACAGGAATGTAGCCATGAGTTCAGGCTTTAATCTTCTATATAACACTTAGCACATTGGGATTGAATGCAACTGGCAACTGGCAACAAATCTACGAAGAAAGTGTGCTCATAATTAAGGCGAACTCTGTACTCTTTTAAAAAAATCGATCAAATAATGAAATTGAACAAATTAAAAAGATAATGAAAAAGATATTCAATGAAGTTTTCGCTTTAGCTCTTGATTGAAGATCTCTTGATTGAATATCTTTCAACCCAACATAAACCCTCACAATCTCTCCTGATTCCCCCAGAAGGACGACACCGGGGAAACCGGACAACAGCGCCGGCGCAAACACGTACATGTTCAACAACCCTAAATTGGGGACCACAATACCACAAGGATTGGCCGATGACCGAAAAGACCGGTAACGTTAGTCCCCCAAAAGACCCACAAAACTACACAAAAGCCAGACAACACCGCGCCAGCCCAAAACGCGACACGCAGGGCAAACCACCGGCCTTGCTCGAGACCACCACGAGGCACCCCAGAAACACACCTTGGTGAAGTACAACGGCGTTCACAAAGCCACCGTGCCCCCCACCAAATAGAGACAGACTATAGTTTGAAAACCCCTATACGCCGTATACTTGACTGATTCTGCTAAAAACCCCACCCAAGCGCACCGGAACAAAGCCGAAAATGTGGAAGCCAGAAGAACCCGCAGCACCTTACAAATCGCCGGTCCACCCCACCACCCCCTTTACATCTCGCGAACCGAAGTAGGGTTGGAAAAGCCCCGCCTGGACCCGCGAGGAACAAAGTACGAAACGTGCAGCAGTCAAACGCCTATATTAACTTTGTACCGCCTGACACGTCTTACGACTCTAGGTTCTTTCTTTTTGTGGTATGTAGCTATATGCGGTTTGTTATTGCGCGCCCTGAAAGTATATACCGATAAAGTATACATGGCACTCGAAACGTAACTTAAAAATGCTTCTAACTTGTCTCAAATCTGCCGGATTGACATGATCTTTAGCTCAAAAAATCGAGAACCTCTTTAGTTGAATGTGCTTCTGATTAAAATAGGCTAACAGTAGACATGAGCAGTACAAACTACAAACGTAAACTACAAACGCTTCTAGCTTGTCTCAAATCTGCCGGATTCACATGATTTATGGCTCAAAAAATAGAGAACCTCAAGAGCTTTCAAATGAACTAAAGATAATGCAAAAGATATTCAATGAACTTTTCGCTTTAGCTCTTCATTGAATATCTTTTCCTTTAAAACTTAAAACTTTTTCTTTTCCGCAACACTTTTGAGTTATTTTGTGATATAAAACTGAATTGCAATCTTAAAAGTTTATATCTTTTTATGTTCTTTACTTGAATTACTTTATAAATCACTATTCAGTATCTGAAGCTAAACTCAAAATGCACCAAGAATGAGGCCGCCAAATCTTTGGCTTTCGTTGCTAAATTTCTTCTTCTGTTTTTCGCTTGCAAATGGGCTAAATGTGAAAAAGTAAGTGAGAATTTTAAGGATTTTTTTACTATTTTGATAGTAAAATAATCGATAAATTTGATAGTTTTAAAAGTTTCAAAATTTTTTTTGACAATTTTAGTATCGATGAATGCGCGCAAACGCTGGGCAACACCCTTTTGGAGACGTTCAATCGAGCGACTGGAGCTGAGAAAGTCCCTACGGTAGAAGATTTACATAAAACAATACTACAACTAAAAAATATGCATAGTTTTTCATTTCTAGTATTACGGAAACGTTGCCCGAGTCGAGAAATTCGATCCACAAGTGGCGATTGAAAAGGCGAAGATTTCTATTGAAAAGTATTTAGCGAGAAGAGCAAAATTTGCATATGTAAGTGAAATTTGAATTTGATTTTGATAAAATAGATTAAATGTTTTATTACCGTTGTTTCTCTAATAGTAGTGCACCCCGGAGAGAAAAGTAGATAGAAAAGTAGATAAATTGAATTAAAACTAGTGGAGTACGGTGGTTTTTGAATGTTGTTACGAATTTTTCAATCATCCTATTTTCTCTAATAGTAGTGCACCCAGGCGAGCCGAGTTGATGACTATTTACGGCTTCCAAAGTTTTCCCAGAAGCTCAACACTCAAATCCCCCACTAGATCTCATCGTCAGCTACATTTTCCGACCGCACATCGATAGGTTCTGATAAGCAGTTCTCGAGATTTCGAGGAATTTAGGCGCAGGGTGCACTACTATTAGAGAAAATACGGGTATTAAAATAATAAAAGTAGAAAGGTAACTTTTTAGAATGCAAAGCTATCGCTCGAGTCGAGAAAGCTGGGACGAGGCTTTGAGGAGGAGGTTTGTGACTGAAAAACACCGTAGCACCATTGAAACAAATTTCAATTTGTAACCAATACAATATTCATAAAAGTATTCAGTTAATAAAACTGAATATTCTTTAAAAGTATTTATTTTGTCGGTCAGTAACAGGTATCTTTCACTTAAAACGTGTCAACTTTCAAAATCTACCGTAATTTTGTTCCTATTTTATTCAATCTACCTTTAGAATCGCAAAAAATATCAAATAAAAACAAAATTAGATATAAAACGGATTACGGTAGCTTTTAAAAGAAGATATGTTTTAGAAAACGAATTATTTGAGTGAAACAGAATCTATTCTTAATCGAGAATTGGATTGGATTTTTAAATATAATTAAGCTATATCTATATCAATTTCATATCTATAAGTCTTAAGCTAAAAAAGCTTGAGGTAAACAACCCGGAATCAAAGCATTTCATCCGCTATATGAGCGCGAAAACGGGCGGTGATGGTGGAGCGATTTTCAAACAAGTGCAAAATCTCAGCAAAGAGGTCGCCTACAATGCGACAAAGTGAGAAGATTGCAGAAAAATGATAAAGTTTATCAATTTAGAAACTTTGTGATGCAACCGAATGTGAATTTCTATTTCCTGAACACATCCTCGTTGGCGTCCGCCGTTCATTTACCCACTCCGATCTATGATCGAGGTAAAATTTGGGAATCTTTCAAGAGTTTAATGATTAGGCCTTAAGTTTTCATTAGTTGCAAGTAGAAGTGATTTCAAAAACTAATTTTATCAAAAGAAATTCAACTATAAGTAGCTTTGGACAGTTGCAATAAAGTAAAGAAATGAATGAATGGAAATGAGAGGGAATTGAACCCTCGATGTTCAGCTGAGCTGGCTTCAGCTTCAGCTGGCTATCACTGAGATGCTTTACCACTGAGCTATTGGTGCCTTCTTTGCTAAAGAAGAAATAGAAAAGACAAGGAGACAAGAATAAGATCATCACGAAGGTTCATTATGTTTTGTTTAGCTCCCGAACTCTTGAGAAAAATCGAATGGTCAAATATCGATCAAGTCTATCGGAGTAATCGAGAGGAGACAAGAGATCTCGCATTTCAGCTTTTTTGCTCGGAGGCCGGCTTTATGAGATATTTCCCAGGTTTGTGGGGAAAGTGATAGTTATAATAAAGTTATAATAAAACTAAAATACTATATGAATAGCACGAAAACTTTTATAGCAGCTCCATGGTTTTGGGACCACGAGACGGACAAGGAAACGCTGGATTTGTTTGATTGCAGGAATACGGAATGGTGAGTTGATTTCAGATTAAAACTTGGGCAATTTATTTGAAATATTTTTGAAAACTTATTGTAGAGTGTTTATTGTTAAGAGAAAACGAGAAAAAGTGCTTACCGTATTTTCTCTAATTGTAGTGCACCCCGGCGAGCCGAGTTGGTGACTATTTTACGGTTTCCAAGCTTTTGCAGAAGATCAACACTCTAATCCCCCACTAGATCTCATCGTCAGCTACATTTTCCGATCCCACATCGATAGGTTCTGATAAGCGGTTCTCGAGATTTCGAGGAATTTAGGTGACGCTCAGGGTGTACTACTATTAGAGAAAATATTATTTGTGTTTAAAAATGGAACCACACTCTTTCTTGTAACCTGGTTGGCTCTTAATTTATCCACAAAATTTCTTAAAATACATTTATTCACACAAACAACGTTGTACAAACAATACAAAAGCACAACCCTTAAGCCTTAAATGTAGGGAAACAACTCATAAATATGGAAAAACGTAATCTAGCCGACGGGATTGAACCCTTGACCTCTCGACTAATAAGGAAACAACAAATTCATACGGAGGCCGATTGTCCCCAAAATGGATGGGTAGGTAGAATCGACTCTGGGGAATAACATATTAAAAATTCAGCTACAGTGCTCCAAGATTACGGTAGTTATAACGATTATAAACATTTCGCTTTCTATCGAGGAAATCGTATCTGTTCTATTTGACCACATACCCTTTCTCCTCTGAAAATGGTTCGATGGTGTGGTGGTAAGTCATTAGGATACAGAGCGGAGACTCTCTAGACCAAAGAGGACACAAAATTAGCAAAAAAAGAGAGGCTTCAAAGGAGAGACCTCAAAAGAGAGACTCAAACCCGAGATCCTCCGCTGTGTTACTGAATGCACTACCACTATATCACCAAATTACCGCTGGAGCTAAGTAGCCCTAATATCGTTGCGGAGACAAACTCCATTGTCCCCCAACTCTTACCAAATATTAAAAACACTATAACTACCGTAATCTTGGAGCTTTGCAGCTGAATCTTTAATATGTTGTTCGCAAGAGTCGATTCTATCTACCCACCAATTTTGGGGGCAATCAGTATGTGTGTTTCCAAGATACAGGGCTTTTACCCAGTCAGCCATGACGAATGTGTAATTGTTAAGGTAAAGCACCTCAAAAACTGTCTGAGCGCATTAGAAAGGTGTGTTTCTACTGAGCACAAAGTGAACTTGATCCCTTTTCTTTCAAAAACTCAGTTCAAATCATGCAAATCTGCATTCAATCAATTTCTATTTCTTCAGGTACATCAACGGAGCGACTCGCTCGAAAAACGTTTTGATCATGCTAGACATGAGTGGATCGATGCTGGGTCAACGGTGAGCTCAAAAATTTCCCAATTTTATATGGGAAACAAAAATACTAATAGAATATTGATGATTTAAAGCCTCTAAAAACTAAAATTCAGCTACGAAGTGACCAAGTTGATTATCGAAGCCATACTTGAGACTCTTTCGCACAACGATTTCTTCAACATTTTACCGGTAAATGAGTCATTAAATTGGATAAAAAGATTGCTTTTTAAATGCTAATTCTATTGATTTCATTGAAAGCAATTGTTTTCAGTTCTCTCGAAACGCAAATTTTCTTGATGAGGAGTGCTCGGTGAAGAACCCGATGCTCCAGGCAACGATGAGAAATAAAAAGTAAATAAGATGAAAAATGTGAAGGATCATAGTCAAAACTGAACCAAAATTCATAGAACTCTTAGATTTCTATTGTATGATTGCTTTTCAATGATGATTTTCGATGATTTTCAGATATCTTCGAGCTTTTATGAATAACGTTACTTCGAAGGGAGAAGCCTCGCATGCAGATGCATTGAATAAGACTTTCGCTATACTCAAAGCGGTCAGAATTCTTTCTATATTCGAAACTTTTTTTGAGAACACTTCGGCCTTTCGATTGACATAGAATAGAGCTTGTTTGGCGCAAATAATCCTAAGAAAATCGAGAGACAAGACGCTCAAGTCACAATGTTCTCTCAGTTTTGTTGAAGAATGCAAATTCAAATTCCGTCAATCAGTTCCACGTGTGCTTTGTGCACGCTCGTAATCGCCATCATCTGGCACACCCGTTCGGTATATAGTCCTTCCCTTTTGGAGGCACTATATACCGAACGGTAATCCGTAAAGGGGAAGGAGCGGTCAGCAACTGAAAGCAACTGATTTTTGAGTGTTTTTCCATAGCAACAAAAAGTCTGATTGACAGTGGAATCGAACCAGGGCCAAATGGTCCAAAGTGTCAGCACACTATCCACTATGCCATCGAGGCACGCCGATTGACCAGTGCAAACGCGTTAAGTAGGCTAGCTGTTTGGCGAAATTGGCTTATATCTCGAAAACGGCTTATGATAAGTAGGATTTGAAAGCAGTTTCGGGATTCCCCTAACCTAACGAAATGCGATCCGACTTGAGTCTATGTCTCTCGACTCTCTTGGGACTATGTAGTCGAATCAGTGTTGTACGTGGCCATTATTTCCAGCTCGAGAGCAACGATGAGAACGAGTATGGATGTGAGAGTGTGATCATGTTGATAACTGATGGAATTCCTGAGGATCATCGTGAGATGCTCGAAGCGAATAACACTGACAAAAAGGTGTTTTGACTGTGTAAACGTATTGTGTAATCATTTCTTGTTTCAGATCCGCTTGTTCACATTCTTGATTGGTGAGGATGCAATCAACGAGAAAACCACTGTGAGTTAGTTAGACTGAATGATTCGAAGAACAACTGAGCATTTTAGGTAATCAATATGGCATGTCAGAATCGAGGCTACATGGTGCACATTCAGAGTATGGCTGATGTTGAGGACAAGATACAGGTTGGCAAGGAGTTAAGCAAATGGAGATTGACTATAACTGGCAAATAAAAATGGAGAGACATTCTTTGGACCGTATTGGAACCGTATTGGATCAAAAAAAGAACCGTATTGGAACCGTACCGTAAACAGACATTTCTCAGAACTACATCCGCGTGATGTCTCGACCGTTGGGCGCTCATCAAGACGAAATCGATGAGGCTAGTCAAATGTGGAGTGGAGTATACCGGGAGAGATTGGTGGGGCTTAGAAATTCTACCTTAATACTTTTCTTTAACGGCCAACTTGTTCTTGATAAAATTTGCTTAAACTATATTAGCATAAGATAAATTTTGCAAAGTACTATCTCTTTCAAAATTTTCTCAAAATTCCCCTTAAAAATTCACCTCTCTAAGTAGAAAGTACTGTAACTTTTATGCCTAAAGCTTTAGAAACTTGAAGCAGCCTAGTTATATCTTATGTATGTAAACGAATTTGTTCTAATACTTGTCAAAATTCATTTACATTTAGTATTTACCTCGTCGAGAGCGCTTCAACGAGCCGATGCCCGTCAACAACCAAACGGTAATGAAAGATTTGAATTTTTTTTCTGAAACAAGATTTTTTTAGTTCACCTACATGAATCGGCTAGCTTCGAAGAGAGTAAATTCTTTGAAAGTTTCAACTTGAATCTCAATCCTAGAAATATCGAATGAAAAAAGCTGAGGCGAGAAGTCGAATGTTCGTCACAACCGTTTCCTATCCAGTGATTCTCAATCAAACATTTATGGGAGTGGCGGCAGTGAACATCCCATTGACGGAGTTGAATCAACTGGCACATCCGACAGAGGTAGACAACACAAAGACAAAGACAACACAAAGACAAAGACAACACAAAGACAAAGACAACACAAAGACAAAGACAACACAAAGACAAAGACAACACAAAGACAAAGACAACACAAATATTATTAACCTAAATTGTTTCTAGATAAAAATTAAGAAAACAAGTTATGTTAGAGATGCCAAAAATCAATCTCAATCAATCAATCAAGCAGTTTGTTAGCGTTTTGAGTTAGTACTAACTGTTAGCCAGATTGATACCAGGGATTTTCCAGAGTTGAAACTAGATTCCTCCAAGCAAGACCAAGGACAAACGGTCTGAAGCGCTAGCATGGTTGGAAAATCCATGGTAGGACTTGGGTTCTGGTCTGGCCTGGTAAAATACTTTTGGATTAATCCTCTTCAAATCATTACCGCTTTTGAACAGTTAGATCGATCTCCTGATCTCCTGAACTGGCCAGACTTTGAAATGTGACTAACTTATACCAATAAACAAAAATTCACAGCTATGGCTTCTCTGAACTTTACGTGGATCAAAGTACCATGGTAAGCAAGAAGCAAGAAGCATCAAAAACTTATACCCTGCAAATTCCTTTACCCGGAATCTCGTTTGCTCAAAAGATTATGCTAAAAAGCATGAATAACCATGAACTTTTCACTTTTAGATTGGCGGTAACAGCTACTATTTCATGCTTGACTACAATGGCTTCGTCATGTTTCATCCACAGCTACGACCCATTGTTTGTTCTTCTGTTCTTCAGTGAAACGTCTCCATAAAAATTGTTTAGCACATGAAAACGAAACTCCACAAGCAAAACTACAATAATATGGAGATGCACGAGTTGGAAGTTGGACAAAATGGAACAGTTAGTGAGGAAAAATGATCGAAAATTCCCAAATTTCAGTTTAAAAAATTCACGTTGAGCTGTGGTGATGGGAAATCGCAGACACTCGATGTTCTCTTTGCATCGGATATGGTGGTGAGTGAATTTAAAAAGCAACAGGATTACCTCAAGTTTAAGGATCGAGTTTACCCACAAACGATGACTTATTACTCAGAATGTATCAATGGATCGGATTTTGTGCTTGGACTCGCTGTGGCTAAAGGTTGACTTTGACTAATGATTTTTGAGCTTTTGAAACTCAAAAGTTTCATTTGAAATCATTAGTCACCGCCAAAGATCACTCGACATTTCATTACCAGTTTAAAAATTAGATATATAGCAGTTGCTAAAGCAAGCTTGGCGGTCATTTGACTATTTGAATTGTTTTAAAAGTATTAAAATCAACTTTAGCTTCATGATTCTGTTTACAGAGTGTGGCAAAACTATGGAACGGATGTTTATTGATGAATTGAAAAGAAGAAAAATGAAGAGAGTACTCCAAGTGTTATACATCATTTGAAAGCACTTAATGAAAACTACAAAATAGAAAACCTAAATCAACAATATTGCTAAATCAACCGAAAATCATCTTTTTCAGGAGTTCAAGTCGGTAAATTTTTCCAAGATTTGCACAAATTGTTGATTTAGCTATTCTATTTTGTAGTATTCATTAAGAGCTTTTAAATGAGACCATATTCTCTCCAATAGTAGTGCACCCAAAGCTTTGCCTAAATTCCTCGAAATCTCGAGAACCGCTTATCAGAACCTATCGATGTGGGGCCGGAAAATGTAGCTGACGATGAGATCTAGTCGGGGATTTGAGTGTTGAGCTTCTGGGAAAACTTTGGAAGCCGTAAATAGTCATCAACTCGGCTCCTCGAAGTGCATTACTATTAGAGAAAATACGGTAAGCACTTTTTCTTCTTTTAATTCATCAGTAAGCATCCGTTCCATAATTTTACCGATCCCTGTATTGAGAAGAATAATCGGTAGGCTTGCTGAAGACTTTTACAGTATCATCATTAAGTATAAGACTGATACTAAACACTTTCAGAGTAGAATTTAAACTTAAAAAGTCTAGGTGATGAATACCGAATCAACAGAGGCTTAAAGTCGTACAACTACGGTGGGGTTGAGCTTGATTGGACCGAACAAGGAGAATGGCATCTTCATCCATATTGGTGATTTTATGAAACTTTACTTGTTTACAATTGATCAGGCGTTACTGTCTCCTCAACGACACGGACAATCAGATCAGCAAAGAGAACGCTTTCGCCAGTTACCTCAAACAGATGAAACAATCCGGAAAATTGCCTGAACTTTGCAAACCGAGACAGGTAAAAAGAAAAGGGGAATCAAAAGTTTAGAATCAAAAGTTTGGAATCAAAAGTTGAACAAAATTCCATGAATTAAGTCATTTATATTCTTAAATCAATAAATTTTCAAGGATTAAATATTTTCAAAAGGTTTCTCCAAAAGCTTTAAATCATTTAGTCTCTCGTTGACGATCTTATTCTCGATTTGGAAGCAACAGCTCCATTGTACAATGTTTGGCAAAAGGAGAAGAGCTACATGAAAAAGTAAGTTTTTTTCTCAAAGTACACACGATTTTCGATATCCAGTAGATTTTTCAAGAAAATGAGTACGTTTTCCAAGAAAAGCAAAGAGAAGGGAAGTTTTTATGCCCCAGAAACGGCGGGCTTATCATTCTTGAGCAGTACGCTAAAGTGCTTAACAAAAAAGTTACCCTAAAGTCGCGAGTATAAGTTCTGTTTGGTTTTCGCATGCAAATTGACGGCTGTCTCCGGTGCGGTGTGTCGAGGGTTCGAACCCCGCTGTAGCATAACTTTTTTGCTTTTTAAGAACAATAATAGAAGTAAATTTATTGAGGGTTATAGCAATTTTATGCTGTAATTTGTTGCTTCGGGCGTGGCTCGGCGCGTCCGCCCTGCTCCTCTCCGGTGCTCAGTCTTATGGATCTCTCCCTGGCCTCTTCATCCGGCCAAAGTCCACGTCGACGGTCGAAAGAGATGCTTTCCAGCGTCTTCTTCAACACTATCGTCTGGATGTATCCATGCACATAACAAATAGCAATGGTGATAGGCTGTCACCCTGTAGTATCCCGCGTTCCAAGAACCATAATATAAAAGTTTATATAGCAATAAAAATGTATAAAAACCCAACAAAAAGAAATTCAAAGCAATTAAAGCGAATGTAAATTAAGGCAGAACTTATACTCGAGACTTTAGGGTACCTAGTTTGTTTAAATACTGAAACTTTAAGAAATCTCATCCATCTCACCTTCTTCTCAATGCAATCCGGCCTCATTCGTTTCTACAATTATACACTGAAACCATTTTTGTACGATGAGAAAAACTATGACAAGTTCAACGTCATGCAAATGACTCAGGGGAAAAATCTGCGACCTGATGAAGTTCGATTCCAAGAGTAAATCAAATTTGAAGATTTTTGAATAAGTTTTTATAGAACTTATCAGCATTTCATCCTTGACAACAATCGAAAATCGGTCGAGGATCGGTATTTCCGACGATCGATTCGACAGAAGAGCAAGATCGTTTTTGATATCAATAATCAGAGTGAGTGAATGAGAAATTTCGATATACAGTGCCGGACAAAATTATAGAATCTTTACAATGGAAACTTATCAAAAGACTAGAGTGTAAAAGTAGTTTAGCAGAAGATATGCTAGTGAGACCAAGTTTTTAAGGTTTTAAAACGTCAAAGATTGTTTCTAGAATTAAAGAAAAAAAACTCCCATGCATGGGAGTTTTAAAAGAGCAGTAAATAACAAGAAAAATCGGACAAATGGACAAATGCGACCTTTTTTTTGCGCACCTGGACACTTGCGCACCTTTTTTTGCTGGAAAAGGCCTTAGGCAAGGCCGTAGAGCTTCGAAAATATTTCCATATAAAGGGAAAAAAGGCAAAAACTGCGGAAAAGCGTTAAGTTGCCTAGTTTTTGCCTTTTGGCCCAAATTTGACGTGCAGAGTCTGATTTGTCGAAATTCGGACCTACGCCGATCTTATATGGAAATATTTGGCCTAGGCTGCCTAAGGCCTTTCCAGCAAAAGTAGCATTTGTTCCACCCCCGGAAAATCTTAATTTCGCTCGAAATATGACTTTCCATTATATTAGGTTGATGCATAAGGGTTTTCGTTTTTTTCGTACTTCTGTTAAAAAGTAACAAATTCACCAATTAATCTATAGTTTGCTCTATAAAAAAAGTGTTTTTTGTTCAATTTGCATCTTTTTAAATGAATTTCGGTTCACTTTGAAGCAAATTCGAGAGTGAAAAACGCCTTTTTCGTAAAAATCTATAAAAAACTCTACGGAAAAATTGGCTGAATGAATTTCTCTGAAATTTTGGCGAAATATCAAACGTTTTTTTTCTCTATCTTTTATCTATTGACACGAAGATAGGTTTTCTTTAGCTAAGGTGTCTAAACCGCATCATCGAGTTAGCCCTTTTTGACTACCCGACTTCATACTCTCAAGAAAATCCAGGCATTAAATATTTTTAAACCCGTTTTAATGTTATTTTGCAGAAAAATAATTGGTTTTTCTAATGAAATCAACCGTAGTTTAATTGGTGCATTTGTTGGCTTGAAACGGCAGACGAAAAGGAACAAAAACACTTATGCATCAACCTAATACTAAAAAATGCCGAGTACGGTATTTCTTCATGCTTTAGCGAGCAAAAAGTTGTCAAATTGCACTTTTGGATTTAAACTGTTATAACTTGTTACAGGTATATCCAATTTTTGTACGGTTTCTTTTAAAATGAAGATCCTATTCTGGGCAACTAAATTTATCCCTTGATAACACATAATTTTCTGTTTTTGATGAGATATGGGCATCAGAAGGCTTAGACCATTTTGGAGTTTTACACTAAAAACATGCATTCATTTTTCGCTCAAATGAAAGACCAAGTCTTTATACAGTTTTAGTCAAATTTTCAGCCATATCCCTCCAGCTGTTTTTTCTAAATGTTTCAAATTTGTTCGAAAAGTCTCTCAAATGAGCAAATACCATTATTTTAATGCATTCTTCAAAAAAAAAAATTCTGAAAAAATGGTTGAAGGGATTTGGCTGAGAATTTGCTGACATATTCAAAAAGATTTATTCAAAAGTTCGAGTAAAAAACATTCCAAATCGATTCCACAAGTAAGGTCAAACGTCGACGAGTTTCAATTTTTGACGATCCTGACTCCTCTTTGCGTCCCCCAAAAACCCCAAAACAAAGGCAATTTTTCACGGATCCAAAGACAAGTAGTCAAAATCGCTAAAAATCGTTCAGTTGGGAACTTTTTCGATGGAAAGTTAGTTTCTAGAATTGAAAAAAAAACTCCCATGTCTCCTCCTTGAAGAATTAAAGACCTAAAGTTGCGAAAAATGTAGGAAATTTTGCTTTTACTTGACAAACGTGGTTTCATTAGCATATCTTCTGTTAAATTTCTTTCGCATTCCAATCTTTATTTCCAAATTTCCAATGTAAAGGTTCTATAAATTTTGTCCGGTAAAGTTTGTTAAGAAAAAGTTTGTATGAAAAAGTCCGTGCTCTTTGTTTACTTTGAGTTACTACGTTAGATTCATGAAAAAATAATAACTGAACTTTGGACTTTTGCTTAATTTCAAGAATGAACTGGTCATTTTCCTCTAAAAACTCTTGATCCTATAATTTTGTCCGACACTGTATCAGTGATTAAGCGCTGAAGTACCGTTAACCGTTTTGAAAATTGAATATACCAGCTGCTAAAGGGTATGGCTACCGAGCACTCTTGACTACCGTACCTAAGTACTCTTGGCTACAGTACGCAGTCTTTAGTAAGCATAGTTGTTGACAGACAGATAATCCTATTACTTTTATGCCTAGAAAACATATCTAACTTGTATCTAACTTTTAGCAAAATTGTGGTACCCGATGGGTGAGACGAAATCCGCGTATGGGAATCTCGAAAATGTCACTCTGCTTGGCCAAGCGACAAAGGCGCTTTACAAGGTAAGCCTGAGTAGAGTGTGCTCCTTGTTGACAGACAATTTGTCAGACAAATTTTCCTTGACAACTTTTTTGTGTCAGACAATTGATCCGACAAACTTCCGACAAGATTTTCCGACAAAATTTGCAAACTTTTCTTTAAATGTAGTAATGGATAGTTTTATTTAAGGATTTAGGTTTTTTATCTTTTTTGGAATGGTTCTAGTGCAAATGTAGACAATAGGCCTGGTAAATTCGTAAATAATATAATTTTTTAATAGTGTTTCTTAACTTTTCCCGTTTTAAATGTTTTCTTTAATTTTACATAGCATTTAAAAATTTTTAAGTTTTAGCGAAAGAGTAATAGAGTTAAGGAAAGAGTAATAGGGTTAAGGAAAGGGTAATAGAGTTAAGGAAAGAGTACCCTAAAGTCGCGAGTATAAGTTCTGTTTGGTTTTCGCATGCAAATTGACGGCTGTCTCCGGTGTGGTGTGTCGAGGGTTCGAACCCCGCTGCAGTATAACTTTTTTGCTTTTTAAGAACAATAATAGAAGTAAATTTATTGAGAGTTATAGCATGGTTTTATGCTGTTATTTGTTGCTCCGGGCGTGGCTCGGCGTGTCCGCCCTGCTCCTCTCCGGTGCTCAGTCTTATGGATCTCTCCCTGGCCTCTTCATCCGGCCAAAGTCCACGTCGACGGTCGAAAGAGATGCTTTCCAGCGTCTTCTTCAACACTATCGTCTGGATGTATCCATGCACATAACAAATAGCAATGGTGATAGGCTGTCACCCTGTAGTATCCCGCGCTCCAAGAACGATAATATAAAAGTTTATATAGCAATAAAAATGTATAAAAACCCAACAAAAAGAAATTCAAAGCAATTAAAGCGAATGTAAATTAAGGCAGAACTTATACTCGGATCAACTTATACTCGAGACTTTAGGGTAATAGAAAAAAAGAGCGCACGATTTTAATGTGCATTTGCATTTTGAAAAATTTGCTGATGCAAAGCATAGGGTTACGGTAGCCTATCCTTGGCGCGCGCTTTTTAGAAAACGCGTTGTCTGCAAGGAACACACTCTAAGCCTGAGTACAGTTGAAAGAATCGATAAACAGTTAGTGTCAGGGTACGCTAGTCGGTTGAGATCCTAACTCTGATTCAAACATGAATTCAGGAGAATGCTCTTCTTGGCGTCATCGGTTTTGAGTTTGTGATGGATTGGCTTGTGAATATTATGACAGAACACGGATGTCCACCATCGGTAACCTGCTTTTGTACTTTGTACTCTGTAAACGCATCCTTCCTGGCGCACTTTTCCTCGTTTTCTTGCAGATTCACTGCACCAGAAATGATGTGTTTACAATTTTTGAGCCCAAAGTCTAGTACAAAATGAACTTTTCAAGGATTGGCAACATTGGTGTGTGCTGTTGGACGAGAACGGCTACGTCGTCTACAGTAATGAGATCACCACCTCCTACAAAAACGCTTACATGTGAGATTCCCGATAGCTTATAAATTAAAACTCAATTTTTACACTTTTCTATTTCTTTAGGGATCTCCGTGGAGGTGATTCTCATTTGGGAATCTTTTTCGCTCACATCAATCGAGTCGCTGAAAGGGCTATGGAGTTGCTTGTCAAGAGTGGATTCTACAAAAAGTAATTCTTTAAAAAATTCAACACTATAGATTAGTTATCCATGGCTGTAGTGATTATTGTTGGTTTAGATATAATCTTTATTACAGCAATAATAGTTGGTTCAGTGGTTTGGGATTGGGAGAGTAGAGACGACTCCACGGCACCTGTCGGCAGCTCGTTCACATTGCTTTTATACGGAACTCAGGCGTTAGTCTCGTCTTGCACACAATGGAGTTGAACGGATAGCGACACATATTAAATCTCGCACAATAGGCGTTCGTCCACATAGTTGCCTAGCTGGTCATTTCCATACGTGGCGATCTCGATCACGAGATCGTCACGACAATGGCCAAAAATTGATTGCCAAGTCTCTAGACCGATCCACAAAAATGCAAAAAGCTTACGGCACTAGGGATTCCCAAGCTGTCTCCGATCTAAGTACTAACCGAGCCCAAAGTTTATCGGACGGACGATCGGACGGGGCATGATTGTAAGCTAATGGGCAGCTGTGAGAGACGATGAAAATAGGCGACCGCTCGACACGACTGTGCGTACCTTTCGTGTGTCTCCTAGGAAAAAGTGGCATCTGGCACACAGCTCGACCGAATAGCGCGACGGAGACCTCAATCTTTGGTTTAATTACCCAAGTTTGAGGTTAGCATTAACCCAGAGACCCACATAAAGTGTCTCGCGAAATTTTGAAACGCGTTCCCGTTAGGAATGCACAAATAAACCCAGTTAAATTAAATGTGAGTTGAAGCTTTGATGCTACGATTTCATTTTTATCGTGATTTATCAAGAAATGTGTCAACTCTTCACTTCACTTTTAGTGAAACGGCGCGAAACCACACGGAGATCGTCCAACATACTGGAGAAAATTTTGAAATATAAGGGTTCTTCTAGCGCTGAAAATTGATTCCCGTTAAACAAACGAGTTTTTAGCCCTTCTTTTAAGCTTTGTTTGACAAGAAAAAGCTGAAATCAAAAATTTTTCACAAAAACAAAAGTTTGGGCCAGTCCGGGGATTGAACCCGGGACCTCTCGCACCCTAAGCGAGAATCATACCACTAGACCAACTGGCCGCGAATGGGATGGTTAAAATTGGGCTAATGTTCGCATTGCCTGCAGGGAAAGCCGGTTTAGATTTGAAGGGTTTTTTGATCGGAGAAAAAGAGGCATAAATGGGGATTTACAAATGAACTAACCTTATGAAATAAGTCCTTAAACTTTTGTTTAGGCTTTAATGCTTTATTTCATTTTTGAATCAGCCATTCAGGTACATCTACTACGATCACCAGGCCACTTGTCGAAAACCAAAAACGATCACCATGAGCAGCACGATGATGAAAGTAAATTAAAAGCGGAAAGGCAAAACTAAGCATTTTTCAGCCATTTCACACAATTTTCCGGTGGTTTTTGAGGACTTTAAGCTCTTTAATCTACTCGGCCAAAGAGCTTTCACTTTTCCCGTTCTTTCACGCATTTGTCGGAACGACTGAAGGTAAATAAAAATAGATCTAAATAATAATCTGGCATTTAACTGTAGCTTTTATCAACTTCGATGCAAATTTAGGTTATGCTGCTTCATTTCATACCGGTCATGAGGGTTTCCCGTGCACAAAGGAAAGTCCATTCTATTTTGCGCAAATGGAGACGAAATTTCGATGTGAGTTTATGCAATAATTGTTTAAAAGCTCAAATTAAACTGTAATTAAATAGTGAACGCAAGAAAATATAGATTTATCTTGAAATTTCAAAGAGTGTTATTAATTTAGCGGCCGATCTCGTCGATGGAGGACAAATTGAGAAACCTTGTACGAACACAAAGTGCCGTGTGTGGGTTACTTTTCAGAAAAAAAAATGAGAATCTTCTCAATTCTGCTAAATTAAATGCAAAAAAAGGTTTATTAGTAAATTGATCGGTTTACAATTTTGTAGTTTTTATTTCCAAGTCCAATAGTCCAGCAAACGTTTCTATTCAGCACCAATCTTTAAAAGCTGCCTTACTTACTGCCTTACTTACTGCCTTACTTACTACCTTACTTACTGCGTTACTTACTGCCTTACTTACTGCGTTACTTACTGTCTTTCTTACCGCCTTACTTACTGCCTTACTTACTGCCTTTTCCAAGATAATCTTGCTTTTTTTTAAATCATTACTTTTAAGTCGAATGCAAGCCCGACATGTGCCAAACACAAATCTGATTATGGTGTGGATCACGCAAGCGCCGGGCTCCAAAAATTGCTACGACGTCTCCACTTGTCCTCTCGAGGACCCAAGTCCGGTCTGTTCATCAATTTAACTGTTTAAAATGATGTTTATAAAGATCTATAAAGAAGTTTATCGTAAATTTTGTTTAGAATCCAATCACCGTAGTTTAAAGTTTGGATTTCAAACCCTCTTCCAGGTTCCATTCATTTGGAAAAGCACGATTCACAACAACACCGAGACCAAATGTCGTCACGTTCGCTCGGATCGGTCGAATAAGAAACGCCGGTGTTTTAGTCGAGATTATGTGAGTGCAAAAACTTTGGTTCACTAGAAAATGGCCTAGTACAGGCAGGGGATTGAACAGAAACTTTCAAAAGTCATGGAGATTTTCCTGATTCTCATGCATGGGAACATGTAATCAGGAAAATCTCCAAAAAAAAAGTAAAAAGAATTGTGAGGCCAATAAACAGCTTTAGACCATCACCTTAAGCCACTTAAGCACTAAGACCATCACCTTGAGCCACTTAAGCACTAAGACCATCACCTTGAGTCACTTAAACTTTTTCAGAAATTTGAGTTGAAATAGGAAACTTTTTTTTGAACACCCTGTAATAGATCCAGGTTTGTTTCTAGACCTTAGGAATTGTTGTGAATCAAGTCTGCAATCAAGCCAGACAAGGGCAAGACTTAGCTTCTGATCTGACCCGGTTTTGCCTAGGTTTACAGCAAAACCAACAGGACAGATAAGGTCAGGTTTGTCTTCTGCCCGAATGTTTAGAACAACTAAATAGTTCTTTAAAGTTAAATCTCTTTAACATGATTTCATTGATAATTTAGAATCTGATTAAATTAATTAGAAATTAAATTGGAAAGCGAAGATAAAGCTTTTTTTAGGACGAAACGAGTCTCCCTTGTCACTCCGGTGTTGGCGCTTGGGGAGCCGGTCTCTTCATCATCACTTTTGGAGCTATTTTCCGAATTTTTATGATTTAAATTTAGATTTATGATTTGTTTTTTATGTCTATACCAAATTTGATCTGCTCGTCGTGATTCGGGTCTTTTGAATTGATTGAGAAAAATTTGAGGGTTTTGGAGATAAAGAAATACTTTTGATGAGCTTTTTGCAACAATTGAAAGACTCAACCAAAAACAACAAACAAAAAGTAAAGTTATTTGTTGATCATCAAAATTTTAAAACTCTTTATTCGAAGCTTGTTTTGGCTATTTTTCTAAAGTTGTTTATTGATCTTTCTTCACCATAAAATTCACAAAACAGCATAACGACTGCAACTATTGGGTTGGTGAATTGAAAACTGCGGGCTATTTCGACTCGCAGATAAAAAAACAACAGCATTGAACCAGCTGAAAGGGGGTTTGGTTACTTCAACATTTTCTCAAATTATTGCGAAAAAATTATGCTTCCAGCTTTTTATTTTTCGGTATTTTTCTTCACTTTTTCTATTGCACTCGATAATCTGTTGACTCGACAATCTATTGCACTCGACAATCTGCCACCGGGACATATTCGTCATGTCATGCTTCATGAGTTCCTACAAGAGCACAATGCAGGCTTGGCAGCTGCTAATATTAAAAAGATATATGGAGAGGACTCACCTTCCGAAAGAACGTGTCGAGTATGGTTTGCCAAGTTTCGATCTGGGGAAAAATCTTTGAAGGATGCAGAGGAGCGGCACCCCAACTGGATGATTCCAAATTACTCAAACTCATTACCAACAACCATCGGGTATCATCGCGTGAATTGCGAGAAGAGTTAGGGGTTGATCATGCTACAGTGCTAAGGCACCTTCATACCCTTGGATTTAAATCGAAACTTGGGGCTTAGGTGCCCCATGACCTCAATAACTCCCAGAAGTGGCAGCGCGCCTCGATCAGTGCCGTCCATCTCTCACAATACAAAAGGAAACCTTCATACCCTTGGATTTAAATCGAATTGTTCTCCTGTGCAATGCGCTTTCTAAAAGATGGATTAGATCTAGATTTTCTTAAACTTATAGTTGGGAAGAGAAATCAAAAGCCCTTTTTTCTTGAAATCTTGAAGATAAATCATCGAATGCGATCAAAATTATTAAGAAATCGCTCAAAGTACATTAAATTGCATAAAAAAATGTCAAGTTTTTCCACTCTTTCCCTTTATCAAGCTGATGTGAATCTTCACTGCAAAATTCATGTTGCAATTCAATTTGAGGCTATAAAAGCAAGAAATTTTGAGTGTAAATAAAAATCATTTGAAATTTTCTAAATAAATCATGTTCAAGACTCGGTTGAACGCTGTTTTTCTGCTTTCCATTTTCTTGTTGCCCTACGGGGCCTTTACAAAAACGGTACGGCTTTTGCAAGTTTTAATCTCAAGTTTTAATTGTTTTAATTGTTTTAATCTCTTTCGAAAGAAACTTTAGTTCTATTAATAGATAATTAAAGCAAAACTTAAAGAATTCCCAAATTCCTGAAATTTGCTAGAGAATATCGGCTGGCCCACCAAGACACGATTCGTTTTGGATACGACCACAAACAACTTATCGCCGACACCGGCTTGGGCCCACGCAACCACACAAGATCGACAATGAAAAAGTACGAAAAAGAACACGCCAGGACCACCACACAAGGGAAGCAGAAAGAAAGAAAACCACATTGCCTATAGGCAACCCAAGTAGCACCACAAACAATAAATGATTTGGGGCGGAAAGAAATACAGGCCCAAACTTCCGCGTAATTTTTGGTATTCGCAAGAGCTATAAAGTTTAACATTTTGACGATGAAGCCATTTTTCGTTTGGCTACCATTTCCGATGACGTCTCTATAATGACATACGGAATTTAGACAATTTTACTAATCAATAACATTTCTCAAACATTTTCAATTCAGATAGGAAATGGTGAAAAGGGTTTCTTCACTCTTTTGGGCGGAACGGCCGGTTGGGCGTGCTCCAAGTATCCGACTTGTAACGACTTGTTAAAGGTGGGCAAATTTTCATCTACTTTTGAGGGTTTTTGGCCTTATTGATTGAGTTTTTTTCAAAGAATTGTTTAAAATCTCAAAACTTTAGACTGCCTCCTTTATTCGAGTGTTCATCCCGATCAAAGCCGACGGAAATGTGGACGCTTTTCTCACTGGTGGCCTTGACTGGCGCCTTTTTTGGCAATTTTTGGTGAGCCTGAAACTATAGCTTGCCCCAGCTTTTTCCAAAAGGTGGCTAATTAGGAAAACTACCGTAATCTTTCATTCAGCTTTTGTCTGTTCTACTTAATTTTGATTTTATTCTAAGAGGAATCAAAGTATGAATCGAATGGGTTTAAAATTACCTAGAATGGACAAAAGCTGAAACAAAGATTAGAAGAAACAAAAGCTACTTTAGCTTTTCAAATTAGCCACTTTTTAGGAGACTGATTACTTTAGATTTGAAAGATAGATGAAAGATAGAAATTACTTCAGATAGATTTGAAACTCTTGTGTGAGAAAAGATTATTTTTCCGCTAGGCCAGGCTAGATTCGAGATTCTGGCCTCGTAAAGGCCCTAGGGTCCAGTTTGAATATCCAGAATTAGATACCTAGACTGAATAAAAGTAAGAGTCGAGATTACGATAGTTTGCAAAAACTGGCAATTTTTAGAAAAAAGCTGGAAAGTGAAATACACTCTAAGTATTTCAATCGATATTCTCTCACTTTTTTGACTTCCTGGATTGGCGGGGAGTGGGAAGGGGGCACGGGGAGTGGAAACAAAAACACAAAATGGAGAAAAAGAGAAAGAAAGAGACTAGTTTATATTACTCATAGTCCAAAAAAAATAGATTTTCAAAAGTAGATTCATATTACTCATCGTCTAAATAGAAAATAGAAAGAAAAGATTTATTAAAATACGTATTTCAAGGTTAAACAGGTTAAATCAGCTTAAAAATTTCCCAAAATCTTTTCACAACGAAAAATTCCAACCTAGCTCTGAATTTTTGATTTAAATTTAAAAATCAAAACTTTGGAAACATTTTTAAAAGTTTATTTAAAGAAAAAACATTGAAAAGGTTATAAAAATGAATTTAAATTTAAATGATTACCTAAAAAGTGCATTTTTACAAGAGATTTCTCTTCTTTTTCTCACTTTACACACACGCTTGTCAATTTCAAAAAAAAGGAAAGGGGAACGTTTGGAGAAAAACGAGAGAAAAAATGGCATTTTAGAGAAAACAAGGGAGGAAAACATAGGGAAAAGATGTAAGAGAAAAGAAAAAAGAAAATTTTCTCAGTGCTCTCTCCCCATTTTCATCGTTTCATCGACATCTCCTCCAGGGTCGCCCTTTTTCCTTTTCACACTACTTCCCACAACCAAAAATAGACAACAAAACGAAAATAAACTCTTAATATATTTATTAGTAAATAATCTTGGATTTGATTGGAAAGAAATCTTTAGATTTTGTTCCTTTTGACTGAATTTCTTGACTTTTCCCCTTATTTTATCTTGTCAACCCTTTCCCGCAATCAAAAATAGACAACAAAATGACAAAAGGTAAATAAACTAATAGCTAAATTAGTTTAATTTATTAATTAATTCATAAACTATTTGGCTTTGGCTTTATTTTTCGATTTTTAATTATATAAAAAGAAATTTTTTAGCTTTTTCGGTTTCCTTTTCGGCTCAATTTCTTCTCATGTCACTCGGTTTTGCTCAATGACCTTTCTTCTTTCACCTTTTATAAAATTCTCCCGATTTCTTATTGATTTGTGGTATATTTTATTTTAATTGATGCAAAAAAAAATACTAAAACACGTCTAATCGTCTATGTATTTTTATACATTTACTATTGCGCTGATAGACACTAGACAAAATTTATCCTCGCTTTGCGCCAAATTTTTTTGCGCAACTCTCCATAACTTGCTTCTAAGTCAGCCAATCTTTATGTTTTTAGTGTCATTTTGTAGATCTCAACAAGTGCAACAAATTGACACCAAAATCATAAAAATTCGCTGACTTAGAAGAGAGTTATGGCGAGTTGCGCAAAAGACCCAGTTGTGCAAAGTAGCCACTCCTCTATAAGTTGTTTTTTTTAAAACTCAACTCTATGACGCTTTATTCTATGGAAATATGCAAAATTTGACTCGAAAAGGAATTGTTTGCTTTTGTGGTTTGAAGAATTACCCTTTTCCATTCCCGTTCCCCTTTCTGTTCAACTTCTTTCATCTTCTCTCCTAAAGACCCGGAAGCTCTCCATTTATTAATTGAGTTCGGTGAAAATAATAGAACCGCATAACAATAAGCAACTAGACATTTTGCTTTTTTTGTTTATTTTCTAAAACTATTATAAAAACTGCTTGAAATTATTCAGTTTTAAAAGAATTATAAAAATCAACTTGAATACATCTATAAAAAGCTGTTTGGTTTTCTAGTTAACAGTGGGAATTTCGTGGTTTTTATCTCAGAAAATCTGAGGCTAGGCCAGGCCAAAGACACGTAAAAAAAATCAAAAATTAGTGGACTAAAGTTTTGGCTTTTGGAATAATCTTGTTAAGATTTCGATTTCGGATACGATTCAGTTGAATTGAATTTTTTGATTAGTCGATTAAACCGTCTTTTCCGAACCGAATTCAATCGAAAATTTGGCTTCGGTTGAAGAAAAGAGTTAGCTAAATGACGTATTGCACTGTTAGTATTTGTTTTGTTTTTGTTTATTCTTCAATTCTCTCCAAAATCGAAACGTTTTTTGTTTTGCTTGGCCAAACGCTCTGATTCATCAATAAAACAACACCATTTTTTTTCTTCAAAGCACTTCCCTCGTCGAATCTGATTCATGAAATCGCAAAAAGTTACAAAATTCAAGAGATTTTTACGAATTCTCTCAAGTAATAATCTTTTCTATTTACTCTTAAAATTCGCACCGCTTTTCTATTTATTTACAAGTAATTTTCACCCCTCAAAGGAATCAGTTTTTAAATGTTTTTTTGACCAATAACTATTAAAAAAAGAGGAAAGGTAGAATTTCGCAGACAAAATCAAATTCAAGCTCGATTTTTGTAACTTTCCGGTTCTTTAGATGAGCTCAATTGCAAATTGAGGCATAGTTTTAGCATTATTTGGCCAATTGATCACCCTCTTTATAAAATCGATCTCCTAAATTCGTCATAGAATGCTCTTAACTTAAAGTTTGCAATTGTTAATGAGCAAAACCCGAAATCCCGCAGTTCGAGTGCTGGTTGGCAACATTTCAACCCTAAATTCTGAAGTACACTTAAGCTACCGTACTTGAGACGGCGTTGCCCTTTTTCTCTTTAAAATTCATTCTTTTGAAGAATCGTTTCCCTGCCTGGCGCTTGCGCCGTATCTTCTGCGCGTATATATTCCCCTTTCTCTATTCCCTTATAAAATTCTGTTTATTGTTAAAATTTCCCTCCTCCTTTTATTGTTTTCATCCCTCCTACCCTGTATTTTTAAAAATTGTTAAATTTTTAGAGTTTTTGTACTTTTCTCGGTTCTTGTTCTTCGAACCCATATCTTTCATACCATTGGTAAAGTTATTAAAAATCTAGGTACTAATAAACTTCGGGAGGGGGGCACTTTGACCCGATCTGATCAAATTGTATTTTCTGCCTGTTTTACCAACGTTATTTTATTTTTTTCTGGGCTAATCAAGCATGATGAATCTATTGGTAATATTTTTAGAAAGCTTTGAACAATTTTTATTGATATTTTGATAAGCTAGCTGGAGTTTTGCCTCTGCAGTGCTGCTAAGCTTAAATATTAAGAGAGGGGCAAAATACAAAGTGATAACTTGTTCAAAATTTTCTGAAAATATCGTCAATCGATTAAGCGTGTTTGATTACCGCAGAAAATGCAAAACAAGACATGGGAAAACACGCCAGAATCAGGGTCTGACCAAGTCGGGTCAAAGTGCCCTCCTGAAGTTTATTAGTAACAAAATCTAAATATCTTTTCTCTATAAACGCCAGTCAATCCAACCCAGCCGCGAATCGTCTTGTTATTCCTTTCGTTTTGGCAAATCATTTAGAACTGGTGTTTCTGGGTTAAAAGATTTAACAGTTTGGGTAAGATTTTGATCCAGAATTTTCTCAAGTTTTTGAAGCGCTGAAATTCTGGAATCCTTTGAAGCCTCACCATTTAATGGTTGAAAACACCCGGTAACTTGACAAGAGAGTCCAAATTTCAATTACAAAACGACTCTCAAGAAATACTTGACCATTGCGAAAAAGTGTACAATGACTCATCTAACTTCTGGCCCTATTAGCAACATAAAACCGTGTTCTTTTTCTCTCCAATTGCTCAAATTTCTTTCTTGGTTGTCAATCCAACTGATAAGCTTTTCTTCTAAAAGCTTTCTCAACTACGTTTTCATTCTCTATTTTTTCAGATGTCAGAAGCGGATGGAAGAATACGAAAACACACACTTGCTCAGGTGGAACAGCCGAAATTCGAGGAGGAAAAACAAAAAGTTTGTGATTTATTTATGTACTTTGTGCTCTGGTAAACGCACCCTTTCTGGCACACTCGATTTCTTATTTTCCCACAAATCTCTCAGCAATAAGTATGCCAGAAAGCGCGCGTTTGCAAGGACCCAAAGGCATAAAGTTATTCTTTGCATTGTATAGGTTGCGTGAAAAGTTCTGTCCCTTCATAAAAGACCACTTTTACGATGTTTTATGAAGTTTTCAAGACTCAAAACCTAAAAAATTCGATTTTTCAAGGATTTTTTACGCTAGAAAATTGTTTCATATCTTCTATTTTACTCATGGAAAATTGTTATAGAACTTTTTATGACAACATTTGAGGTAACCTCTGATTGCAGACCAAAATAGCTTTCCTAGCTTCGTAGCAACGTAGGATTTGGTATTTTCAAAAGTTTTTAGTAACTATTTAGCAAAGTTTCCTACCGAACTATGGCTAGCCAGATGTGAATAATGCTAAAAAGTCCTCAGGACAATGTTTTAGTAGCTAAACAGTTATCTAAAAAAGTGTTTAGAAAAGCTATTTTGGCCTGCGACCAGAGGGTACCTCAAATGTTGTCATAAAAAGTGCTATAAAATTTTCTAAATGAGTAAAATAGCAGATATGAAACAATTTTCTAGTGATACTTGAAAAATCTAATTTTGTAGCTTTTGAGTGTTGGAAACTTCATAAAACATCGTAAAAGTGGTTTTTTAGGAGGGGACAGAACTTTTCATGCACCCTGTACAGTTATTTTGTTGCTATTATTATGGAATAGGTTACTGTAGTTAAAGAAATGTTTAAAATTGCTTTTGAACTCAAAGTTTTAGGCGTTGGACCTGGTGAAGATGTGCGAAAGTGGGCACTCGCTGCGTCGAGTGAAACGGAAATTACGACGAGCGAAACATATATCGATTTTTGATAAGTAAGAAGCTAATAAAATACAATGCTTATTAATCATAAGCTTTCGATTAAAGCCAAATTTGTATCGTAACACTTTTAGCATTAATCTTGTTACTCAAGAAAGCCAAGTTGGTATGAAAGCAAGAAATTTTTAGAAATATGAACTACTACTCGAGATTTCTCTACAATTTATTGCCGGATAAAGTGAAAAATGGTACAAAATTCAAATGTTCATCGAAAATTAAAGTTTCTAGTTGAAATCAGCGATATTTTGGAGGTTCGACCCGGGTATCGGACGGATATTTTCATGAAAGCCTCGAGAAAAGAGAAATTTCGGACAGCTGCACCAGTGAGTGAAAATTTCATATCAACAATGAATAATTTTAAATGTAAATTGCCAAAAAATGAAAATTTTGCTTCTTTCAGGAAGACGTCTGCTTTTCGGTTATCCTAACGCACACGAAATTTTTGCGCAAATCGATCGATTTCGTCGCGCCCAGCAAGGAAGTTCGGTGAGTGTTTTTTGCAAAAAAAAAACGTAAAACTAATCCTTTAAACTCATTCTAAAACAGTTTTATTGAAAAATTGCAAACCCGGAAAACTTTTTGAACCCTAGAAAGGAGAAGCGAGAATGGTACGTAAATTCAAAGTTATTCAGTCAAATGGTAACTAATTTTACAAAAGAATCTATTATAGTCGACTCTCTCTATGACGGAACTCTATATAACGGAATGGAATATTGGTCCCGGCCGAAGTTAAGTTATATATAACGGAAAGCTCTATATAACGGAAAAATTTTTTGGTCCCTTCCATTCCGTCATAGAGAGAGTCGACTGTATTTTTCAAATAGTATCCTATTTTTAACAGAAATCTCTTATTCTCCTTTCTTTTGCTTACTGCAGAATTCAGTTGTTTACTCTTAAAGCTTAGTATTTGCAGTTGTTTCTCCAAACTTTTCCCTCATTTGTTTTTATATCCTATCTCAGGGTCAGTTGTCTTTACCACCCCAAAATTGATTTGTTTTTTACCTTTTTATATGTCATTTTTTTCAGTGATACATGGATAAACGCATTGACATTCCTCGTGAATGCCGAGAAAGCACAGAGAGCGCAATTCAACGAGAAACAGTGGCTCCTCAAGCAATTTCACCGGTGCGATCTCAATCGAAATGGTCAGTAAAAGAAGTAAATGTTTAAAGATAGGTCAATTTGAAGGTTTTAAAAAGTTGAATGGTCGTTTTAGAGCAAGGATTAGTAGATAAAGTACAGTACGCTAAAACATAGCTCTACCTTTAACTGTATGAATACGACTGCGGTAGTAAAGCCTTATGACTACTACAGACTCTCACTACTAGCCAATTTCACCCCACAGGGTCAACCCTATGGTAGTCAGAAATCTATTTTTTATTTGGTCTAGTTGACTGTTGATTAAATTGTAACGATTAATTACCGTAAATACTAATAGAAGCCGCCCATAGGAGCATCGCCTAGTCTAAGTTTACTCTCAAACAAACGCTCATATCTTGGCACCGGTACGTTTGTTTCTGCGCGCTTGGGTAGCAAATTAAAGTAGGGAGGATGGGTGATTTTTTGAGGTATAACACATATTTTTAGCATTAACCAGCGCTTAGAAAAAAATTATTGAAAATCCGCTTTTTTGCTGATTTTAAGATAGAGTAGGCAGGTTTAATTGAAGGCTAAAACCTTTGATAGTCGATTAGAGCTAGAGTTGCGTACAGAGATAGGGAGACCTTTTTTTTAGAATACTAGCTTTTGTTTGAAAGTTTCAACAGCATTGCACCCAACAAATATGTAAAACTTTACCAAGAAATGTGACTCAACAAGGGTAACAAAATGACACAAAAATCATAAAAATTGGCTGACTTAGAGTTATGGTTATGGCGAGTTGCGCAAATGATCCAGTTGCGCAAAAAATTTGGCACAAAGTAACCATCCCCAACAACTATTTTCAAATAAACATTTCCTGTTTTCCAGGCATTTTATCGTTTGACGAGATCTGGGAACTCTTGAATGAGCTGAATTTGGAGTTATCGAAGGATTACGCGAAAAGTGTCTTTAAGGTAGCAATTCTAAGTTGAAAATTTGATTGAACTTTTGAAATTCAGAAAGCTGATGTAATCAAAAAGGATGGTTGTCTAAATGAGGAGGAATTCTTGAAATTCTTTGAAATTTTGACAGAGCGACCGGATTTGTTGAACGTTTTGAGGTTTGTTATCAATATAGAACAATTTGAAGCAAATTTTCAAATCGACTTTCTTTCAGAATGAACAACGCTAACGGTGTGGAGAGTTGGACGGTGAAAGACCTCCAGAAATTTCTCACTGAAGTGCAACAAGTTTGAGATTTGAAGAAAAGCAGCTTAAGACTAAAAATTTAGTTTCCCGACATAACCGAAGAAAAGGCAAAAAGCATTCTGAAGACTTTCGAAGAAGTACAAGAGAATGGAGAACACGGAGAAGTAATGGGAGTTGTTGGTGAGGGATTTTGAGAGATTTTTTTTAATACAAGACCTGTATTAACTAACGTTGATAATTTATCGTAATTTTAAGTTCATTAAAAATTTCTTGATTTTGCTTTATTTGAATAGAGAATGCTTTATTTGAACGAGCCATGACTACAGGGTGCGTGAAAAGTTCTGTCCCCTCCTAAAAGACCACTTTTACGATGTTTTATGAAGTTTTCAAGACTCAAAACCTAAAAAATTAGATTTTTCAAGTATCATTAGAAAATTGTTTCATATCTTCTATTTGACTCATATGGAAAATTGTTATAGAACTTTTTATGACAACATTTGAGGTACCCTCTGATCGCAGGCCAAAATAGCTTTTCTAAACACTTTTTTAAATGACTGTTTAGCTACTAAAACATTGTCCTGAGGACTTTTTAGCATTATTCACATTTTTTGTTTCAGAAAATTTTGTTTCTACAATTCGGGCTTTTTCTTGAAAAGAGGTGACCAAAATTACATCAGACCTCAAAACTGCACAAGTCGATTTGAAGAGGGACCTTAAATGGGGACGAGAATGTGCAAATTCAAAACCGTAATAAATTATAGCTAAATAGTCATCAAAAAAGTGTTTAGAAAAGCCATTTTGGCCTGCGACCAGAGGGTACCTCAAATGTTGTCATAAAAAGTTCTATAACGATTTTCCATATGAGTAAAATAGAAGATATGAAACAATTTTCTAGCGTAAAAATACTTGAAAAATCTCATTTTGTAGGTTTTGAATCTTTGAAACTTCATAAAACATCGTAAAAGTGGTCTTTTAGGAGGGAGCAAAACTTTTCACGCATCCTTTATATCTCATCATCACCTTTCCTCTCAGTTGAATGTAAATATTTGTAGGATTACTGTCTTTATCTGTAGGATAGGACTAACTCGGATAGTTTATGGTCATTTTGAGATCATTAACGAAGTTTTGGCCAATTCAGAATCTTTGGATTTTAATTTAATTTGAGTAGAAAGCGATTTGACTACATCACATCATTTATAATCACAGTTTTCAAGAATAATGGAACTCTTTCAGGTGCCCGCCGTTTGCTGCAATCCCGATGGGGACACATCTTGAAGCCGGGTCACGAAGGGATATATCAGGTACTTTGAATAGTTATGGTGAATGTGGAATTTATCTGATGTTACGCTGAATGTCTTAATTGTAAGATTTGGGATATTCCAAAACATTCTTTCAGTTCTTATCTAGCTTTACGGCTGATCTGCCCCATAAACCAATTGGCTTAGAATTAGCTTATCAACCTAGCTTGTCGAGCTGGAGCACAATTAGCTTACAAATCTAGCTTGAATAATTGTAAGTCTAAAACTAAAATCACTAGAAGTTAATAAACAAACTTCATGAACTATAGTTGTTTAAAAACAAAATCTTCTAGGACATGGATCAACCATTGCCTCACTATTACTGTAACACGTCTCATAATACGTATTTGATGGCCGGACAATTGGCGGGTGATGCAACTGTTGAAGGATACATTTATGCTCTATTGAAGGGAGCTCGATTATTGGAATGTGAGTGTAACTTTTAGAATTGAAAACTATACTAATTTAGTGGACATTTATCACGATGACGAAGAGGGTTTGTTGATTTATCACGGGTTCACCCTGGTCAAGCCGTTACATCTAAAACACGCTCTTGGTGCTATAAAAGTGGGTTTGGATTCAAAATAAAAGTATAAAAGCTGAATATCTTTCAAGAAATTCTTAATTGATCTTACAATTAGAATTATTTTCATCCCAACCTGGTTGGATCTGAGTATTTTTAAAATAGGATCTGGCTGTTAAATTAATTGTCGTTAAACTGATCAAATTGTTAAGTCAGTATGCTACTACTATAAATCGAATACCGTAGTACCCAGCTACTTTTTTTTTAGAGAAGAGCTTTCGAAGTCTCCCCATATCCCGTAATCCTGACAATCGAGAATCACTGCGATGCGGACAGTCAGAAAACGATGGCCGAGACGTTTATTGAGGTGAAAACTTATAGAATTCAGTATTTTGATTAGTTTTTAATCTTTTGAGCTCACTTCCACTGTATCTAAACCCAATTAACAGCCTTTAGATTCTCGGCGATCAGCTCTACATCCCACCACCGAATGCCGACGATCTCCCATTCCCATCACCGAATGAGTTGAAGAAAAAGTTCATTATCAGGTGATTTGATAATTTTAAAAATTTGTTTATAAAATTTTTTGAACATTAACTTTCAGGGGCAAACGTGGAGTGTTTGCCAAACAAGAGGAAGAGAAAGAAGACGATGAGGAGAAGAATAAGATGGCGAAAGCGGAAGCGCTGCCAAAGGTTCGAAAAATTAAACGATAGTATAAAATTTGCATAGTTTACATAGAGTTTAACTTAGACTACTAAAAACTCTTGACTAGGAACAACTTCAAGTATAATTCCAGGTCAAATCAGTAGCTGATGCGACACTCTCCTCTCTGATCGCTCTTCCATCGGTCAAAGTTGAACCCGAGACCCTGCACGAGGCTTGTAAAAAACGTGGGTTGCGAAAAAACCTATGCTTATTATATCTCATTTGAAAGCCCATTGAGGGTTTTGCTCTTAAACAAGCAGTTAAACTGAAAGAACAGTGCGATCCGACTTGAGCATCTTGTCTCTTGATTTTCTTGTGATATTACATAAATATAAGTTTAATTCCAGATCCACCAAACAGCTCTCCGTCGCTGACCGAGAATAAGGCGATTGCTTTGTGTGAGGATCATGCCCAACTCGTCAAGTACACTTCAGAGCACTTTGTGAAAGTTTTTCCAAAGGTAGAAAAACTCAAAATTCGACATATTTTAGAAAAAGGAGTATTTGAGAAAATTAAGGAAACTTTTTAGTACTAAAATTTCTTTAGGGTCTCCGGCAGGATTCCTCAAATCTTGAGCCGATGTCTTTGTGGTTGCAAGGAATTCAGGGAGTTGCGCTGAACTTTCAGGTACATAAAATGACAAGATTTAAAAATATTTACATATAATAATGTCTAATAATACTAGATCTAGTTTATTCAAATTTTACTATAGACAACTGGGGAATCTGTTGATCTAAACGTTGGGAAATTCCGAGTGAACGGTGGTTGCGGTTACATTTTGAAGCCAAAGGAGTTACTCGAAGGGAAAGGTGGGCATAGAATTTTTAAAGTTTAAGTAAATTTTGAATGCGAATTGTAAATTCAACTTAAAGTTTAAGATTTGAAACAGCTCACGAAGCCAAAGTTGCGAATCGGAATCGGTATCATCAGTGCACAATATTTGCCCAAGCCGAACACCGGCCGGGATATCATCGATCCATATGTGAGAGTGCAAGTGAAAAAACTTTTAATTATCAAAAAATATATGAAGGTTACAGATTTTTGGAGTCCCACAAGATGAATGGAATGCAAAGACGAAAACGATTCGAGATAATGGTAAAGATTTTACTGATTTATGATATTTTACCTTTTATACGGATACATAACCTAAATCGGATCCTCCAGGTCTGGGCCTAGCTTTTTCTGGTCTGGCTTACAGTTCCAGATCCAGTTGGGGCATCCTTCAAGCTCTGGTGGGCTTTATTTTGACGTTGACTTCATCAAGTCTATTCCAAAGCCAACTTTTCCGGGTCAAATCAGAAGCCAGATCCTGCCCTGGCTTCACTGCAAGTATGTCTTCTAAAAAGTCTCTGGGACCATCAGAAGCCAACTCTGTACATGAATGTCTGACTTCTGGTCTGCCCTGACCTGGCTTACAGACCTAGAGCCAACCCGGGACCAACCCAAGATTGTCATCCAGTCAACATTGTCAAGTCACCAAAGTTGCCAACATTTCAGGCTTCAACCCCGTTTGGAACAAGACCTTCTATCGGGAACTCGTTTGTCCCGATGCGGCCATGCTTAGATTTGTAGTTATGGTGAGTTAAAGGAAAATCACACTTTACAGAGATCATTTTTAGGATTACGATTCGACGTTCTCTAGCGATTTCGTTGGCGAGTGCTCAATTCCGGTGAGAAGTATTAGAGCGGGTGGGTTGAGTTTGATGCTAGTTATCCAAATAATTGTGACTTCCTTTCTTCTTGCCCATTGTCTTCCCCTCTTTCTCTTGACAGGTTAAGGTATCGAATAGCTCAGTGGTAAGAGTAATTACCCGAAAAGTAAAAGGTCAAGGGTTCAATCCCCTCTCCGGGCACCTACCTTTTCTTGCTAATTCCAAAACGTAGCTGAAAGATCATAGGCTTAGCTAGGCGTACACTTGACTGAATTCAGAGCGTCAAAGCTTGGAAAAAGATCCAAATATCTTAAAGCTATGGATTAAAGACTATATTTTCAAGTTTTATCTTTTTCAGGCTATTCATCGATTAGATTGCACACGGGTTACGCGCACACAGTGGACGCCTCGGCCACCCTTTTTGTTTGCATCGAAATCGAGGAACTTGAGGATGAATTTTAAAGCTTATGTCAAACTTTTAAATAACATTATCAAGACTTTGATCTTTTGAAAGAATTTTACGATATTTATTTACAATTTGGCTATATTTATGGACCCATAAACGGTTTGTCTTTGTAGTTGTCCGGATTGTATTTGTCCCGAATGGCTTTTTGATCGATCACTAAAATTTGAAATGATTTTGATAAATAAATATCGAATAAAGTAATTCATTGATGATGATTTACCACTAAATATGTGATCGGATGACGTGAGAATGCCCAACGTTCCACCCAAAGTGATTCCGAAAAAGATGAACAACATCAGCCGATCGAGCACAATGGCCACGTATCTCCAATCGTCTTGGCGCTGAAATACATTCGCTTTCTTCGTGCACTTTGTACTCAAAAACCTAAACACACCATTTCCGGCACACTCGACTTTACGTTTTTTCTCACAACCACGAGAAATGAGAAATCGAGTACACCAGAATCGATGTGTTTACATTTTTTAACACAAAGTACACCTAAAAGCACATGCAAATCTACGATGCAATTATGCACTAACCTACCGTAAATACTGTACTAGTACCCCACGCCCCTCGTATAGTCGCGTAGTCGCAAAAGTTTTGTTAGTATTTCATTTTTTTCAAAGCGCCCGTACTTTCAAAAAATGCGTCTTTGGTATCAAAAAATAGCCCTGAATTTCAGCTATTTTTTGATACCTAAGCGCGCACTGTAGCAGAAACCAGTGTCGAGAATAACTCGTCCAAAGCTGGACTACGCAACGCTCGGCACCGTCATTATGGGCGGTGGGGTACTATTACATTATTTACGGTAATATATTTAAAAGTCAATAGCTGAACATTTTTACACGTAACCAACCACTTTATTCTCTTCTTCGTCTTTTAAATGATCAGTGATATATTCAATGGCATCGATGGCTCTGAAAATTCCAATTTCTCAGTTTTTTTTTAGCTGTTTACTTGATCGCTTCAGCTGTTAACGGGTAATACATGGCTGTTTGTGGATCCCGTGCTATCGGCTCATTCGCGAAGTTGAGAAGTTTTAATCTAAACAACTTCAGAAGTTAGATGGCTTTATTAAGAGCAAAAGAAACAAAAAAGCTTCCGTTTTCATCGAATTTATGCAATAGTCATACAATTCAATGACAATTGCTATTCTTAAAACGAACTTCCCATCGGACGACTGACAATTCGGGTGATGAGCGGCGGTGTTCATCGAGAATTGCCCGATTCCCGCTAATGTCGTCGCGATTTTTGTTTTCTAAATGAGACGGTTGGAAACTCTTTCAGAAACAAAAGGCTTTACTTGTGAACTTCTCCAAATCTTGTACATGCCTAGCTAACGTAACCCAGCCTAGATTCTCGTAAAAATCTCTAACAATAAGCTAGCTTTTTTTTCACAATAGTATCAACTATAAGTATTACTGTAAAAAAACAACTAACTAGACTACAGACTACGGTAAACGAGCCATGCTTTAAACCCGAATCACATTTTCATTCTTGTTGTGCTTTTTGAGGGTTTTCGGCGGTTTCATACAGATGAATTTGGGCATGAACTGAAAAAAGAATTGATTAAAGATCTATAGATTTAATCAAAAAACAAACCTCCAAGAAAACGTGTCTTATCCACCGGGGCATTCGATGCGTTTTCGGGCCTCGGAAATAAACATTTATGATGACGACAGTGACGAGAATTGTGATTACATTCAGGACAAAGGTAAGCAATAAATATCTCAAAGATTAGAATATAAGTTTTATAATATTGTTCTTTACTTGGCCATTAAAGGAATCGTCGACGAGGTGGGCGGAAGAATTTTCGCCAACAGTAACAAGAAGACGACAATTGAGAGGAGAATCGAGATTGTGAGCGTCATTCGTTCAGCTGGAAATCTTGGTTATGATCAAAGCCTTAGCCAGCAATAGTCATGACATTGACCTGACTCGAGCAGTTCCAGTACAAATGTACTGATCACGAATAGTACTCGTTGATTAGGCAACTATTAATCCATGAGTTCTATGGCCAATATTTGAAAGCATCGTTGATTTGTTCAAGCATTGTAACTGAGTGTATAAATATGTGCGGGTTCTTGCTTATTGATAGAATGCGATGTGAAGCTTACAATTTGACTGTTGAAAGGTGAAAGTGAAGCTTAATTTTGAATTCAATGTCATTATTATTAGGTTCAATAAATTACCGATTTGGTAATGAAGGTTCAACGCCTAGCAATATAAAAGATCACTCACTTGAAGCAGTCGGCAAGAAAAATACGGAAACGGAGAGGAAAGCCATGATCACAGTTGGGATGATCAAAACGACCGTGTAGAAGAGGGCTTTCCGCCTGAAAATAACTTATAAACTTTTCGAATATTGGCATAGGCGCTTTAAAGCTTTGCTTGGCTACAGTAGCACGCAATAGTCAGCTGTTACAGTATTTCGCGTAGTTGATACCGTAACCGTAAAGATTACCGTAAGATCAACTTAGAAACAAGCAGAATTTGTAAAGACCCACCGCAAATACTCTAATAGAACGTCACCCCCATAATGACGGGCGTAAAATCGCTTAGTCTAACTTTGAACGTCCCGTTCTCAGCGCTGCTTTAAGCTACAGTTTTCGCTTAAGTGTCAAATGATAGCGCTTGAAATCTAGTATATTTTGGTTGCAAAAGTGTAGTTGGGAAAAAAGGGGCCGAAAAAAGTTTCTAAAAAGAAGTTTGATGAGACGATTGTACGACTAATTACTGTAAAATCGACTGATTGAATTATGAGGTACGGTAACGCAGTCACACTTTAGACCCGTGTAAAATAAAGCCAATAATTCACCTGATTTTGATTTGAAACTCAACTCGACTTCTCTCTTTTACAAGGGTAGCCGGACACTCAACGAGATCCCAGATTGAAGACGTTTGGTAGACTGGAATTCAGTTAAAGATCACTTGTTTGTTGCAGAAAAATACCTGATAAATCAATAGCCGGAAAACTGGAAATGTCCAAAACGATCTCCTGATTATTGTACTAAATTTGAGCTTTAACCCTTTTATCATTACAATGCCCCAATTACCGTCCACGATCCAAAAATCATGTTGCACGTTTGCTCATCGAATGGGAAGAACTCAACATCTGAAATTGGGTTTAATGGGGAAAACTCAAGAACTTTGAAAACTCACCAATGATACACGAGCTCTTGTAGATGGCTGGCGGTACCCATAGCATTGACCCGTCATTCTCGATCACCACGTTGCACTCGAAACCCACTTGGAATTGACCGTCAGCACTAGAAATTTTGGATTTTGTTCATTGTTTGGAGTTCAGGCTTTTAAATGATATAAAATAGAATTTGATAGAGAAAACAAGGTCAAATCAGATTGCATTGTTCTCCGTTTTATCGAAGCTCTCTTGGATCTTCGATCTTCGATCCCAACCAGGGAGTAAAAAGGGCAGAACATCACAGCACACAAATCACTAGGCTACAAGGGACTTTTTGGGACGAATTTAAGGGAAATTTAAGGATAACTAAACCCTAAAAGCTGGCTAAAAATGATGCCGGGAACGTTAGTTCGGATGGGGGGGGCCGTATTTCACATTCATTCGGGCAACGGAGTTGGGGTGGGCGGGCTGAAAATTTGGTACAAAAATTTACATTTTAATGCTTCTTTTAAAATTTTAATGCACACAAATCACTAGGCTACAAGGGACTTTTTGGGACGCCATAACTAAACCCTAAAAACTGGCTGAAAATGGTGTGGAAGAAATTCCAAAAAAATCGTTCAAAAATCATGAAAAATCACTACGCGCAAAAACTGTTGGGAGAAATGGGACAAATTTTTCCCTAATTTGCCTTAAATCGCTTTAAATCGCCTTAAATCTACCTTAAATTTGTCTCGATTTTTCTAGAAAACCGAAAGCTTCGGGCAATGGAGAAGAGCTAAACCCTTGAATAAAAGTTGCTTTGTTTGTTGCTTTATTTGTTGCTTTGTTTGTTGCTTTGTTTGTTGCTTTGTTTGTTGCTTTGTTTGTTGCTTTGTTTTTTGTCACAAATGCATTTGGACTCACTTGTTAAACAGCACAATATCCGGGATCCACACTTTCTCCGGCGAGACTCGAATGGTTTTGATTCCACCGAAAAAGACCGGATTCCATTTCATTTGGAAATCGTACCATCTCTAGAAAATTACATTGAAAATTTGAAATCAATGTTGTTAAAGCTGAAAATTCCCAAGAATTGCAAGTAAAATTCAATCGAAACTCACCAAAGTCACCCAGACATTTGTATGCATGACTTGAGCCATTTCATCCTAAACAGATCATTCTAACCAATCAAAAACAGTTAGAAAGTTATAGAATACGAGTTATTACTGGATAAATCAAGTAAATGCTAATTGCTAGCTTATTTGAGCGTTTTCAAGCCCCCAACAAGTCACTCACTACATTGATCAACAAAATGAACTGCAGCCCGACTTTGACGGTGATCGGTAGCTCGGACATGTTACGAATTGGCTGAAAAGTTATCGGATTATCAGATTATTCTATTCTATTCAATATATAAAAATATATGTTACTTCCAAATCCGACCAGGTATCCAAATCCGATCCGGATGTCCGAATCCAACCACACTCATTCTGGCCCGGAATCCGACCACATTCAATTACTCTAAAAGTAGTGCACCCTAAGCTTCACCTAAATTACTCGAAATCTCGAAAACCGCTGATCAGAACCTATCGACCTATCGAAGTGTAGCTGACGATGAGATCTTGCGAGGGATTAGAGTGTGGAGCTTCTGTGAAGAGTTGGAAACCATAAAATAGTCATCAACTGGACACTAATAGTACTAATAGTACTAATACGGGGTGCGCTAATAGTATTAGGGAAAATAATGCTAATTAGCAAGTAAAAACTAAGCTACAGGCTACAAGCTCGATCCACGGCCTTGCAAAATCCTTTCGCCTTTCTATTTTGATGTGTTTCCCTTGCAAAAATATTAAACACCAAATGTAGAGAGTAGTATCAGCTACATCTATGATAAAACAGTCAAGTATATCAGTTACTGAATGTACATGATCAATCACAATATCTTTAAGATCAACAGACGCCATTTTCAGTACAACAGATACTTTATGGGAATTGATACTGATACAGTCTTACTCATTGACATCTTCGGTAATCATTGTCAGCATTGCCATTAGCAATTGCTTATTAGTATCTTGTAGGAAAATCAAAAAATAGCAGTACTATTAGTGCTTAATATTTTTGCAAAAACGGCTTGCAGTGAAAAAACATCAAAAGAAAAAAGGTAAAAGGAATTTGCATCTGGATTTGCATTTGGATCAAAGCCGTGCCCTGTGACCTACCGTAAATACTGTAATAGTACCCCACCCCCATAATGACGATGCGGAGTGTTGCGTAGTCTAGCTTTGAACGAGTTTTTCTCGACACTGGTTTATGCTACAATGCGCGCTTAGGTATCAAAAAATAGCTGAAATTCAGGGCTATTTTTTGATACTAAAGACCCATTTTTGACAGTACGGGTGCTTTGCAAAAAATTAAATACTAAAAAGATTTTGCGACTACGCGACTGTACAAGGTGGATGGGGTACTATTACAGTATTTACGGTAGTTGTTTCTCGCTAATTAGCCTTTATCTTGAATGTGGTCGAATCCGAATCAAAATGATTCGAACGTCCGGATTGGATCTGGACGTAACATTTAGGAATCCTTACCAAAATCAAATTATTATATGAGCTGAAGACTTGTTTCATCAGCTCATCCTCATCCACAGAGCATTCACCTAGAAGTTTTGTTGACATAAAAAGATTAAAACTCACTTAATAACAAAGATCCGCAGATAATCGATAGAGCGAATAAATATTTTTGAAGCATTTTTGAAGTTTTGATTGGTTTATTGATTAGAAAATGACATATAATAAATTTAGAGCTTTTTTTATAGAAGATAAGGGTTTAGATGAGTGTGTGTATCATGAATAAAGCTTTAAAATGAAGAAGAAGCTTTGAGAAAATGTAAAGCTTTTAATGGATAGTAGATATGAATAACTGTATGAGTATTAGTATAGAATTTTGATGAGTTAGCCAAGTAGGACAGTAGCTCACTGGCTTTCTTTGTCAGTAGGCTGAATATTTTGCAAATAAGAGATTAATTGAGTATAATAATTGATACAGGATAGCTGTTTCCTCAAAAAAAAACCTTGGAATAGATGAATATTAGACAAATATATTTAGATAAATTGGTTTTGGATATTTTTTGATATAAAGAATATATAGATAAGTATCCAAGTCTTTAATAAGATCAATAAGTCGATGAGAAAATGAATTCCGTGGCTTGTAGCTTTAGAAATACTTTGAGTAGTTGAATGTTTTGGTTTGGAAACCACTTGTCGACGAATAGCTGTAGATATAGCAAAATCTAACAATCTCAATAACCAAATCCTTGATAAGATCAATAAGTGGGGCTTCTCTTGTTCTTTTCCCTTTTTCCCTCAAGGGTACCTTTTTGGCGAAAGTTTGCTACTCTCTGGGGCTCAATGTCTCTGGCTTAAAAGCTCTATGAAAAGAGGAGTGTAATCTAAAAGCCCCATCATCTCTTTTCTCACTTTCTCTTCACTTTTCCCCTTCCCGAACACTTCTCAATCTCTTCTCTATGAGTATCTCTTCACCTTTCTATCTCTTCACCTCTTTCCCATGTCATTTGAGATTTGAGGTGTCCAGTGAAAGAAAACTTCATCGCTCAATGGAGCCATTGTATTTGCATTCAATATTTGAATAGTTAAAAAGCTGGTAGAGCTGGTAGAGCTAAACTGGCTTAGAATTAGCTTAGATCTTCACGCTTCTAGTGCTAGCTTCTAAAATTTGTTGAAAATTAAAACACAGTTTTTTTTACAGTAGTCGAATCAAAATAAAAACAAGGATGGAGAACGAATCGAGTTAAGCGTTTTCTAAAAGTGTCAACTTTCGAATACTATCGTAATCTTCTCTCTTTTGTCTCTCTTTTGTTTATGGTGTGATTAGAGTTCAAGAAAAGAAAGATACAAAACTAAATAAAAGCAAGAGACAAGATTATGATGGTTTTCGAAAGTTGACACATTTGAGCACACAATGAACCATTTTTTGAGCATTTTTGCAATACCCAAATATGAAGTCAAGCTAAAAGAAGGTTTAGCTCGAGTTTTTTCATTCTAATAAAGATTATAGAATAGGCTAACAAGGTAATGGTCTCAGCTTAGGCTCAGAATCGTTCGGTTCGTTCTTAAAGTTCGGAATCGATTGGAAACACAGTGTATAACATAGAATCGGCAATGGCGAATAAAACGCCGTAAATATTAATCGCTAATAGCCACTGAAACGAGAGGAACCTGGCATGCAAAATTGGGATGCAAAACTGATTCTTTTATAAGGCTTCTCTCGCCGCCCACCGGAGATGAGTTCGTGGCCTAGTTTGCGAGACTGCGGCCTACTTTTACCCTCGGGTTCGGTTCAATTCCGCCCACATGCAAAATTTTTTTTTTTGGCGATTCTCTTACTGAAACAATCTGGAACAGATCAATTTCAAATGAAATAACCAAATGCACAAAAAAAAGCCTATAACCACACAAAGTACAAAGAAAAAAAAACTCAAACCACACAAAGAAACCTTTTTTTTGTTTCAATTTCGTGTTTTACATATCATAAGTGGTCTTTTAGAAAGCAAGCTTTGAACTGGCGTAGCAAAAGTGCCTACCGTAAATATTGTAATAGTACCCTACGCCCCTCGTACAGTCGCGTAGTCGCAAAAGTTTTTTAGTATTTCATTTTTTTCAAAGCGCCCGTACTTTCACAAAAATGGGTCTTTGGTAGCAAAAAATAACCCTGAATTTCAGCTATTTTTTGATAGTATTTTGTCATCAACTGAGCGCTCTATTTATCGGACCGATCAAAGGTTGATCAGAAATTGGCTCTCCCCTCCGCCTCTTTTTCTCCTTTTGTGTAAAAACTTTGTCTATTTCTGGGATTTGCATTGGTGTCAGTCTAGAATCCGATTTCTGTTTGCTTTTATTCTTTTGTTAATTATACATTGTTATTATATATTTATTTTATTGTTTTATTGTTTTATTGTTGATTGTTTATTGTTTATTGTTTATAAATTTGTGGAAAAATTCAAACAAATGGAGCAGCTCTGAAAGCTATGAAGAAGATTTTTTTTTGCGTAGCTGTTTCTTTTGTTTCAAATTTCCCACAAAACTACAGAAGATATTGTAGGAGATATTCAGCTGAATGGGGAAAGGCTTTGGAATCTCAGCTTTGAAACCTCAGCTTTGAAACCTCAGCTTTGAAATCTCAGCTTTGAAATCTCAGCTTTGAAACCTCAGCTTTGAAGTCTTAGCTTTGAAGTCTCAGCTTTGAAGTCTCAGCTTTGAAGTCTCAGCTTTGAAGTCTCAGCTTTGAAGTCACAGCTTTGAAGTCTCAGCTTTGAAGTCTCAGCTTTGAAGTCTCAGCTTTGAAATCTCAGTTAGCATCTCATCTTCAGCATCTCAACACGTTACTCACGTGTAACACAGTATTTTTACATACTCAACTAACCATTTCTCCCTTTTATTCGGAAACTATTTGGTCTTTATTTGGCGGAAAGATCCTTTGTCCTTGACTTTTCTTGAGAAATGAAAGGAGATCGGGATGAATGATACGTGAGATCTCGATCATTTATGTAGAAAAAAAAAATCAAGAACACTTATAATGCAACAATTGCTTTTGTTGATCTTTTGGTCAACCTCATTTGTTCATTCGTGAATTTTTAGAATCAGTGCCAGTACTTTAGCCAGCCGGCTTAACACGTCTAACATGACCGACTATCAACCAGTGAATCGCTCGGTTTGTTTAAAATTTTGAATCAGTTTTTAAAATGATTACAGTAAGTTTGACAGGCTTTGAAAACGCTTAGACATTAATCTTTCAAATCTTTCAAATCTTTCGAATCTTTCGAATCTTTCTATACTTTCTATACTTTAGCCAGCTGGCTTAATCCAATTCGTGATGCTTTCCGCATTGGGACTTCTCGCTTTTATCACAATCATTATCGCATTGATTCACGCGAATGAGTGAGAGAGTTCGAGAGTTTTATAGTGATTTTAAGAGGAGTTCTATTTCTATTTTGTAAACAAGGAAAATGACATTTTTTTTCAGGTGCCCCATTGAAAGAATGCCAAAATGGTTATTAATCTACGGAATTATTTATCTCATTGTCATGATGACCGGATTGACGCTTTTGGCTTTTGAGGTATTTTGAATAAATCTAAAGTAAAGATTGATTCAAAATGCAATAAAAGAATCACTTTTTATGTTAGCCTTCAATTTCTACATCCTGCATTCTAAATTCTCAATTTTCAGCAAAAGTCGAAGCTTTATAGTCCGGCGTTGGTGATCGATTGGCTGGCCAAAGTGATCGGGTTGATTTGGTGGGGTTAAATTGATTCAAATGTTTTGAAAAGATTGTAAAAGCAAATATTGATATCACCGTAAATACTGTAATAGTACCCCAACGCCCATAATGACGGTGCCGAGTGTTGCGTAGTCCAGCTTTGAACGAGTTTTTCTCGACACTGATTTATGCTACAATGCTCACTTAGATATCAAAAAAATAGCTGAAATTCAGGGCTATTTTTTAAATTTAATGATGATTTAAAATGATTTGAAAATGGTTTTTAGCTATAAAAGAGATCAGTATTGTGTTCTAAAAGCACATCTAAATCAGCTCTAAAAGAGATTAGTGCTCACTAACTACTAGTAAACTAAATCTTTCTAGTGCTTTCGAATTTCTCTCTCTTCAACGCATTTCTTCAGGGAAACCAAAAGAGTGCAGTGCGCTAGAAAGGGTTTAGAAAGCGTATTGCTCATGCTCATGCTCATTTATGCTAGCTTTACCACATAAGGAATCCTTTTTCTGGTCTAAAAAGTTAGCTCAATTTAAGCTCTAAAATTTTAAAGGAAAAGCTGCCATTTTTTTCTACGAGTAATTTCTTGGAGTTGACTTGTAAATAATAGAAGAAAATGTTCTTGAATTGGTGGATTCGTTTTGAAGAAAATTCCAGTCAAACTACCGTAAATACTGTAATAGCACCCCACCCCCATAATGACGGTGCGGAGTGTTGCGTAGTCTAGCTTTAGACGAGTTTTTCTCGACACTGGTTTATGCTACAATGCTCGCTTAGGTACCAAAAAATAGCCCTGAATTTCAGCTATTTTTTGATACCAAAGACCCATTTTTTGAAAGTACGGGCGCTTTGAAAAAAATGAAATACTAAAAAAATTTTGCGACTACGCGACTGTACGAGGGGGCGTGGGGTACTATTACAGTATTTACGGTAGGTACAAATTGACAGCTTCTTTTTGGATCATCTAATTTTTGGAAATGACTCAATAAAATGAATAGGTCGAATTGATTTCCGATCCCGAAAACCCCTACCGTAAATACAATAATAGTACCCCACCCCCATAATGACGATGCGGAGTGTTGCGTAGTCTAGCTTTGAACGAGTTTTTCTCAATACTGGTTTATGCTACAATGCCGGTTTAAATATCAAATAATAGCCCTGAATTTCAGCTATTTTTTGATACCAAAGACCCGTTTTTTGAAAGTACGGGTGCTTTGAAAAAAATGAAATACTAAAAAGATTTTGCGACTACGCGACTGTACGAGGTGGATGGGGTACTATTACAGTATTTACGGTATTTATTTTAAGCTTCTTTCAAATGTCTATTATATTTGAAGGCTTGGCTACGGTGGATATCTCGTTTGGGGCATTTGGGGAATTTACACGACAACGAATAAGAAAGCGGCCACTTATTGTGATCAAACGGTGATGACATTCAGGTTAAATTTTTTAGAAATCTATAAAACTATCAAAGTCATTTCAATATTGCAATTTAAAGATTTGCGATTTAAACAAGAGATCGTATAAAGCGGCTCACAAATCTATTTTTTTTAATGGCTTCTTTTGACACTAAAAAAAAACATTGAAAACTAATACTTTTTATGATTGTTTCAAGGAAATTCGATTACAAAACAAGTTCTGTTTTTTTACAGCAACATGATCATTCTCTCATCTACAGCCCTCCTCATTCTGAGCGCTTTCTGCAATTGTATGGCCACGCTTAGGAAATAAGCTTATAGAAAGATTGAGTCTAATTTATCTCAAATGTATATTAGTGATGAAAATTTTGAAATAAACATTGAGATTTCTTGAAAACAAGGTTTAGGAGAGTCACAGAATGTTAAAATTTAATTTAAATTAAATCTAAAAATGAATTTGAATTGTAATCTCCATTTAAATCTAAAAGTACAATCTATTAATCTGTTAAACTTTGGAAAAATGAATTTATCGAAGTGGTGAAATCGGTTGACAATCATTCAGTTGCGTGTCCGGGTCAAATTGCAGAGAATATCCTTGACAGCAAGGAGTGCCCGGACAAGGGGTCTTGTTGCAGGGGAAGATTTGTCGAGAGGGACCGCTAAAGGAAGAAAATTATCGTAAATATTCTGATAGAACGCTAATGACGGGTGTACAATCGCGTAGTCTAACTTTGAACGTCCCGTTCTACTCGCTGCTTTATGCTACAGTGTGCGTTTGGATGCCAAATGATAGCCTTTGAAATCTAGTATTTTTTGGTACTAAAAGTGTAGTTGGGGAAAATCTAAGGGCTGAGAAAGAGATGATTTTCTAAAAAGAAGTTAGACGACGCGACTGTACGAGAAGGTGGCGTTGTATTTGAGTATTTTTAGGTATTTAAACTTATTGTATCATAGGATTTATAATACTATGCCGTATTTAGAGAATTTGAAAATGAATTTGATCTAAAAAGTTTCTCTGACACTCACTCGCATAGACAACCAGCCGGTTGACATGTTCTTTCCCTTGGCTGCCATCCACACATTCCACAATTATTCGAGCAATAGTCCACGTTTTCCCAAGACGACCACGTACCGTAGCAGGGAGTCTAGAAGATATTTACAAGGGAAAGTCAACTGGATAGGTCAAATGGCATAAGCCATAGGCCATTCGACGCAGAATTTCACGTAGATTCCGAATCTGCTTTCCGTTTCTGCTATGGCGCACTCTGTCAAAAGTTATACGCGGACTTTTCAGAGGCAGAAGAATTGCAGGGATGGTTTGTGTGTTCTCCGCTTCAAAGCCGCTAAAACAAAAAGTTAGCTGACGGATCGGAACCTGGGAGATCTCACCTTGTTTTCTAACCTACTACCACTCGGCCATCCCTGCAATTTTTCTGTCTCTGAAAAGTCCGGTTTTAAGGTCTATGTTTTTTGAAACTCCTTACAAAAATTGAAACGCGTATAACTTTTGATAGAGTTAGGCCGAGTGATAGTAGGTTAGAAAACAAGGTGAGATCTCCCAGGTTCTGATCCGTCAGCTAACTTTTTGTTTTAGCGGCTTTGAAGCGGAGAACACACAAACCATCCCTGCAATTCTTCTGTTTCTGAAAAGTCCGCGTATAACTTTTGATAGAGTGCTCCATAGCAGAAGCGGAAAGCAGATTCGGGATCTAGCGTGAAATTCTGCGTCGAATGGCCTATGGCTTATGTCATTTGACCAGCCTATCCAGTAGATGTTCCCTTGTTAGGTCTCCTCGTCAATTATTTTTCACAGATTTCTTCAGAACTACGTTATTTACCCTTACAAACTCAAAGTCAGGTGAATTGCTGTTACCGTTTCGAAAGTCGGCACCGGATCATCGTCTTCTTGACACTCATATCTCTTTGATGTCATGTTGATAAACGGTGAGTGGTACTTGCAACAGCGTGGCTGTGGAGCGGTGCACTCGGTGGCACCGCAATACCAGAGTCGATTGTCCTCACCACTGAAAAGCTTCAAACTTGTGATGCTAGTTGTTAAATTTCTAGAAAATTCCTCTTACTTACTTGAGGAAAGTGTAGAACTTACGGGCAAGGACAAGTATCAAAAGAGAGACAATCTCGGACTTGTTTCTTCCATCCACATCCACCGCAGTTTTCCGTGCAATTGGTGGTGTCAATCCAGTGACTCCAAGTGCTTTCACAATTCTGTGAATTCTTTTGATGATTCGTTGATGGATATTGACTGGGTTTGATTGGATTTGATTGGATTTGACTTTTGTTATGAGGTCTTGAGAGTTAGCACTAGTCATTAGACATGCTTTGATTGGATCTGATTCGAATTTTCATTTATTTCGACAGGCCAGTCCTTTTTATGGATGCTGGGAATACAAAACATAGTCGGCGCCGGGATTTGACCTCTTGCTTACCGGGCGAACGCTCTACCAATGAGCTACACGTATCCCATTCGGTAATGGAGAACCTACTTCTTAAGCTTTACTATCAGATCTGATCCGAAAGCATTTCTATTGGGTTGGTGGAAAAGTCCTTTCGGATTTTTTGGGAGAGTACCTTAAATTTGGGAGAGTACAAATTTTCAGAATCTTAGCAAAAAATTTTTGAAGAATATTGTCACCGGTGGAAGTCGAACCAGCGACCCTCAGATCAATAGCCTTTCCGCCGCCTTTCGCGATTTTCCTTCGTTTTCGTCTGAGGGTCGTCTGAGGGGCGATCTGAGGGTCGCTGGTTCGACTTCCACCGGTGACAATATTCTTCAAAAATTTTTTGCTAAGATTCTGAAAATTTGTGTCTAGGGGTTATTTTTGACGCTGATCACGAAACACATGTTTTTAGCCTAGGTTTCTGCACGGAAAACTAACGAAACGTGAAAACAGCCATTTTTTGGCTCTGCCGCCCTTTACTAAAATAGCTGTAAAAACCTTTAGAAAAGAGATATCTCAAAACGGTTTTTACCAATCGATCCGTCTTGAATTCAGCTTTAGGATGAGCTATAAAATGTCAAAATTGGACAAATTTAAGGTACTCTCCCAAAAAATCCGAAAGGACTTTTCCACCAACCCAATACTAGTCATATTAGTGCAAATTGGCTTTATTGTGCCGACTTTTGGAGTTTAATGGATTTTCTAATCTGTAGAAAAAAGCTGGGATAAATTTTACGACTAAATGAAGTGAAATATTAGTTTTATTGTGCTAAAGTCACTCACCGGTGACGCTGACGGTTCTGAAGATCCTTTTCATTTCATAGATTTCAAATTTCGTTATGAAACTCAATGAAAATAACAAACTTGGTGCAAATAAGCAGAACGAGGTCAATGATTGAGAAGTTCCATAATAATCATACCTAAGAATTGAAACTTTTGGAAGTTTAATGAAAATACCATTTCCCATCATATGGATCCATGTACACGCTGTCACATCGAGCACACAATGATGGCTGATCTAAAGGTTTTGTAACAAAATTGAATACCTAAACTTGCCTCGTGCCCAAGAGAAATAATCAGTGGCACTTCCGTCTGTCCACGTCCAATTCTTGCTGCAAGTTGACTTGAATTTCATTATGAAACTCAACAAAGTAAGAAACTTCAATGAAAGAGGCCTTTTTATACTTATGCTATTCTCCATGACATTGTTTTCACCAACTTTCAGCGACAAAAATGAATACATTCCTGGAAAATGAAATATCATATTTGAAAAACGATCGTCACTTTCGCGCGTCTGTAACTCCCTTGTCTTTGAGTTTAAATTATTAGTGTTATACATTTTTTGAAAGCTCTTTTCAAGGGCTACGCAATGGTAATATTAATATTTAGAAATACGGTAAAGACAAGGGAGTTACAGACGCGCGAAAGTGACGATCGTTTTTCAAATATCATATTTCATTGTCCAGTACTGTACCTCCCCAAATCGCTCCTCCTCAATCCAATGGCCACATAAGCGATCGCATTATCTAAATTGTTTTAAAAACTTAGCCAAAAAGTTCCCCAACGATTCACGGCCAATGATTTCACGTAAGCATTCTGATAGATGTTGTGAATCGAAATCAGCGCTCCTTCATAAATTTTCTCACATTCCGTCTCAGCGTCGTTGAAAGTTTTGGCTAAATTAGATAAATTATGTAATTTTTGGCTTTTTGAACCGAGTCTATGCCCTATAAAAAAAGCAGAAACAAACTTAATTTCAGATAGAAATTGGGGAAATCTTCTTGGATTCTCTAGAACAATAAATCTTGATCAAAAAAAAGAGATTGATTGTTTTTGGAATGTTTATTGAAGTCTTGATGAAGCTGAAAATGGAGATTGGGAGCGAAAGTAATAGGGAAATTCATTTCCAATTCTGATTTCATAGCTAAATTTAGAGATAAGAATTTGTATCCAATCTGGATTCAGATAAGCAAAGCAAGAGATTTATGGGCTAGAGGGCTAGCCTTTGGATACTTAGCTGATAATATTTAATATAAATAGTATTCAGCTGGGTATACGGTAGTGGATCTTTCAGATAAAATTGAAGTTAATCGATTTTTGCAAGCTGTTTCTGATTTTGAAAGCCCTCAAGTCAAATTCGAATGATACCGAGGCTTAATTCGACCACACAATCCTAAGGAGAATCGAGAGACAAGACTCTCAAGTCGGATCGCATTGTTTTCTCAATTTGGCTGCTTGTTTAAGCAATGAAATGATTTAACAAGATGTAGAATTTGTTCCAAAAACCAGTGCCAGGGATTTGGGCATAGTGGCGAGTCGGCTCAGTCGCTCCAAAACAAGGAGAGTCGGCTCGGTCGCTCACCTCGCTCCTTCGTTGTCGTCGAGATATAAGAATGTTCAGAAAAGAAAAGAAAGGCTAATCTTTCAGAAAGGGTTTCTTTTGTTTACAAAGAATCGTTTTTAAAATAGAAAAAGCTAAAGAAGACTGGCTGTTTGAGCTTAAAATGCTTAACTTATGGGTTTCTCATGATTAAAGAGCAATTAGAAAAGTACAGCTCATTTAATAAGTGAATATTTTAATACAAATAGTATTTAGCTGGGTATACGGTAATGGATATTTCAAGTAAAATTGAAGTTAATCGATTTTTGCAAGCTGTTTCTGGTTTTGAAAGCGTAGTCCTACTTTTAAGGGTCATAACTTTGTCTAGAGATTTTCTCATTGTTAACTTTTTGATGTTGTTTTATCGAGGAGATTTTTCGCTTTTGAATGATATGAAATAGGGCTATATGTATACGGAGACGGTCTGCCAGATCCCGAGCAATTAGGCGGTCGCACAAAGAACATTTCGTCAGTCATTTATCATGGGATTTTCTTTGGGATGATCCAAAAAGAAGCTATTTCCAAAAATTAGATGATCCAAAAAGAAGCTGTCAATTTGTACCTACCGTAAATACTGTAATAGTACCCCACGCCCCCTCGTACAGTCGCGTAGTCGCAAAATTTTTTTAGTATTTCATTTTTTTCAAAGCGCCCGTACTTTCAAAAAATGCGTCTTTGGTATCAAAAAATAGCTGAAATTCAGGGCTATTATTTGATATTTAAACCGGCATTGTAGCATAAACCAGTATTGAGAAAAACTCGTTCAAAGCTAGACTACGCAACACTCCGCATCGTCATTATGGGGGTGGGGTACTATTATTGTATTTACGGTAGGGGTTTTCGGGATCGGAAATCAATTCGACCTATTCATTTTATTGAGTCAAAACAAGATTACTGTACAATATTTGCTATTTTTTGTCACCTTTATCATCATAAATGACACATCCATCAAATTTATCGAGATAACTCGATGGAAACGGGCAAACGTCTGCAAGTATTCGAGTAAAATGAAGGATAAGCAGAAAAATTAGCATTTCAAGCAAAGTTTCGCAAAATTCATTTCTCCTTCAACACCTTATCATTTCAGTTATCAAAAATAATCCGATTCTCTTTTTTTTGGTGTTGACTCGTAATGTAGGCAATTTGTTGAGGCTTCATATTGAGGCAAAAATTCACAGCGAACTTTCAACAAAGGAAAAAAAATCACAAAAACACCCATTTACCGAAAATGGCTTTAACTATTGGGTTGGTGAATTAAAAACTGCCGGACTTTGAACTAAAATTTATTCAACATAAAACCATGAATTCATTCCAAATAATTTCCATTATCATTGACGACTTCTGCCCATTTTACAGGCAATTTGCGGATTCCTCTTTCGTGGTAGGATTTTGGTTTTGAATCGAAAAACTTTCAAAGCCAATTTTTGACTGCTTCTTCCGAATCGAAGTGTTCTCCCGAAAGCTCATTACTCATGGTCCCGAATAAATAGTAATCAGAAGGGGCGAGGTCCGGACTGTATGGGGAATGCGCCAAAAGTTCCCAACTAAGGCTGTTTATTTTAGGTTTGTGTGTGAGACAAGTGTGAGACTCAAAAATGGAGGAGTGGAGATGTCAGCTGTCAGCCCAGTTTGAGCACTTTCTTCAAAAGTAACCCATTTTGGTGTCAATGAAAAAGTTGTAGAGAATCAAAAATGAGGCCTATAGCCAAATTTCCAAAAAGATACACTTCGTAGTTTCACTTAAAATGCAAGTTTTGTGAAAATTCGTAGATTTGGCATTTCTTGAAAACCAGTTTTTGAATCGTTCTGAAAATTTAGATATAAGCTTAATTTTTGATTCTCTACAACTTTTCCATTGACACCAAAATGGGTTTCTTTTGAAGAAAGTGCTCAAACTGTCACATATGACAATAGCCGGCAGTTTTCAATTCACCAACCCAATATTTACATATGAACATTTTCGTGTTTCTCCTTTCGTGGAATTCGCTCCCAAACTTCGTCCAATTGTCGAAAGTATTCCTCTTGTGTGGCGATTGTGTAAATCAACTGAAAGCTTGGCATTTTTTTTTCTGCCAAAAATGGGTACTTGGTTATAGCCCACAAAAAGACTCAAGTATCCAAAATGCACCAATTTGTGGGAAACTAGTATCCAAAATCTCTTACCTCTCGATTCATTGCGTAGACTTTGTAGGAGTGACACACCTCGTTCATTGATCGTTTTGATCTGCAAAACAAATTAGTATCATTGATTCTAGACTAAATACAGTAAAATATTATTGGTATTGCTCGGTTTTATCTCTTCTGTCAAGAATGCTAGTCACAAACTTCTTGCACAACTCTTTTTTATTTGAAAATGGTTCAAGATCGCGGTAGAGATCACAATTAAAAGAGACAGACAGACAGGCAGATAGAGAGACAGATAGACAGACAGACGGATAGACAGACAGATAGACAGACAGACAGATAGACAGACAGACAGACGGATAGACAGACAAACAGATCGATAGACAGATCGATAGACAGACAGACAGACAGACAGATAGACAGACAGACAGACAGACAGACAGACAGACAGATAGACAGACAGATAGACTGACAGACAGATAGACAGACAGACAGACGGATAGACAGACAGACAGACAGACATACAGACAGACAGATAAACAGATAGTTTTCTTACGGTAGTTTTTCAACCTACTCATCTTTTAGAAAACAGAACACAGCCTTGATTATTCTACTTTTAAATTCCAAAATAACTCACAAAATCTTAAACCACATTTGTTTGAGAGCTCTCTTGTAGTGACACCATTCCCTTTCCGAGAAAAACAGCACAAATGTCATCGAAAAGACATAGCTAAAAGAGCTGACTTGAATTGAGCTGACTCTGACCTTTAAAAGAAATGTTACTCACAAAGAAGCGTGCAGATCGATCAACGATCCAAGCAGATTTTTCCAATCCCATGACATCCTCACTTCCACATAAATGACAAACAATGTGCAGAAGAAAAGACTGTTGAACATGCACCACCACATCACTTTTGATAGACCCTCAAATTTTGATTGGGTTTTTTGATAATTTGATAAGCCCAGAGTTAAATGTTAGAGTTTTTTCTTTCAAAAGCCAAGCGCATATGCTCAAAAGTTCAAATGGCACACTCTCCAATACGCTTAACTTTCATTTTCCTTGCATTTTTATTGTAGACGAAAAAGCGTACACTTGTAGCGTACACTTGTAGCGTACACTTGTAGCGTACACTTGTAGCGTACACTTGTAGCGTACACTTGTAGCGTACACTTGTGGCGTACACTTGTAAAGCGACGTAAAAGAATCAGTTAGCTACTTTTACGGTAATATTTGGCTAGAATTTACAATATTTTCATATTTTAAAGCTCTTACTTTCAAATTGCGAATATTTTCGGCGACTTGGAAGCGCTTCGTCAACGAGTAGCCGAATTCTCGCCAATTTCGATGCATTTGTCGTTCAGCTTCCTCGTTTAGTGAAAGCACAAATTGACAACCCTAAAGTTTTAATTTAAATTATTTGAATTACATATCCAGCTTTCATAAAATGTCTTTCAAGTCTCACCAAAGCGAAAATGAACGAAGACATCAAACCCATCAAACAAGCTATTCGAATTGAGATAAAATCTGAATAGAGATTTGATTTTTTATTCCTTTAACACTTTACCAAATGTGAATGCTAATCCCAAGAGGAAGGAGATGAAAAAATTCGCGAAAACACCGAAAAGGAGATGCGGTAAGAAATTGGATGTCTCGTAGGTTTCCACGTAAATCGTGGCCACCAATCGCTCGATCATTATAATCGCCAAGCTGCCTAAAGGGGAATTGATAGGTTCATCAAATGTTTTTGATATTTCGAACCAACTCCACTTGAAAGCAGAGTTCGTTCTGGGATCAAGAAGTCAGTATAGGCTAAAATAGATACCGTGGATGAAGAATTTGCAAATGGGGAAAAGGGGAAAAGGGGGAAAAGAGGGGAGAGGTGTAAACAAGCGGAATTGCAAGTGTGAGGAAAATCGCAAGAACCAGCGGTTGAGGGTGATTCTCAAAAGTATTGTTCGGTTGTTAAGTTCTAGGATTTTAACTCGTATACAGCCTGCTGAATATCTTTGGCTGGTTGACTGAAATCCTTTTCTTGCTGGATACCGTATTTTCTCTAATAGTAGTGCACCCTAAGCTTCACCTAAATTACTTGAAATCTCGAGAACTGCTTATCAGAACCTAGCGATCTGCGGTCGGAAAATGTAGCTGACGATGAGATCTTGTCGGGGGATTTGAGTGTTGAGCTTCTGCAAAAGCTTGGAAACTGTAAAATAGTCATCAACTCGGCTCGCCGGGATGCACTACTATTAGAGAAAATACGGTACTTGGTTTGGCTTTGGGCTGGCCTTGGAAAGTCATAATTTGGCCTAGGATTGGTTTTTGATCGAACTTTGATCCAATCCAAAGTTTGCAAACCTGCAGCACTGGCAATCAGCGTCGCCCGCAGCAGTGATGCGATGAGTAGAGGAGTTGGGCAGATGTCAGAGCCTAAAAAGATGTGATTTATTATACATGAATATAGTTGGAGAATCTTTAAAAATTTTCAAGCTCAGGTGTTAGGTTTCGATAGTTTTGAATAGTTTTGAATATTGAAATTGAATTGCGAGTGAATGTATGTGTACAATTGGTACTGATAGACGTTTGTTTGCATGAGTGAGGCTGTGCAGCCATAGTAGTGAGGCTTTATGAAATAAAATGAGCTTATTGACGTAAATCCAGAAGAAACGCAACAAAATGCATTGAAGAATCAAAGAAACGCAGAAAGAATCAACGGAAACTCTCGGAAAAGAACTAGTGCGTACAAATGCCGGAAAAGCGAAGGTTACGGTATTTGGGGCATGGCTTAGAAGAGAGGGGAAGAGGAAGAAGAGGGTATTCTACTTACTACCGTATCCATAGTCAAGTAGTATTTATTTGGATACCGTAATCTCCCAGTTTTGAGTGTCATACTGCCACAAATCTTTGTGTTTTCTTTGTGTAATCTCTTTGCCCGCTCACCGAATTCCCATTGTTGTAGCAAATGGATTTGGTAGAGAAAGCTGACCACCCGAGCCGCTAAAAAGACATAGATGCCGGAGATCGATGCGATGTAGAGATGCACAATGTTACGAGGGATTTTCTAGAAAGTAAAACTTTGATTTTTATAGATGAATTCTAGCATATTGCATTTAAAAGACAAGCTTTTTCAATAAAGATTTGAATTAAGAATTGTGTTCGGTGTTTTTTAAGGAAACTTCTCTAAAGGGTATGGCTACCTTACCTGAGCACTCTTGGCTGCCGTAAATTTCGTAAACCTACCGTAAATACTGTAATAGTACTCCACCGCCCTCGTACAGTCGCGTAGTCGCAAAAGTTTTGTTAGTATTTCATTTTTTTCAAAGCGCCCGTACTTTCAAAAAATGCGTCTTTGGTATCAAAAAATAGCCCTGAATTTCAGCTATTTTTTGATACCCAAGGGCGCATTGTAGCATAAACCAGTGTCGAGAAAAACTCGTTCAAAGCTAGACTACGCAACACTCCGCACCGTCATTATGGGCGGTGGGGTACTATTCGTATTTACGGTAGTTAGCTTCATTTCGACTGGTACCCCCCCCACAGCACCCAGATACTACCGTGTCCCAACTACGGTAACTGGTTCAACCCATTCTTTGCATTGTACTTTGCATTGTACTTTGCATTGTACTTTGCATTGTACTTTTGAGGATTTGTCCATTGTCTTGTGGGACTTGTGCTAGTACTCTTCTGGGTGAGTGAAAGATAAAACAAAGGAAATCAAGTCAAAAAAAACCCACCGTAAATACTGTAATGGTACCCCACCGCCCTCGTACAGTCGCGTAGTCGCAAAAGTTTTGTTAGTATTTCATTTTTTTCAAAGCGCCCGTACCAAAAAGGCCTTGGCAAAATAGCCCTGAATTTCAGCTATTTTTTGGTACCCAAGCGCGCATTGTAGCATAAACCAGTGTCGAGAAAAACTCGTTCAAAGCTAGACTACGCAACACTCCGCACCGTCATTATAAGCGGTGAGGTACTATTACAGTATTTACGGTAAGAATTGTGTTGGGTGCTTTTAAAGGAAACTTCTCTTTAATACTTACCAACGATTTCCACAAAACGTGTCCAGCAAAAGGGAAAGTGAAAAAAGAAATGAGCAGAAAAATCGTCTCGATCGTGAAATTGAGATAAATTAAAAGATGCAGTGCATTCTTTGGAAGAGCTGACGAATTGACGAGAATCAGAATATTGTAGCGATTCGCTGAGAGCATCTAAAGACTTGCTTACTGCATAGCATAGACTGCATAGCATAGACTGCATAGCATCGACTGCATAGCCTCACTCGCTTAAAGATATCATAAGCCTCAGCTTAGCTACAGTAGGCCGAATAAAAAGGTATTCAAAAGCTCGAGTATTTTCTAAAGCATTTCAACGTGACAACTACCGTACTCTTGTCTTTTTTTATCCAATCTATCGACTTTTGTATCTTTTGGTAGCCTTTCTAAACTCTCGCAGATAGTTGGATAAAACTAGAGCCAACATTACGATAGTTTTCGAAAGTTGACACATTTTAGAAAACGCTTTAGCTAAGAGGAATACTATCTAGCTGAATATTCAAAGAATTTGCAAAGATATTCAGTCAATTGAAGACTGAATATCTTCTTTAGCTTCTTCTTCTTCAAGCCCAATTACGACTCGACTTTCGACTAATAAATTGAGACAAATATGTGAGGGAGAGTTGTAAAAAAATTGCTACAATTCAAACCATAAAATAAATTATGTATAAATTTATGTTTTTAATAAGATTTTTAACAATTTAAGTATAGGTTTTCATCAATTTCTTTTCGATCTCTGTGTTTTACAACACAAAAACCTCTAGGGACTAGTTCAATATTCAGAAATCAATGAAAACTCTAAGAAAATTTGAAGAAAAGAAATGTTTTCAAGAATCAAAAAAAAAATGGGAAACGATTGTTTTTGTGAAAATTGAAAAAAATTTTAATTGAGAAAATTATAGGAATGGGCGATTGAGGGGATTCAGGGGGAAATTAAGGCTTTGAAGGCTTTTTTTTTGGAAAATTGGACAACGTCGTGTCTCAAAGAGACCAAAAAAGATGCTGGAGAAAAACCTTTTCGATTTTATGAGAGAAGAAAGCTTTTTGACAATTCATGACGCGACAATACAGCTTTCCGTTGAAAATCCCGTGATTCCGTTGCCTTTTTAGGCTTTTTTTTCGCACTTCCACGGGATCTCAAGCGTTTGAAAGAGGACAAAGGCACCAAGATCAAAGCATTTCCCACAAACCACCAAAGAGCTTTGGAAACAATCTGTATTTTTAGAATCTATCATCAAATTATTCGTAAAGTTTTTGGTTTAAGAAGATGCGTTCAGGGATATTTCAAACCGATCATCAGGCCCAGACTCCGCACTTGACCTAGCTTACAAAAACTGCTGGATGAGCGAGAAGGTAGCCGCCATTGCCTACTGTAGTACTGTAACGCTTACTGTAACGCTTACTGTAACGCTTACTGTAGTTTTCATTGCCATATGCTTCCAAGGTTTGAGTGGTTCAGGACTGGCGTAACCAGCATTCTCCGATTAGGTTCTAATTCGGTGACGATTAGGTTCGGCCACCTTCAGCAGGCCACCCTCAAATCCAAATCTTAATCCAATGGTAGGGTCTTATGCCTTGCTAATGCTTTAACTTACAATTCCAAGGTCTCGACCTGACTTTTGATTCGATCAGTTGAAACATCTCAGCTCTGAAGGTATCCAAAAAGATACCGTAACCCTGTGGATACTGTAATTTGAACTCAACTCTGTGTCCAGCCTGTTTTGAGTCACTTAGATTCGGCTAGAATCAAGCTATGAGGCATTGTCCGATCCTTGGCTTAACCTGATATTAGCCTGAGCCATGGTCGGGCTCTAATCAGACCTTGAAGTTGAACACTCTTACAATATCCATCACCTTGAAAGTTGGTGTTGAGAAACTATCATGAGAAAGCTTACGACCAAAGTCCAAATATTCTCCTTTACGTGATACCTCTTCGAGAGTCTGTACTTTGTTTTCCGCCAATTCTCGTGCATCTCATTCTCTAGTTTCTGATTTCTTCTCAACACTAGTTGATCAGCTTAAATAAAATTGATTTGTTTTTGGGAAAATTTCACAAACCAATCCCACAATTATCATCACAAAGTGTCACAAAAAGAAATGGCGGTAGGAAATTGAAATCGAAATTGAAAAATTGAGGTGGTCAAAGGTTAAAACACAACGCAAAAATTACGTTGACTCGAAAGCACCTGTCTTAAATTGAATTTCTGAATAACTGAATAACTTTGAGAACATCGGCTAATCAAAATTACATCAAGAACTACTTAATTTGCCTATAGAAAGGTGTATAAAACTGTAAAGCTTACCTGGATAAGTTAACAGTTCATTTGCAATAGAATAGAATTAAAAAGATACTTTATTCAACATGAATAAGTGGATACAACACAACGGAGGACACAATTTTTACCCCTACAATGTAGTTAAGAAAAAACCCAACTTAATGGGAAAAAGAACACACACTTGATTTCGCCAGCGGGATCGAACCCTGGATCTTCCGATTAGGAGAGAAGATTCCTAACCAGTCGGCCAACTGGTCAAGGTCAATTAGTTGATTGGTAGGGTTTTAAAAAAAATTCCCCTAGCTAGGAAAAAAGCTTTATTTTTCTAACATTGAATCTACTTGATTTGCTTGAGGACATCTTCAATTGTAAATCTTCAAGGGCTAACGGCAGAAAGCGTCAAGGATAACAAAAAATCTACCAAGTAGATAGATTGGATTACGGTAGCTTTTTTTGCTTTATAAAGCTTTAGATAGCAATCATTTAGCTTATAAAGCTTTAGATAGCAATCATTTATTAGGAGGTTCGGATATAAACAAGCGTTGCTAAACTTATTGTTGTGAGAGAAGCTTTTAAAAAATGTCTTTCTGTATTTAAAAATACGTTATCTTGTGCATATTTGGAATCTTTTTAAACGGATAATTTCTTATTTTTAAGATCTTTTTTTTCTTGCTTTAGATGATCGACTTCAAATACATCAGGTTCGCGTCTACTTTACTTAGCAATAAGCCTACTTTACGACTTCAAACTGGGCAAAACAGTCGCGGAATCCCATCGAGATTTGGTCAAAGCATTTGGGAATGATGTATTGTTCGAAAGCCGATGCCGAGCCTGATTCCAACGCTTTCGGAATGGTGATGAAAGGATGATGAACACTCTCGTCGACCTCAAGCGGTAGACAACGATATTTTGAGGGCTGCAATCGAATCGGATCCATGTCAAACGATGCGTGAACTTGCTCAACAGTTTCTATGTTCAAATTCTACTATTGATGACCATCTCCACACCATTGGAAAAACGATCAGATGCGGGAAATGGCTTCCTCAAGAGTTAAGCAGTGCAAACGCTCGTTTATATCCGAACAACCTAATAGCTTATAAAGCTTTAGATAGCAATCATTTAGCTTATAAAGCTTTAGATAGCAAATCATATCTACAGTAACCTAGCTAGTTTTTCAAGATTTTTGTCAAAACAATGGACAAATAACGAATTATCAATGCGCAAATGTGATTTTCACCAGATTTGCACGTTTACAAGTTCTCGGTATTCACGAAAAGTGAAAAGATGAGCAGCAATAAGCGCCTTTCCAATAGTCATCATCAAAAAGAAATAAGAAATTCCTCTAAATTTGAGAGAATCGTCGTGCTGAGGAGACGCTCAAATGGACAAGCCAAGCCCTAGAAATTTCGACTTTTCTTCAACAATTCTTACAAGTTACCTACTTTAGCATAGCTTACAAAGACACAAGAATCTCACATATAATCATACTCAAGACGAAGAAGAACAAACAAAATGACCACAAAAGAAGAGGGAATCTCATTGGTGTAGCCTGAACAAAATTTGAAAAATCAGATCCAGGTTTTTTGGAAATACACAATCTTAAGGAAAGTCAAGAGAAAAAAACTCTCAAGCCAGATTGCATTGTTCTCTCAATTTGGCTGCTTATTTAAGTAATGAAATGGTTTAACAAGATGTAGAATTTGTACCAAAAATACGGCGAAATTTAAGGCAAAAATTGTTCCTAACGTTTTGGACGTAGTTTTGGACGAAGACCGACGAAAATCGGCTCAGTCGCTCGTTCCTTCTGATTCTCAAAAAAGTCATTTCCCGGGATCAATATGAATCTGAAAAGAGAACAAGTCTTGTACCGCGATACTTTTATTATAACTATCAACTATTGAGCATTTCATTGGAAGTATTTCATTTCATTGACTGAATATTGACTATCTTACTAACAGAATGAATACTTATTGAAGTTAAGTAGAAGAAAAGAAAAGCATTGTCGTTGTCGAGATCGATCAACCGAAAGGTTCTATAAGAAAGTAAAGAAATGGATGGCAAAGGATTTGAAACTTAGGGGAATTGATCCCACGACTTTCTGTTACCAGGCAGATGCTCTACCACTGAGCTATTCGCCTTTGGTGCCCTAGAAGAAATAGGAAACACAAGGAAGGAAATACCCGGCCTTCAGAGTCTTCAGCTCCCACTCTACTTCAAAATCAGAACAAATCTGTAAGGCAACTTTGCGAATTAAACTAGAAAAGTTTTATATTCAAAAATTTTATATTCAAAGGATATTATATAAAAATGTATTCATTCAATTGTTATGGTTGATTTATTGAATAGACTCGACTCTTTCTCTGTGTCATTGACAATCGCCGTTGTCCCCATTGCTCTTGAAGTTGTCGGAAGTAGACGTTGCCTTGCGGGTTGTGTGGATCAATTGTCTGAAGGAATTTGCTAGCAATCGATTGAACTAATGTTTTACATAGAGTTTAAGGCTTTCAGTACTGAGAAGGCTTTCGGTACTGAATGTTTCCTTGATGTGAGTGATGTGTTTTTGTGAAAATTCCTTGATGTGAGTGATGTGTTTTCTAAAATGTCGACAATTTCCACAATTTCTACTATGCCAAATACAATTGAATGCACTAGAAAGTGTGTGTGTTTATGATTTTTGAGTTTAAAGTACAAAGCAAAGAGCGAATCTTTGCTCTTCACTCAAATCTTTGCGAATCTTTGCTAAAAAGTGGTTAATTTGAAAAACTACCGTAATCTTTCTTTCAGCTTTTCCTCTTTCTACTTAATTTTGAAAAGATTCGATGAGAAATCAAAAAATGATCGAATGATTTGAGAATTAATGGAGAAAATTTGAGGAAAAGATTTAAATAGCTCTTCAAAATAGTCGACTTTTAGAAAATGAATTGCTTTAAGAAAAAAACGAATTACTTCAGCTTACTGTAGTACTGTAACTCTTACTGTAAAGCTTACTGTAAAGCCTACTGTAAAGCTTACTGTAACGCTTACTGTAACGCTTGCTGTAACGCTTAATGTAACACTTACTATAAAGCTTACTGTAACGCTTACTGTAACCCTTACTATAACCCTTACTCTAACGCTTACTGTAACGCTTAATGTAATGCTTACTGTAACGCTTACTGTAACCCTTACTGTAAAGCTTACTGTAAAGCTTACTGTAACGCTTACTCTAACGCTTACTGTAGCGCTTACTGTAACGCTTAATGTAACGAATTACTGTAGTTCTCATTTAACGAATACTGTCCAATCGTAGTTTTAAGACTAAGATCGATTTCTGTCTCAACTTTTTCTAAAAACTTACCGCAATTTGCTTGTCGATCTTCATACAACTCATGCCTTTTGATGTAAAACTGAAAAAAAATCAATTGCTAAGAAGATTTGATATCTTTAACCCACCAAGCTTCACTTGTCATTTGTCGTAGAAATTGCTTGAAGATAAGCATCCATTTCTTGTCTATCAACAACGTGTGCAGAGACATTGATAGGTAGAATCTCAAGAAATAAAGTCGAGTTTTTTTTAGAGTATAAATTTACATGGTTAAAATGAAATCGAAAGTGGCTCCGAGAAGATTTTTCCACTTCCACGGGTGATCCCAGGCGTGAAAAAGGACGAAAAGTGGCGCTTCGATGGAGGCGAAACCGAGAATCCACCAAAGGGAACGGGAAGCGATCTGCAACAATTCAGATCTGGACCAGTCTTTCAATGCAACGTCACTTTTTAGATTTTCCTATTTCAAAACAGGTTTAGCTAATCGGTGCACCCTGAACTTGGCTGAGGCTGAAGCTAATAGGTGCACCCTGAACTTGGCAGCGGATAGAGCCGAGCTCTTTCAAGACAGTTTTTTCAGGCATAGATAAAGCGCGTCCAGATCTAGGCCCGGTCCTTCCTGGCCTTTGGTTTTCTACAAATTTCGTTCCTTTTTTGTTTAGCTTGGAATGGCTTTAGGTTTCGTTTGGCTTCAAATCTGAGCCAGAAAAATAGCTAGCTGGATCCGATAGAAGCCTGGATTTGGCTAACGAACCCAGGACCCAAGGTTGCCTATCGTTTCGCCCAAATCTACGCTCAAATTCTCAAATGCTAATTGAAAGGCATATGTTAAAATTTGTTAACCTCTTTGAATGAATAGATATAATTTCGTACGGAATGCGCCTAAAATTTCGCTTATCTTTTGAAGACTAGAAGCCATCGACAAGTGTGCGTTGGCTGAATAAAGCTTTACGTAACTCTGGGTTAACTTAATTGGGCTAACTTAATTAATGAAATGAATACCAGTTGAATCAACAACAAAAATATTCGCATACCAAGTTACAAATTAAATTCCAAAAATATCGTATTCCATGTCGCGTTTTAACTATCGGAATTTACAGTTAGAAATTAGGATTTAAAAATTTGGGTCAGCTCACAAGACAAGAAAAGAAATGATCAGCTTACAGGACTCAATTGGATCATCCCTGCATAGGAGTTAGCAAAAAAACTGCTATCTGGTATGAGCTAGCCATCTTCGGAGTAGAATGTGACCCTTTCTAGTAATGAACTTTCTAAAACATATCAATTTTCTGAAAGCTACCGTAATCTTCTTTATAGCAACGCAAATCTATCTTATTTTGCGCTGCTTAGGCTCATGCTTAGACTCATGCTTAGGCTCATGCTTAGACTCGTGCTTAGACCCATGCTTAGGCCCATGCTTGGGCTCGTGCTTAGACCCATGCTTAGGCTCATGCTTAGACTCGTGCTTAGGCCAGCTTAGACCGGCTTAGGCCATGCTAGACCGTGTAGGCCATGCTTAGACTCGTGTTAGACCCATGTTAGGCTCATGCTTAGACCGTGTAGGCCATGCTTAGACCGTGCTACCCATGCTAGGCCATGCAGACCGTGTAGGCCATGCAGACCGTGCTAGACCCATGCTTAGGCTCATGCAGACTCGTGCTTAGGCCATGCAGACCGTGCTAGACCCATGCTTAGGCTCATGCGACCGTAGGCCATGCTTAGACCGTTAGGCCATGCCTAGACCGTGCTAGACCCATGCTAGGCCATGCTTAGACTCGTGCTTGCCAGCTCGTAGGCCATGCTTAGACTCGTGCTTAGGCCATCGCTCGTGCTTAGCCCATGCTTAGGCCATGCAGACCGTGCTTAGGCTCATGCTTAGACTCGTGCTTAGGCTCATGCCTAGACTCGTGCTTAGACCCATGCTTAGGCTCATGCTTAGACTCGTGCTTAGGCTCATGCTTAGACTCGTGCTTAGGCTCATGCTTAGACTCGTGCTTAGACCCATGCTTAGGCCTATTCTTAGGCTCATGCTTAGACTCCTCCTCAGGCTACGAAACGATACGATAAAGTCGATAGATTGGTTATAAACTAGAGATGAAGAGCAGTTTAACTGTGATTGCTTTAAAAACAAACCGTCAAACACCGTATATTCTCATTGACTTGATATCTTCTCCCCAACGTATAGCGTATTTTTCGCCAATTTTCGTGCATTTCCTTTTCGACTTTTTTGTTATAATGAAGTACGTATTGAGCAAACTGAAATTTAAAAAATAAATTTGATTTGATTTGGATTTGATTTGATTTGATTTGATTTGATTTGATTTGATTATTTTCCATCGAAAACCCACCAGTCCAACCGCTATCACCGATGGAGCAGCCACCAAAATAAAGCTAACAATCGGTAGAACATCTAAAAGCTTTGTATTATCAAATTCATTTTTAGAAAAAAAAACTTACTGAATACAAAAATATATGCTAACGGTAGTACGATGATAAACTGAAGACTAGTGAAAAATAATGGCACAATCATGTATTTTTGCTTTTCGTAATATTCGGAGAAAATCGTGGCGATGAAGCGTTCGAATGGGAAAAGAACATAGGCAACTCAAAGTTCGTGTTTTTTTTCTAACTTATTTCTAGACTTTCTAGACCATTTTAACTTTCATTAGCATTCAGATTCTTGAGTATACTTTAGTTCATTTGAAAGCTCTTGAGATTCTCTATTTTTTGAGCTATAGATCATGTGAATCCGGCAGATTTGAAGCAAGTTAGAAGCGTTTACAGTGTGACAGTTCGTCATTTTTGTAGTGCCCATGTGAACATTTTGACCTAAGCTACAAACCACTGTAACTTTCTTTAGCATTGAAATTCTTGAGTGTACTTTAGTCGATTCAAAAGCTCTTGAGATTCTCTATTTTTTGAGCTATAGATCATGTGAATCCGGCAGATTTGAGACAAGCTAGAAGCGTTTTTAGTTTACGTTTGCTGTTTCCAGTGCCCATGTCTATACTGCTGTAAAATCATGGAAAAATGGAACTGGATTCTTGGTGAATTCTGCACTTCTAATAGCTTTTTCTTAAAATTCATGAAAAAACTATTTTCAAGGTTGGTGATTCGGTCACTTATGCTGATTTGGTGATCGCTGAGTATATGAATGTCCTTTTCCGAGAGCGGCCGAATGAATTGGATGCGTTTCTGGAGGTTTGAGAAAAAAATATAATAGCAAATGCGTCTAATAACCTATAGCACGTGCTAATTGTAAGTGCACAGTGCCATGCCATAGTTTTATACATGATTTTACAGCTATATAGAAATGGGCACTGGAAACTGCAAACGTAAACTAAAAACGCTTCTAGCTTGTCTCAAATCTGCCGGATTGACAGGCTCAAAAAGCTCAAAAACAGCCCACACTGCAAACGCTTCTAAATTGCTTCAAATCTGCCGGATTCACATGATCTATAGCTCAAAAATAGAGAATCTCAAGAGTTTTCAAACGAACTAAAGTACACTCAAGGATTTCAATGCTAAAGAAAGTTACAGTGGTTTGTAGCTTGAGGGCTGGGCTGGCCCTGGGCCCAGTGTTTCACATTACCCACGTGTCTATGTCATGAAATGCGATAGTTGCTACGAGCCAAGCCAAGGCTTGATTGCGCTAGAAAGGGCACAAAGTATAAAGAGGATCAAAGAAAGTCACTTCTAATCAAAAACTCACTAACAAAGCACCCAAGCGTGCACAGTTTTAGGTAAGTGACGATCACCAAGAAGAATGGGCAATAGTTGGCGCCTGAAAATGATCATTTGTCAAAGGATTTTAAAAAAAGTTCTACCAATTTCAAAGCCAGTCAATATCTGAAAATTGTACATGTAGATTATAAAACTCGTGAAATTCCATAGATAGATTCCGGGAAAGAAAATCGCAAAGAAGATGAGCGTGTTCCGGTAGAGAATCTGGAAAATTTCAATTGCTGACGAGTTCGCCTTTCTTGTCATCAATTTGGTGGTATAAGAAAGGAGTGATATACTGGAAAGCGGGCAAAGCATCTTTTCGGAGGTCTACGGGCAACAAATCAAAGAGATGCACTCAAAGTTGCAGGTTTTCAACCACGCCTTGGTCAATCGAAAAGGCCGAATGACAATCCTGCTGTAGGACAATCCTGCTGTAGGACAATCCTGCTGTAGGACAATCCTGCTGTAGGACAATCCTGCTGTAGGACAATCCTGCTGTAGGACAATCCTGCTGTAGGACAATCCTGCTGTAGGACAATCCTGCTGTAGGACAATCCTGCTGTAGGACAATCCTGCTCACGTCTCTGTGATGACACTCAATGATTCGGAATGATTGGATAAAGGCAAGACTCCAACTTCTTTTTCAAAAGAAGATTTCAAATTCTTCAGCAACCCAATTATTCTTGGCTCTAAAATTCTAAGAAACGAATTCTAAGAAACGAATTTCAGCCAATGAACCCTTTAAATCACACTCTTATAGTCAGCAAAAATAGAATTACTGCAATTTCAATTTCCCGTCAATTTTCGCATCCTAACTACAGTAGCTGCAAGTTTTCAAGAGCTTAAAAATTAATGCTTTTATAAATTTTATCACTTTCAGTCAGATTTGATTTAATCAAAGTTTTAGAAACCCAAATTTTCAAATTCAGGTTCATTTCGGGTTTAGCTTTGATTCAAAACCATATCCAGTAGTTGTCTTTTTGATTTTTATCATTTTAAAAAACCATCTTTCTGATTAAACAGCAAATATTAAACACCGCAATATTAAACACCGCAATATTAAACATCGCAATATTAAACACTGCAACTACTCATATCTATGAGTATTTGCGGTGTGTTTTCATTTCAACCAACTCTACATGTTAGCTTAAGAAAACAACAAAGTTTAAAGCTCAAAGGTCGAAAGCTTTGCTTTGGTCGAAAGATCTCTCTCGAAAGATCAAAAATAGGCAATTAGATGAATAATTTGAATTTGGAAACACTGACAAACCTTTTGCAAGATATAGGATGCAATCGGGAACCACAACAAGGCGATCAGTTGAATCAAAAAGTTTAGAGAATAGATCGAAATGATCAGTGCTGAGTTCTCGTCTTCCCACATTGAGGTAACATTCAGCATTGACAACAATGAGAAACCGTTCTCGCAATAGATTCGTGGATTCATGGGCTAGCAAAATTCAGCTTTTTTTTTTACAAGTGAACGAGTTGGGCAAAAATCTAGAAAGAAAATATGTGAACACGAAAGTTTCAGCCATTTCACATTGTTGGCCCATTTGTGCATCCTCTACCGGAACGCGAATTTCTTCAAGATGTTGGAGGGTCTCGGGGTTAATACTGACCATAAAAATTGGGTAATTAAACCGAGGAGGAGGTTTATCTAGAGCTATCTAGACGAGCCGTGTGCCAGATGCCACTTTTTCCTACGAGACACACAAAATGTACACACAGTCAACTATTAGGTTGATGCATAAGTCTTTTCGTTTTTTTCGTACTTCTGTTAAAAAGTAACAAATTCACGAATTAATCTATAGTTTGCTCTATAAAAAAAGTGTTTTTTTGTTCAATTTGCATCTTTTTAAATGAATTTCGGTTCACTTTCAAGCAAATTCGAGAGTGAAAAACGCCTTTTTCGTAAAAATCTATAAAAAACTCTACGGAAAAATTGGCTGAATGAATTTCTCTGAAATTTTGGCGAAATATCAAACGTTTTTTTCTCTATCTTTTATCTATTGACACGAAGATAGGTTTTCTTTAGCTAAGGTGTCTAAACCGCATCATCGAGTTAGCCCTTTTTGACTACCCGACTTCATACTCTCAAGAAAATCCAGGCATTCAATATTTTTAAACCCGTTTTAATGTTATTTTGCAGAAAAATAATTGCTTTTTCTAATGAAATCAACCGTAGTTTAATTCGTGCATTTGTTGGCTTGAAACGGCAGACGAAAAAAATGAAAAAGACTTTTGCATCAACCTAATACAATGCCAAAGATGGATCTTTCATTGTAAAAGATGAACCTTTCATTTAAAAGATAAAAGCTGAAGTAACTCTGTTAGACAATATTCTAACAAGATTACTGTAGTGAAACAAGAGAATTCAACTTTACACTATCTGTATGAAAAACTAATCAATCACGTACCAAGAGAAATTTACGCACTTTGATTTTCGATCACTAGTAAAACGAGTCAAAATTGGTCTCGAGAGACAGAAATTTCGCTTCTTTACAGAAATCAAAAAAATTAGTCATCAATTTTTAAAACATACATATAAAGTTAATTAAAAAATGAAGATTTTTAGACCTTGAGACACAAAAAATCAAAAATCGTCTGCGCGGGAAAGCAGGTGAAAGTGAAAAGGCCATTTTTGTATTAGGACTTGCATATTTGAGTGGATGGGAAACCCCACCGAAAAACGTTTAGCCCTACAATTTAGAAAACAATTTTTTTGTGAGAAAAGATTGCAAAGTATGGTTTAGAAAAAGGGGTGATTAAAGCAAAGCAGGAGAAAGTCCAATAACAATCTCACTAAATGAAGAAACCCGATAAGCAGTTCCCAGTCTATGATAGTTATCAGTAGTTTTGCAAGGTTATGGTAATCTTCAAGTAACAAAAGGTACGGTAACCCTGCAATGACTCCGGACCGGCAGCTTTCAAGAAACGTCAATCAAAAGTTACAGTAACCTCGTAGATACTGTACAGTTTCAAGTTTAAATCGTTGATGAACAATTTAAGACCTTTCGGCTCAGCGGTTCAGAGTTTTATGGAGAGAGATAATGAATAAAAGATGCAAAACAAGCAATTAACTCGTCTGAGCTCGGCCAAGAACCGAATCGGGCATTTTGTTCGGTCTACGGTTCGGCCTTTTCACTCAAATTTTCTGCTCCACTTTTCATAAAAATATTGAATGCAATAAGTGGGGCGATAAATTTAATTAACGTGTCAAATTATTCCAAGAATCGTGCACCCGTTTTTTTAAAAACATCGCAGAGCGACCATTCATTTGAACAAAAGAAAAGTACAAGAAAAAGAAAAAGTTAACAGAATTGCTGAAAAAAACAGCATTCGGGCAGAAAATGGGCAATTTAAGTGGTAAGTTGATTGAGGTGTGTGTGCGTTTTGATAGAGTCACGAGGAAATAGTCTTGATTCAAGCACGAGCATTGATTTTTAACTCGAAATGTTGGTTTTTGTGCATCCCCCTAGCGGGGACGGGTTCCAAAATGTTTTCGAGACACTGTTGGAAGGTCGCGGGGTTAATATTAGGTTGAGGAAAAAGCTCTGACTCAGCTGCGAAAAATTCAATTCTTATGCATTTTTTTTGCTGGTTTTTCGCGCTTATAGTGTTGTACCAATGTTGATCCTTGTATTCCAGATGAGCTTGCAAGAAAAAGGGCTTCGAGTTTTTTGAAACAGAAACATTTAAAGAAGTTGAAGAAGCTTGCCAAGAGTTCTTTGATTCGAGACCGAAGGAGTGGTACTTTGACTAGATCCGAAAGCTTGCAGATCGATGGCAGAAAGTCGCAGATAGTCATGGGTTAGACTTTGAGGAATAATTGTTGCTATTTTTGTTATTAAAGTGCGCATAAAAATTGAATTTTTCGCAGCTGAGTCAGGACTTTTTCCTCAACCTAGTACTAACCTCAAAACTTCCTATTTAATGCAGGACTTCTGACCATTGCAAAATTTGTTTTAAGAAGATTGGAGTAGAGTGCCGTAAGCTTTTTGCATTTTTGTGGATCGGTCTAGAGACTTGGAAATCAATTTTGACACAAAGAAACAGGGTAAATCGATTGCCTTTTGAATTTCCAGCTTTAGTTTCTTTATTCTCGGAGCTTTACAGTAGACAACTTACAAGATCAATATGTTGGGTAGAGAAATTTTTCTAAATTAGAGCTTTATAAACGACTTTGTGGACTTCTCAAAACAGAAATCCGTTCAAAAATTTCTCGAGACATTTAATGTGGATCCCACGGTTAGTCCTGCCCTCTAACTTGGGTAATTCAACCGAGTTTCGCGGTCTCTTTCTCCTTATCTATCCGTCGCCTGTGCCAGAAGGCGAGCGATTGTCCGAGCTCCCCTAAAGTACACCTCCCACACTCACAATTCACCGCCATTTCAACTAGAAGTTTTTCTAGACTAATTAGAATTCTCCAAAAGGAAACCAACTACTCAAAATCTCACAAACCTCACTTATCTGAAAACAACAAAATGATGCTGAGAATCAATTATCAATTTCCAGCACTAGGAGAGCCCGTATTTTTCAAGCTTTCAAAACAAGTGGACGATTTCTCGTGTGGTTCCGCGCCATTGTTTTTGCTGAAAATCAAGCGAAGATTTGGCACATTCTTTGATAAATCGCAATAAAAATGAAATCAAGTATCATTGCTCCAACTCATTTCCCCTCATTAGTTTATTTGTGCATCCCCTAGCGGGGACGCGTTCCAAAATTTTTTCGAGACACTGTTTGGAAGGTCTCGGGGTTAATGCTAACCTCAAACTTGGGTAACTAAACCGAAATATACGGTCTCTGTCGCCCTACCCGGACGGGCCGTGTGCCAGATGCCGCTTTTTCTTACGAGGCACACGAAAGGTACGCACAGTCGTGTCGTCTCGCGTCTTGAACTTGAAAAAGGCAAATTTTGCCGTACTAGTCAAGGCTTCTGGTTGTCAACACTCAGACTTGTTATCGGACTTACACTCCTGCTCTGACTTACAGATCTTATGATAAGTCCGTTTGTTCCATCCCTGTATCAAACCAATTCTCCACTTCAAGCTCCTCAATCCATGAAAATTTTGTCAAAACTTTATTGCAAGGTTTTGTCTTCTCATCTCGAGCGATAATTCATAAATTGAGATTTTCGATTGCATTTTTGAGGAAGACATCTTTGACGAATGCAAAATAGTGGCTCTTCGTTGATTCCATTGCGAGTGGAGTTGACGGAAGTGCTCGTTTTGTTGTTGTTCTTTTGCAATACCAGGCTGAAACTTAGCTTGTTAGTTGGACAAATCTCCTACAATAAGACAAGCCTTGTAAGCCTCGACCAAGGGAATATTCTTCTTCGAGTCAGTGGGAAGAATTCTAAAAGCATTTCTTAAAATTCTCCATATTTCTATATTCTACTTGGTCTTTTTCAGAAACAATTTCCATTGTTGCCGCCAAATTATTAACCAATTTTTGTTGATCATAAAAATCGAGGTGATCATTGATAAAATAAACCTAAAAGCGGTTTAAGAGCTAAATTGGTTTAAGATCTAATTTTTTAAATCAAAATCAAACATTGTGATGCACAGATCAAGAGTTGCTCCAATCAAATTCCTCCATTTTGACGTCATCTCCAAATTCGTCCACAAAATGAAGAGTGAAGCCATTACGATGACACAAATCATCATATACCAAAGGATACGAGAGATTATCTAAAAGATCAGAGATAATTTATAGCCTTAAACGTATCATTAGATCAGTTTTATCAGATTTGCAATTGCAAAACTATTGCAGACTGTGCGTACCATCCCTGTCTCTTTTAGGAAAAAGCGGCGTCTGGCACACGGCCCGCCCAGAGATAGCCGCCCAGAGACCACCCTGCCCGGTTTAATTACCCAAGTTTAAAGTTAGCGTGGCCGAGAAGAGGAAGGCCCTGCGGTCTATCCCGTTCGATCTGCCAAGTTAAACGACGTCGGCGCGGGATAATCGTGGGTTCCCCTCCGAGCGCCCCAGCCCTGCCATCGGAGTATCATCAGCTACGACGACTACACTTCTGCCCCAGTACCCCGCACGGCCTCCTTGCTCTCTTCCGGCATAGAGGGATCAAGCAAAGGCCGAGAGGCGATCCAATCTCGGGGCATCAGGATGCCATATGGACAATGGACCAAGGAACGGAAAAAAAAGTTTAAAGTTAGCATTAACCCCGCGACCCTCCAAGAATCTTGAAGGGATTTTGAAACTCGTCCCCAGTAGAGGTTGCAAAATGAACAGAAAATGATTTTCTGCTTATATACTTCGTTTTCATTTCAAATCAAAAATGAAACTTTCTTTTTACCCACTTTCAGACTGTGAATATTCTCATTGACTTGAAATCGTTTCCCCAAAGTGTAGCCGGTTTTTCGCCAATTCTTCTCCATTTCCCTTTCGAGCTTCTTATTATAGGAGAGAACCAGCTGGGCAACCTAAAGGATTTTAATTTAAGAATTTACATACTAAAGTAAACCGACAGGCTTTAGCAACACTAAAATTCGTTACCATAGTGAAGCTCTGTAGCCTTAGTGCGGTATATGGTTGACCAAAGTACTACAGACTATTACAGACAACAGTATATAATAGATAGAGAAATATAGTCACTGTAGACTATAGAACTTTAGCACTTTACTTTAGCTTTATTCTCACCAAGACAACCGATGTAACGGCGGGCATTCCTGCGATTACTATCGCATTATTTGAAACCACTTCTACAAGATTTCAGTTTAGAATAAAATTTTCAAAACTCACTAAAAGCAAATATATACCCAGCACTAATTGCTATCAAATATTCAACTAATGCGAAGAATAGAGGAACGAGAAGGAATCTTGGCTTCTCGTAGTTCGCCACAAACACCGTAGCCATGAGACGTTCAAAAGGGAACAAGAGGAAAGCTACTGAAATCGATCCGAGCTTTAAATCTATGTGTTGTGATTTAGTTTAGATTTCCGTCCGATTTAGATTACAGTCTAAATCGAACGTCTTATATAGATTGAACAATAATATAAACATGTTTAATATATGTTCTTAAGCGTTTTCTTTAGCTTTCTGCATTTTCAAAGGTCTTTTATTGATTATTTCATAGTTGGGTTTTCTTTTCAGAAAAAGACAGTAACAGACCTTTGAAAAATGCAGAAAACTACAGAAAACGCTTAAGAACATATATTAAGTAGGTTTATATTATTGTTCAATCTATATAAGATTTAGATTGAATCTAAATCGGACGTCCGATATAGACTGTAATCTAAATCGGACGTCCGCGATAAGTTCAATCTTAATCGGACGGAAATCTAAATCGGACACAACATATATATTTATAAAAATATTCAGATTCTAAAAGATATTCAGTTTTCTTCATTTTTATAAAACTCACATCCGCTACACACGAAAACCGTGAATTTTGAACAAGATGCGATGACGAGAAGCGAAGGATGATCGGTGGAAGCTGACAATGAGAAATGACAATGACAATCAATGGTTTTCATCAATTTTTGAAACCAACCAAGGCTTAATGTGGGTAAAATTTGAAACACGTGCAAATACATGAGAATATTCGTCGCAAACATCGCATATAAACCGGGAAATGTGATCCCGAAAAGGATCAGAAGGTTACGGTGGAGAACCTGGATGAAAAAAATGAATTGCAAAGTCAAGCTTTATACCGTCGATACAACGGAAACTTCTCTAAAGCTAACGTAGCTATTCGAGGTCGTTAGGGAGGGTTTTCTATAGGTAAAAATCTTTATACAACGTAGGAAAATGTAAAAAAAAAATGACTACGTCTATTTTCTTGCGAAATTAACGGTAGCTTTTGGCAGAATCTCGGAAGCAATCTCTTGTCTATTTACAGTAAACCCAAGTAATAACATTGAGACGAACGACTGATTCTGATTTTTGTATATGTTACGTCCGAATCTGAGGAGATTCATTCTCCTCCGAAGCGGACGTCCGACTCAGAGTCGGACGTCCATCTCTGAGTCTCCGTTTCAGAGGAGAATTGCCAAACCGTACGTATTACCAAATTATTTGTGAAGAAAAAAAAGTAAATTGAGAGAATTTCCATTTTAACTTCCTTTTTCATTTGTTTTGCTCAAAACATTGGATTTTGCATTTAAACTATTTGTTCTCAAGATCGGACGTCCGATTCCGAGAAGAATGATCATTCTCCTCCGAAGCGGACGTCCGACTCAGTCCATCTCTGAGTCGGACGTCCGTTTCAGAGGAGAATGAATCTCCTCAGATTCGAACGTCCGGATCGGAGATGGACATCTCCTCAGATTCGGACGTAACATATACATAGATTTAGACCTGGATTAGATCGGATCGAGTCGGGTGTGTAACCGATCCGATAGAACTTTTTATCGGACAAATCCGATGCGATATCAAAAATTTGCAAATGATACTTTAAATTCTTAAACCAATCTATTAAATCTATCTATTCTATCTACCAAATCTATTAAAGAATGCTATGAATTACCTTTTTCTCTTGTAAAAAGCAAGAAAGATAATTTGTTTTTTTTTTTGGTTTTGCAAACAAATCACACCTTAAACTTTCAGAGAAGTCAAGTGAGCTGCTTTTGATTTTGAAATCAAATTTAATAAATCTTCAAAACAAAACCTTTCTCATGAGAAAACACGCCACCGGGAAGACAAGTACCGCAACGAATAATAGGCTCAAATTTGTGTACACCAAAATGCACACAAAAAACCCATTTCCATCCGTTTTCATTGAAGACACATCGATGAAAGTCATAATTGAAAAGCCGTTCGGTAAAAGCATTTTGAAATTTTAGATTTTAGATTACAAATCGATTTTGCTAGCTTTCCTCTCTTTTTGGAGGGGAAAATCGTTTTTCTTTCTTTTTCTGAACAGGTGCTTAACTGTTTTTGCTATTTTGATTCACTCTGTTGCATTTTGATTTATTAACGCGAAGAAGGGAACAATTTTTGTAATTAATTACAGGAAATGGAGATTCTTTAAAGGTTTTAAAGTTTTCACTTTTTGTTAATCATAAAATGGATATTTCTGTCCTTCTGCAGGTTCCAATGGGGCGTGAATTTGCCTGAATCATTTAGGGGGAAAGCGTCATAGAAGTATTTTTGTGTCAAACGGAAAAATGTTATGTGAAAAGATTTATGCGAATTTCGGTGATGAATCCCATGCAAAAATGGGTGTCGATTTGAGAGTTATCGGATGAATTTTAAGGCGCTTTTCGGCGAGAGTTCAATCAAGCACAAACGCAAGGATTCTAGCGAAGTTGGAAACAATCTAATTGCAAGCTAGATATTTTGGTTTTCATTGAATATTCTTTAAAAGAATGACATGGATCAATAGCTAACAAAAGATGGGTAAACAAGGATCTGCTTTTATCAGCTTAAAACCAAACCAAGGCAAACCAAGCGCAGGCTCAAAGCCTTTTCCAACCGATTGTGAATGAAAAACTTGCTGAATTCGAGAATCTCGACTCAATCTTCGAATAGATGCGATTATTCTGCTTGCTAAGATACTCTTCAACAGAAAATATCTTTTCACCGCTGAACACGACATGAAGATGCCGGTTGTTTCCGAAACGTCTCAGCAGGGCCTTTGAGCGTGCTAATCGTTTAGCTTGTAGCTACCCACAAAAATTGGACTTCGTTCTGCTTGTAGGCGTTCAATTTCAGGTCGTCAACAATGATTCTTCAAAGAGAAGGTGGAGAGCCAATCTCCATTTTGTACACGGAACGACGACCGTTTTTGCGGACCCTGTTCCGAACTTTTTTGATCTTGTGATGTTTGTCCTTAGTTCCTTTTTGCCCTTAGTTCTGGCTGTGCGCTTCCGACCTCTTCCAATTCGATTCTCATTTGTTCCCAAGACTTTAAACCGTTGAATCGTTCGATAAACAACGATCTTGTTGATCTTCAGTCGCTTGGAGATGTCGGTCGCCGATGTTTCACTATGATCGACTCGCGATGAATAGTTTTTGCTGAACATTCCTAAAATTAGCAAATTTTCTGAGTAATAAAATCAAGTCTCTAGATCGATCCACAAAAATGTAAAAAGCTTACGGCACTCGGGATTCCCAAGCCGTCTCCGATCCAAGTACTAACCGAGCCCAACGTTGCTTAACTTGGCAGATCGGACGGGATGCCGTGTTTTCAACGTGGTATGGTCGTAAGCGGTTGTGCTGCTGTGAGAGACGGCTGAAATAGAAGGTCGCGAACACAAGAGAGAATCAGGGACACAAGACGCAGAGACAGAGACACAAGACAGACAGACGACTGTGCGTACCTTTCGTGTGCCTCGTAGGAAAAAGCGGCATCTGGCGCACGGCCCGTCCGGATAGCGCAACAGAGACCCCAATCTTCGGTTTAATTACCCAAGTTTGAGGTTAGCATTAGCCCCGAGACCTTCCAACAGTGTCTCGAAAAAATTTTGGAACGCCTCCTCGCTAGGGGATGCACAAATTAGCTAAAAATGTGAGATGAGCCATTTTTATCATGATTTCTCAAGAAATGTGTCAACTCTTCACTTCACTTTCAGTTAAACGGTGGCGCGGAACCACTCGGGAGATCGTCCACTATATGGTGGAGAAACTTTTGAAAAATACGACTTCTCCTAGTGCTGAGAATTGATTCCCAGCATCATTTTATTGTTTTCAGATGAGTGAGATTTCGAGTAGTAATTTTTTCCGTCTGATTTTCCTGATTGTCCTGATATACGCGTCCTGATTGATCCTAACACCAGCATCAACGAAAACAAGTTGTTTCCAAGACTTTAAACCTTTGAATCGTTCGATAAACAACGGTCTTGTTGATCTGTGAGCGATGGCTGAAATAGGCAGCACTTTGAAACTTTACTCGAATTTTTTAAAAAACAAATTTTGCAATGGTCAAAAGTTCTACATTAGATACGCTTAAAGTTGTTTGTTCGAGGGATTTCGTGAGCTGAAAAGAAAGCCGCAAACAAATGCCACTCCTTGACAGATCAATTTTTGAAGGGGAAAGAAGGGAAACGATTGAGTTACACAGAAAAATGACCATTCGTTCCGAGTCGCTTTTTTTCGTTCTTTGAGGAATGTCACCAAAGCTTTTAAGAAGCCACAAATTATTGATCGATTTTGGAGGATAGATAGTTTTTAAATTTCCTGACTTGTAAAGTATTTTAGTTTTTTTTGCTTTTCAAAGTTTTCTATGGCCTGCTGCTGAAAGGTATCTTTCTCAAATTGATTTAAGTTTCCAGTTCTCACTCTTTGCTTTAGCTGTTTTATCTTAAATAAGTCATTTTTTTGGGTAATTTATCTTGGCTTTCTCTTTTGAAATGGCAGCTCAATTCATTCGATCGAATCGTCTCACATCGGGTCTCCTTGCTGCTCTCGGAGCTGGATCGACCCTTTATGCTTTCACTCCACAAGTTTGTTACAAGTAGCTTGTTATTTTCGCAAAACTGGCACAACCTACAAAATCTAGAGTCCATATAATTTGGCTTTGGTACCTGCAAATCTAAAAAGAAGAGTTTACCAAGAATAGACCGGGTAAAACTCTGATTCCTGTTGTGCTGTTGAGGTATTCCTCCTGTACTCTATGACTTCACTCCATAAGTACGTTACAACTAACCTATTACATATTGCATAAATGATTTCTAAAAAGCTATTGTAATTCTCCCCAGAAAAGGCTACCGTAATCCATATGTTTTTGGTTTAAACAACTAAATCTACCCCAATCTAATCTATTTCTTAGGCCTACTAGTCGGTGAAAGTCATTGAGTAACAAGCAAGCTCACCTAGGCACCAATATACGGTAACTTTACTTGTGTAAACTTTACTATAACATTTTTGTCTAGTCTTTACTAGTGCAGTACCATTTAGAAAACAAATTCAAAACTAGAACATTACGAAACTCATCAAAAATGAGCCCTCTTCAGGCGGAAATGTTTTGGAAATGCGACAACAAAGCTGACTGTGAGACGGTAAAGAAAATCGAAGAGGCGTACAAAAAATTGAACGGACCTGAAGGAGAGAAATGCAAATCGTTGCTGAAGAAACATTTGACAAAAAATGTGATCGACGAGTTGAAGACGAAAAAGACAAAACTGGGCGCCACGTTGTATGATTGTATCCGATCGGGGGTCTATAATCTCGATGCCGGTGTCGGCGTTTATGCACCCGATGCTGAAGCTTATAAGGTAGGCTTGTAAATGGAAATGTTTTTTGGGAAAAGTTGACGCAAAGCTTTTAGCTTTGCTTTCGCTTAGCTTTCGAGATTTCCAGTTTTAAATTTAATAAACTTTAGGTATTCTCTGGCCTTTTCGACCCAATCATCGAAGAGTATCACGGCTTTAAACCAAATGAGAAACAGCCGCCAGTCGATCTCGGGGAAGGGAAAATTCGAGAATTCCCGCCACTTGACCCAAAAGGAAAATACATCAAATCGACAAGAATTCGGTGAATAACTTAATTGGTTGTTCGGATATAAAGCCGATGCCGAGCCTGATTCCAACGCTTTCGGAATGGTGATGAAAGTCTCGAAGATCATGAACACTCTCGTCGACCTCAAGCGGTAGACAATGATATTTTGAGGGCTGCAATCGAATCGAATTCATGTCAAACGACGCGTAAACTTGCTCAACAGTTTCTATGTTCAAATTCTACCATTGATGAGCATCTCGACGCCATTGGAAAGGCGATCAGATACGGGAAATGCCTTCCTCACGAGTTAAGCAGTGCAAACAATCAATGGTAGAATTTGAACATAGAAATTGTTGAGCAAGTTTACGCGTCGTTTGACATGGATCTGATTCGATTGTAGTCCTCAAAATATCGTTGCCTACCGCTTGAGGTCGACGAGAGTGTTCATGATTTTTTCAAGACTTTCATCACCATTCCGAAGGCGTTGGAATCAGGCTCGGCAACGGCTTTCGAACAATCAATCATTCCCAAATGCTTTGACCAAATCTCGATGAGATTCCGCGACTGTTTTGCCCAGTTTGAAGTCGTAAAGTAGGCAGACTTGATATGAGCAAGAGAAAAAGATCTTAAAAATAAGAAATTATCCGTTTAAAAAGATTCCAAATATACACAAGATAAAGTACTTTTAAATAAAGAAAGACATTTTTTAAAAGCTTCCCTCACAACAATAAGTTTAGTTTAGTAACGCTTGTTTATATCCGAATAATCTAATATAAATTATATGATAAATATGGAAATATTTATTATATAAAGAAAGCTTAAAAGCTCAACAATTGCTAGTTACTCCGACAAGCACCGTGATCTCTGATATCACCGAAAATACCAATTGTTGAGCTTCTAAGCTTTTATGTAGTTTCATAGGTTACCAAATTGCCGAACTTTAGGTGTGGTCGTTCATTGGCCGGTTATCCCTTCAATCCATGTTTGAAAGAGGACGATTATTTGGCGATGGAGGGAAAAGTGAAGAAAGCTTTCAGCACTTTTGATGGACAATTAAAGGTTTGATGAGCTTTAGGCACTTGGCTTATAGTAAAGGCTTATAGTAGAATAGGCTTATAGTAAGGAATATCAAAAAGGAAGGATGATCAAAACTGATTCCCCCGGGTCATCCCAGAAGAACCCAGAAGAACGAGGCCAGGTCATGGTAATTCAAGGCAGATCAGGCTAAAAATCAGTTCCGGATCTAACTTTAGCCAGGTTCAACTCATAGTCAGATCTCTTATATATAAAAGAGCAGTGTTTGTCTGTATGTCTGTCTGTATGGCTGTCTGTACGGGTATTTTCTCGGCCATATTTTGACCAATAAAGCTAAAACTTCTTTAGAAGATTTTGAATATATTGTAGTTGGGTCATTTAAACTTTGGCCATTTAAAAAATCAAAGTTTGATGATAGATATTAGCTGAATCTCTTTCAACTTTTATTTTTATTTATAGACATGCAACTTGTTCCTCGTTTAGGGTCAATACTATCCATTGGATGGGATGACGAAAGAAACACAGAATAAATTGATCGCCGATCATTTCCTCTTCAAAGAAGGCGATCGTCACTTGCAACACGCGAATGCCTGCAATTTTTGGCCAAAAGTTTGTAGAAAGTAACAGATTATCAAATTTGGATTATCAAATTCTAGGGTCGTGGCATTTTCCACAACAATGACAAGACGTTCTTGATTTGGGTGAACGAGGAGGATCATATGAGAATCATTTCGATGCAAGATGGAAGTGATGTTGGAACAGTTCTTGATAGACTTATCAAAGGGGTTAAGGTAAGCCAGTTACCTTGGCTTGATCTTGATGAACAAGTCAACTATACTATTCATACTGTAATTGCTCGCAGTGATACCGTAATCTTTAAACGACTGTTCGTTTCAGCACATCGAGAAACAAGTACCATTTTCTCGCGATGATCGCCTTGGCTGGTTGACGTTTTGCCCGACAAATCTTGGATCAACTGTTCGAGCGTCGGTTCACATCAAATTGCCGAAGATCTCCGCTCGAAAAGATTTCAAGGTAGAAAGTGATTGGGGAAATCTTAAAAGAGTGCGACAACAATAACCATTTGTGTGCTTGCTTTGGTGTCAAGAGTATCTGAAAGATTACATTTGATTGAACATTTCAGGATATCTGCGAGAAGTTGAATCTTCAAGTGCGCGGAATTCACGGTGAACACTCGGAATCAGAGGGAGGAGTGTACGATATTTCAAATAAGGTAAAACACATCGAGATTGCTCTAGAAATCAAATTTCAAGGCTCGTCTGGGTCTCTCCGAATACGAGGCAGTCAAACAAATGTACGATGGAGTGAAGAAATTGATTGAGATGGAGGAAAAGGAGTGATGAAAATGAGACGATTTTAATAGGATTTATTGGAAATTAGACTTGTAATTCATTCGGGTTTTAACAGTTTTAGAGTAATGAACAATAAAGTGAGCTTATTTTTTGTTGAACACAAATTATCTCGTTGTCACTGATGTACTTTGCGGGAGTGCACAATCGCGTGCCTTCTGGTACACGGGGCAGGTAGATACCGAGAAAGAGACCTTCATAGTTGGTTTAATTGCCCAAGTTAGAGTTTAGTATCAGCCCCAAGACGCGAGTAAAGTGTCTAAAGAAATTTTGGGACGGATTTCCCTTTTGGGAATTCCACAAATCCCAGCGATTCAATCACCTTGAATCTTTTTGGAAGCTCTAATCCAAAAGAAGCCCTCTACCTAACACATTGATTTTGTAAGTTGTCTACTGCAAAGCTCCAAGAATAAAGAAATTAAAGTTTGAAATTCAAAAAGCAATCGATTTACATCTATTTACTTTGTTAATTTGTACAAAAATGGATCCCCAGTTCTTTAGACTGATCTACAAAAATGTAAAAAGCTTACGGCACTCGGGATTCCCAAGCCGTCTCCGATCCAAGTACTAACCGAGCCCAACGTTGCTTAACTTGGCAGATCGGACGGGATGCCGTGTTTTCAACGTGGTATGGTCGTAAGCGAGTATGCGGCTCTGAGAGACGGCTGAAATAGAAGGTCGCGAACACGAGAGAGCATCAGCCCTCGCAGAGACGCGAGACGACATGACTGTGTGTACCTTTCGTGTGCGTCGTAGGGAAAAGCGGCATCTCGCACATGGCTAGTCCAGATAGCACGACAGAGACCTCACTCCTCGGTTTAATTACCCAAGTTTGAGGTTAGCATTAACCCCGAGACCTTCCAACAGTGTCTCTAAAAAATTTTGGAACGCGTCCCCGCTAGGGGATGCACAAATAAATCAGAAATGTGAAATAAGATTGGGCTACGATACTTTATTTCATTTTTATCGTAATACTCAGCTGTAGAGACAGCTGAAATAGGCGACCGCCGGCGAACTTTTTAACGAATTTTTTTCCTTTGCTATTTTTGCTTTCTGTTTTCATCTTGAGAAATTTTATTTGATACCATTTGGCGGCGACGAGCACATTTGGACGTAACTAGAATTTGATGGCTGAAGTTTTGTGTACTAAATAGCATTTGACATTTTTGATCGAAGCCTATGAGCCTGCTTCTCGGATACCGTAGATTAGACAAAAAGAATTTAAAATAAAAAATTAAGTGATAGAGTTTTGAAAAACAAAGGTAGAAAACAAAGAGTTTTGCTTGATTTACTTGTTTTCAACAGAAAGAGAGTCAATCTTTGCTTGATTGGCCTTTGTTTTTTTCTTCTTCTTCTTCTTCCAGATTCAACTAATCCCAAAACTGTTTACAATTTTTCGATCACATAACCTGAATAAACAACTTTCTTTGCAATAAATCTCAAATGGGCAAAAGAGAAATGAAATGAATGTTATCAGCTTATTTCATTTTGATTGCATTAGCTTTAAAAGAGAAAGCAACAAACCACAAATAAACATTTGGATTTGGCAAGAGATGGCAAGAGATTAGATCAGGAAATGAGCTTTATATAGAGCTCGTTATTGGTTGTTAAATTAGTGACACTTTGTATTGTTGTTCGCATTTACATTTGCGTTTTTAAACTGTTTTATGGTTGTTGTTAAATAGCTTTTTAGATATTCTTTAAATATGCTTTAAATATGCTTTTTAAATATGTTAAATAGCTGTTAAAAATAACATTGCATCTTTTAAAATCACGACTTTCTTCAACTAAGCAATTCATTTTAGTGGTAAGCGTTGTTGTAGTTTCCATTTTTAGACGCTGGCTCTTAAATGTCGCGAAGGGACTACGTGCTCTTCAACTAAGTAATCTATTTTAGTGGTAAGCGTTGTGCTGGTTGTGGCGACACAGCCGGGAACGTTAGTTCGGGTGGGTGGGGCAGTATTTCCCATAAAGCTTTTGCCAAATTGTAACGCATCGTTTTTCTTAGAATCTAATGTCATAGATTTCTTAATCAGTAATGCATTTTCGATTTAGTTTAACATCTAAATCACATCCAGTTTCAATTGAATCGATGAGATTCCTCATCGCACTTTATCTCGTCACTTTTCTTCGATTCACTTTCTCGATCAAATGTTGGATGGACAGTACCAATGGGAAGACTGTCTCCGAGCAAGTCATATTTTGAAAGTAAAACTAGACTTGATCAACAGCTTAAGTTAATTTAAAGTAGAAGATCTGTTGATCGCTTCACTCATCAAGCTTTTCCCTTTTCAGGCAATTCAACAATGTTGTGTATGTGGAAACTCTTGTGTATCGTTTCCCTCTAATGTCAGCTATATTTCTTGTTTATTTCAATTTCAAACAATCTTTAGGGTAAATACATTTGGAGTTGTGGATGTCTTGTGCAGAAGAGTGGGATAACAATGGACGCCTGTGAGGTGAGACGGACCAGATTCAATATCAAATCATTACTCTACAAAGTACTGCCTCAGTTAAATCAAATTGGAAAATTCGCTTTTTAAAACTAGTACCTCTAATAAATAATAGCTAAAATTTGTTTAGAATAGAGGCGATTTGAGGTTTGAATGTTGTACGGACGATCTCTGCAATACAATTCGAAAAGCTGATCGCGGAAGAGATGAGATCCCTTCTCTTTTGGCTCAAAGCTTTGCAAAAATGCTTCGTCATTAACTTCTTTTTATTTTCAAATGTGGCTTATTTATTTGTTTACTGATCTGATGTTGTTTTGTATATATTATTTAAATATAAATCAAAAATAAACAAATTTTGGTGTTCGAAAACGCTCCGCTTGGCCAACTGGGGTTTAGGAGAAATTTGTGAAAATGAAAATGTTCTCCACTTTCATTTTGAAGTCCCTCATATCCCTTTTTTCTTAAATTTACTCATTCTCTACAAGTTTCTCTCAAATCAAATCGTAACTCAAAACAAATCGTTCAAATCATGTTTTCTAAAATGTGCTCGTTAGCAAAGTCATTTTCTAAACACTCTTTTATTATTTTTTAAAGTTTTACTTCTTTTTTTTTTCTATCCTTATCGGAATTTTATAGTTTTAAACAAATATTTGTTTTTAAAAACAACAAACAAGGGAAGAAGATCGTCAATCCAACGAGAAAAGGACCACAAAATGCCAGGACATTTTCTGTATATTTTCGATATTTTAAAAATTTAAGTTAATTGCTTTCCTTTAGTGAAAGAACGTAAGAAAGAAGACGAAAAAAAAGACAAAATAAAAGAAACTTCAGGAGGCAGAGCAACAAAGAAAGAGAGGTCAGCATTTTTTAAATCCAAGAAAGCCTAATTAGCCTTCCTGATCGGATTCCATCTTTCTTTAGTCATCATAAACAAACCGAATAAGATCCAATCGCCAAAACGATCATCAAAACATCTCGTACGTTCTCGGAGAACTTTGAGTACATTCGCTTTGAAAGAACGAATTGTAGAAAAGTGATTGATGATTTCCAAGGAAGACATAAATACCTTGAAATTTACTTATAAGCTCTTGAGATTTCTCAACAAACCTTCCAAAAAAAGAAGCGGTGATGAGTAGAACAAGGTAAAGCTAGAGTTCGGCAAACAAAACTAAAACCAAAACAGACCAAAACCAAAACCAAAACAAAACCAAAACAAAACCAAAACTCAATTTGCATATAAAATAACATGTAAATTTCAAATTGTAAAATGCAAATTTTAAATTGTAAAATGCAAATTTTAATGGAAAATGCAAATTTGCCTTTCACTTTTTCTCACTCCCACAAAATCTCGCGGCCGAAAAAAGGACCAAAACACGACCTCGAAATTTCGAAACAAAAAATAGCCTATGGGATAGATTTTTGGACGCTGATGGCAAATCTGCAAACAGATTTTCGCTAGCTCCTCCCAGTCGCGAGATATTGGCGAGTTTTCGTTAGTTTTGGTTTTGGTTTTGGTTTTGGTTTGTTTTGGTTTTGGTCTGTTTTGGTTTTGGTGGTTTTGGTTTTGGTTAAGTTTTGTTTTCCGAAGTCTAGGTAAAGCACATAAAGTAAAGCACATAAAACTCTAGTGTAGCCAAAAGTGTTGGCTTTAAGCTTGCATAAAAATGCTGAAGGATTATCCAAATTTGTCTACTAAAATGTTATCAGGAAAAGCGATTTTAAAGAAGTTGCTTCTTATGAACGTTTATGAAATTCTTATGAAGTTGCTTCTTAACGTGAAAACAGTTAGCACATTTTGTCCTCTTTATTGTTTTAAGCACAATCCATTTTCCATAAACTTTATCCAATATTACTTTTTTTATTTTGTTAAATGGTGGGAAAATCTAGCATTTATAGCTTCTGTGCTGTGCGTGAGAGGGTACCGATGGGGCAATGATTATTAGAAATTTATTCCGAATATTTATCTATATACCAATATGGTTCCTATATGGTTCCAGGATGGTTCCAATATGGTTCCAGGATGGCTCCTTTGAGGAATTCGGTTCAAATATGGTTTCAATATGGTTCAAATATGGTTTCAATATGGTTCCAATAGGTTCCAATATGGTTCCAGGATGGCTCCTTTGAGGAATTCGGTTCCAATATGGTTCCAGGATGGCTCCTTTGAGGAATTCGGTTCAAATATGGTTTCAATATGGTTCAAATATGGTTTCAATATGGTTCCAATAGGTTCCAATATGGTTCCAGGATGGCTCCTTTGAGGAATTCGGTTCCAATATGGTTCCAGGATGGCTCCTTTGAGGAATTCGGTTCCAATATGGTTCCAGGATGGCTCCTTTGAGGAATTTGGTTCCAATATGGTTCCAGGATGGCTCCTTTGAGGAATTCGGTTCCAATATGGTTCCAGGATGGCTCCTTTGAGGAATTCGGTTCCAATATGGTTCCAATATGGTTCAAATATGGTTCAAATATGGTTCAATGATTGGAACCATATTGAAACCATATTTATTTAAATAAATATTAATATAATATAATGTATATAAATACATATAAATATTATATATACCCAACTTCAAATCCTCCTCGCAAACACTTTCCCTTTTCGGCAACAACTTCTTCAATATCCCTCTTCACATTTAACCGAAAGAAACTGTGCAGTGCGTGAGAGGGTACCGATGGGGCAATGATTATTAGATATTTATTCCGAATCTAGCACAATACTAATCTAGCGAGCAAATACAATAAAATAGAATCAATAGTTGGTTCAGTGTTTCAAAGCCAAAGAAAAGCAATACAAAGTCACAAAAACGATCTTTAGAGAAAGGACAAGAGAATCAGAGATTTTCAAAATCAAAACATCAAATAAGATTTCACAGAAAAGAGTTGCTTTTCTGCACAGCTTCCTTGTTGATTTTAGCTCAACTGAAACTGAAAAACCATTATTTTGAGGGGGTTTTTTTGAAGCAGAAAAATGAAATTCATACAATCACATCAATATTGGGTCGAATTCGAAAGAGTCGACGGAATTGGGGCAACAAAGTGTCTACTCAGCAGTTTGAAGAATGATTTCCCAAAAGTCCTCAATATCGGCGTTTTCGAAATGAGACCAATTGTGTATTGACGATAGGGTTGAGTCAAGAGAATCAACGAGATTGATCCCAATATACCGTGAGATCCCAGGAGAGCAAAGAAGAAATTGTTTAGGGCTGTTTAAAAATTCTTTACTAATTTTTAGGTTCATTTGAAAATTTAAGAAAACTTCTTGGGAAGCGAAATTTTAAAAATCTCTTTCAATTACACTTACATTGATAGATGAAATCTGGTTGTGAGATCAGAATACCGGCAAAGTAAAACCAAGGCCCACCAACTGACAGAGTGGGAATGACGTGCTGAAAGAGTTTTCAAATTCAAAACACTAAAATACTCGAAAATTCTGGTTCAACTGTTTTTTTTAATTCCCAATATGGTGAGGAACCATATTAGAACCATATTGGAATCTTATTGGAGCCATATTGCAACCATATTGGAATCTTATTGGAACCATATTGGAACCTTAATGGAACCTTATTGGAACCATATTAGAACCTATAGAACCATATTGGAACCATATTGGAACCTTACTGGAACCTTATTGGAACCATATTGGAACCATATTGGAACCATATTGGAACCTTATTGGAACCATCTAACCTCACCTGAATCCAAAGTGCCACAAAAAACTTCCTCTGTAGTTTCCTCGTTCTCTCGCTCATATGTGGACAACCATATTGAATCAGATTATAACACCAAGAGATGCATGTGTAAGTCTAGGGATTTCTTTATGAAATACTAATAGAAGAGCACTTACAGTACTAATTGAATGCAAAATAAATGCGAAAACTCCCACACAAAACAGGTGATTCGCAGTGAAATTGATGTACGGTGGGTAGAGAGGCTCGAGACGGCCCACATAGATATCGGAAATGTTTGCTAGATAAGAAAAAGTTGGATGAAGCTAAATATTTTCAATCTCAATTTAGCATATGTTTATTGTTAGCTTGCCTTCACTAGCTCTTTAAATTGAATGGTATCTGTGCCTTGAATCAGGGTTGCTAACTCTAAAGAGCCAGCTATCCAAATGGGATAAATGAAAAAGTGCGGTAACATGAAGATTGTTTTGCCAAAAAATTGAAATCTAAATTATTTTGAATTAATTATCGTTTAATTAAACGATTAAACTAACTTGAAACGACTCGATGCATCTAAAAGATTTTGAAGTTTTATAAAGAACAAATTAGTGATAGAGGCTATTGCTAGAACGACCAAGAAGCCACCAGCTGCCTGAATCTTTTTTTTAAAGTAAACAGAAGAAATCGGTATTTGATTTTAAAACTAATTGTTACCATAGCATTTTGAGCTCCAAGCTTGAAAACCGAATCCCAAATGCCAAAAACTCGGCCAGCAATCGCTGGGAAGTATATCTCTGGTTTAATGGAGATTAACACCAAATCGAGCGACATTGCGGAGATCTAGAGCTGATTTTTCTTTTGAAAAGTATTTTAATTTACAGTTACATTCACAGACGTTTACCGATTTAGAGATTTAAAGTTTACTTACATGAACACAAAATTTATTGGGTTGGTGAATTGAAAACTGCCGGTTATTGTCATATGTGACAGTTTGAGCACTTTCTTCAAAAGAAACCCATTTTGGTGTCAATGGAAAAGTTGTAGAGAGTCAAACATGAAGCTTATAGCCAAATTTCCAAAAAGATACACTTAGTAGTTCCGCTTAAAATTTGTGTGTTCTGTTTGTTCTTTGGGCGGCCACGTAATCGCTCGTCGTCTGGCGCAGGGCCTTTACATAACCCCCTTCCCTCTCCCTTGGCCAGGCGAGACTGAACCGATCCGAATCTTGACTTGGACATTGACTTCTCCCCAAATCAAGGCTAATCCCGATCTCTTGGGTTGGTGAATTGAAAACTGCGGGCTATTGTCATATGTGACAGTTTGAGCACGTTCTTCGAAAGAAACCCATTTTGGTGTCAATGGAAAAGTTGTAGAGAATCAAAAATCAAGCTTAAATCCAAATTTTCAGAACGATTCAAAAACTGGTTTTCAAGAAATGCCAAATTTACGAATTTTCACAAAACTTGCATTTTAAGCAAAACTACTAAGTGGATCTTTTTGAAAATTTGGCTATAAGCCTCATTTTTGATTCTCTACAACTTTTCTATTGACACCAAAATGGGTTTCTTTTGAAGAAAGTGCTCAAACTGGGTTGACAGCTAACATTCAGTCCTCAATTTTTGAGTCTCAAACTTGTCTCACACACAAACCAAAATCCTACTACGAAAGAGGAATCCGCAAATTGCCTGTAAAATGGGCAGGAGTCGTCAATAATAATGGAAATTATTTGGAATGAATTGATGCTTTTATGTTGAATAAATTTTAGTTCAAAGTCCCGCAGTTTTCACCAACCCAATAAAAGAGGAAATCTGTTAGAGAATTTACTTTTTATCTAAATAATAACTAATAACATGTTGCAAAACTGACTAGCTCTAAAATAAACAGCCTTAGTTGGGAACTTTTGGCGCATCCCCCATATAGTCCGGACCTCGCCCCTTCTGATTACTATTTATTCGGGACCATGAGTAATGAGCTTTCGGGAGAACACTTCGATCCGGAAGAAGCAGTCAAAAATTGGCTTTGAAAGTTTTTCATTTCAAAACCAAAATCCAACTACGAAAGAGGAATCCGCAAATTGCCTGTAAAATGGGCAGAAGCCGTCAATAATAATGGAAGCTATTTGGAATGAATTGATGCTTTTATGTTGAATCAATTTTAGTTCAAAGTCCCGCAGTTTTCAATTCACCAACCCAATAGATCTTTACAAGTTCGTGAATCATTTCGATAATCATTTCTACCATGTTAAGTTGTAATGGCTTGACCTAGCCCCAAAATACGTAGTTGTCAGTTGAATATCTTCTACCTCCTTACAACTTTATCCTTTAATTTATGACAATCTTAACAATCTCAATCTCAATTCAAATCAATAACACTAAAAACCTGAGCAAAAGCTAGTGGAGCCTTATATTCTTTCATCTCTGGCGGTGTCTTCTTCAAAATGCAATACAAAGTGTACGCATTGAGCGGAGTGCCGACGAGAGAGATCACAATTCCACAGAACAAGTAAACGGTTGGCACTTGAAACATCACAACTTTTCAAAATACTCAGTGATTGAGCACAAATTGTTTGAGAAAGTTATTAACTTTATAGAGTTATTTGAGAAAGTTATTAACTTGCGTTTGTCGGTGATCTTTCCTCGCCCACACCTCGTCCACACCTGTACACTCTTTTTTTCACCTGTTTCCCGGTTTCGTGATTTAAAGGAAAAATCTATTAACGAATAACGAGGAACAATTGTAAAATGCAACCACACAAACTAGAATTTGTCTGATCATGACTCATGAAAGATAAAACTTGCTTGAAGTTATCGAATGTTTTGAAAATCATTTTGCATTCTGAAAATCATTGCTAATTTGTTTATGTTTTTCTCTTAGTTGTTCACCTGAACACTGTGATTTCCGAGCCATGTGTGAGTAGAGATGAATTTTCAAGTGGAAAAATGTATGCTTGACACTGACATCTCGGGTAACTTCTTTACCGCAAATCTAAAGCAAATCCTTAAAAGAAATGCCATTAATTTCGTCTGACACTTGTAAAATGTCTTATCGTTTCATCACTGAACGCAAAATTCAATAGAAAATTATATTTATGTTGACTGAATATCTATTGGGTTGGTGGGTATGACTTGGCACGTTTTTTTTCAAATTAAACCCAGAGATGTACACAAAATTGTGCGAGAGGGATTTGTGGAAAATAGGTAAGTGAGCATTCAATCTTGCGAAAACAATGCACTTTCGTTTTCGACATATTTGGTTTTTGAAATTTTACTTTACCTTGTTCTAACTATTGAAAATCTATCACCTGGAGATCTGCGACACGTGATGTTGTATTTCTACAGGGACACAAGGGCCTCTAATGCTCGACTAATATTGCGAATGTTTAGGTGGAAGGATCAGCTCCACTACGGACATGTGCAAACTGGTTTGTTAAATTCTGTTCTAGGGATGAATCTTTGAAGACAAATAGAGGGATCATCCAGCACTCCAGCTGGATAATGCCAAGTTCCACGGAATTTTTCAAACCAATAAAAGGCTTTCTTTTCGCAAAATAGCAGAAGAGTTATCAGTTGATCATATAAAATGACATTTAAAAGAAAATTCAAACAGCGCCTCCGCTCAAGAAAAAGCCATTTTTTCACAAAAGCTACAAACTGTGATCTAGAAAAAACCATTGGTGGGATCTTCCTGCAAATTTGGCAACTTAAGTAATTGAATGTGCTCTATCTTTTTTATATAAACACCAAAGAAGGTTTATGTGAAAGAAACTGTTCAAATGATGAGTCGGACTCTTTGCCATTTTAACCAGCTGCGTTTCGAAGTTCATAAACTCCACGAAAGAAAAGCTTTGTGGAATCTCTCAAAAGTGATTTTGTAGAGAAATAGTGGATCCTTTTGATGAAACCAAACGTATGTTTAAAGAAGGCTTTATGTGTGCCAAAAGTCCCTTTAAAGTTTGGCGCCGACTCATTCTCCCCAACCCAATACAATAATACTCGAACATTGCATACACTTGGGTTCAAAACCTATTCGGGATTTGGATTTCACATGATTTAACGGACACCTAGAAATGGCGACGTGTCAGAAATCAATGCCACTCATCTTTCTTGATACGAGCGCAATGTTTTTATTCCGTATTGGGACGGGGGATGGAAATGGATTCTAACTGTCAACTGCCGGAGAAGGCGCCAATTGGTTGTTGAGGGGGAAAAGCCCGAACCCAACGTCAAGCCAAATGTGCATGAGAAGAAGTTTATGCTCTCAATGCTCTGGGATTTTGAAGAGCCTTTCTACCAGGAACTTTTGGATAGCAAGACAACACTCAACTTAACCAAATACTCGGAGTAACTTGACAAGTCAGCCTAATCTTTGCCAGAGAAAAGACCCTAAGGAAAAAAATCATTTTTCAACATGATAATGCTAGACCGGATGTTTCGAAGATGACTCGTTTTACACTAAATTCACTCGAATGGGAAGTGATGGTCCATCCGGCATACAGCCCTAATCTTGCACCTTCTGATTACTACTTATTCCAGGTGATGGGCAATGATTTAGCGAACAACAGCACTTTGATTCTGAAGAAGAGGTCAAAAAATAGCTGACAGATTGGTTTGCGTGAAAACCGAAGATTTTCTACAAGAGAGGCATTTGACTTTTACCAGTAAAGTAGGCATAAATCATACAAAATAATGCAAATATCACGGATGATTTCAAGTTGTTAATTGAAGAAAACTTTATTTCAAAAAGCGTGCCAAGTCATACCCACCAATCGAATTCTTCAAAAAAATGAAATAAAGAAATAAATGTTTAAATTGTTTTCTATGTTGATATAGTCAAGCTTCAGGATTAACTACAAGGAATAGAGTTATGTAGTTGAGGCCAATATTAGAGTATTAGATCCAGTCTTTTTATTTCAATGCATTTCAAATCATTTTTACCTAAAACACAAGGGTCGCCTGATGATAGAAGTGAGTTTAAAACATCATACAAGATATCTATGAAAGCATCATACAAGATATCTATGAAAACATTATACAAGATATCTATCAAAACATCATACAAGATACAATCTAGTGGAGATCAAATTCATCCCAAAACTTTTACCTAGATGATCATCAACTTATTGATGGCTCTATTCTCGCTGTAACTTCACCACTCAGATAACTCAGTTTTAAGAGCCTTTAAAAGTTTGAAATTGCAAAATGCAAAGCGCAAAATCGTTTGGTGGAAATGGGCCCAGATTTACTTTCTGCTGCATCTTTTTGCGTCAGATTAGAACTGTAAATGCTTAAAATTTCAAAGCTACTACTTCAGAAAGACCAAGCTTTTCAAACTTGCTTTTAGAATTTAAGTTTTTGGTTACATAAAAGAAATGGTTGTAGAAGCAATAAGCACAAAGATTTCGTTGAAGACATCGACCTTTTAGCAGAGCACGAAATTCATTAAAAGTTTGACAAGCTTGATTCTTTTTATAGTTTGAAGAACTTCAACTTCAAGAATTTACCAAACACAATCTATCATTTGTGAATTTTAGATTCCGAAAAACAAAACGAGAACATGGGAAAAGGCGTTTCAAGTCGAGTTTCGGGGCTTCAAAGGCACTCACTATAGGGCCGAAGCACGACTATTAGGCATTAGTTCGCTTTCGGCAACAAATATTACTCAATCAAAAAAAGAGGGTTTTGATATGGATTTTACTGAAAATTGAATGATTACATGAATTGGTTGATGGAGCTTTTGGTATACTTCTTTTGGCTTGGGAAAAGGCGTTTCAAGTCGAGTTTCGGGGCTTCAAAGTGCACTTCACTATATGGAGCCGAAGCTATCGACTATTGGAGCAATTAGTTTCATCTTTTTTCGGCAACAAATATTACTTCAATCAAAAAAAAAGAGTGGATTTAATATGGATTTTTATTGAAAATTGCATGAATTGGTTGAAATGAGTTCATTTAAAATGAAGAAAAACAAAGGAATCGTTTTTTTTTGCTCATCTTTCGAGATGTTTAAGTTAAGAAAGAGTATCGATGGAATCATTTTGTTACTTTTTATTACATTGTTAAACATATTAGGCCGTTCCACAGAGTCCAGAGATGGCTGTGCTCGTCTGACATGGGCTACCAGATGGGCATTTGGTACATGTGGTACCTTGGGCATAAGCCTTTTGTCCAATGTAGTTTCCCCTGAAAAGTATTTCATGTAAAGATTATTGAAAGGTCTATTTAGCTTAGCGATGCAACTTAAATCAACTTTTTCTAACTGTTTAATAAACTCACTGTCGGTAGTATTGACAGACGACATTGGTGTAGCTTGTGAAGCCGGATGGTCCATTCTTGCACAAGGCATACCCACATCCCACCGTTTTTGTGGTCGCCCAGGCCATCTGGAAAGGGCCATCGTTGGCGAATTATTATTCAAATGTGTTAGTGCCTAGATATAAATAATTTGCCTTCACTCACTTGCGTGGCATGTCCAGTTTTGCTTGAGAAAGTGTATCCCTGTGGCCCATAGTTGTAGAACTCGTCAGCCCATGCTTTACTAGCAGCAGCTCCTCAAAAGTTATAAGGGTACAAGAAACGTGTGACTCGTTTAGTTCTCAAGTATAGGTACCCAATCCAGTGACGACACTCGATGAAGTGACATAAAGATTCTCGCCGACTCCAGGCGTGCCCGAGTGCGTCAGGAAGATGCATTTTGCAGCATAGTTCGAGGCACTCGTGCCCAACGTTGTGTTCCATTGCTGAAATGGTCTATTCATTTGTGAATAGACCATTTGAATAACCACAAATGGTCTATTCATTTGTGAATTTTAAGCGTAGATTCCGTAAAACACAATGAGAGCTTGGGAAAAGGGGTTTCAAGTCGAGCTTCGCGGCTTCAAAGTAGCTTCTATAGTCTACTTCACCCAAGCTGTCGACTATTGGGGCACTTCTCAAGGTCAAAACTAGAGATAAAACCATTTTGGCGTTTCAAGTCGAGTCTCGCGGCTTCAAAGTGCACTTCACTATATGGAGCCCAAGCTATCGACTATTGGTGCAATTTTCAAGGTCAAAACTCAAGCCAAAACCATTTTTAACCACTCAATATTTGTTTTCTAACTTAAATTGATTAATAGAGGCAGAGCAAATTGAAAAAATATTTTTGAGATTTTGACTCATGTGGGGGACCACATGGTCAAAAGCTTAAAAAAAAAATTTTAATTTTGCTCCAATTTGATCAGAAACGTAATCTTTCAGTCAATTTAAATTATAAAATGAAGATTTTGTGGCTAAAAATGGTTTTACCTCTAGTTTTGACCTTGAGAAGTGCCCCAATAGTCGACAGCTTGGATGAAGTACACTATAGAAGCTACTTTGAAGCCCCGAAACTCGACTTGAAACGCCTTTTCCGAAGCTCACGTTGTGTTTTTCGGAATCTACGCACAAAACTACCCCAGAAAAGTGGTTTTGAAAAAAATCTGCCCATAAACTTGAAGAATGATTTTTGAAATCCCATACAAAACTTTGCATGCTTTGAACTTTTGATAGAGTGCTATTTTGCAAAAACGAAAAGCGAATTTGGATTCAGCGTGAAATTCTGCGTCGAATGGTCTATGGGTTATGTCATTTGTTTGACCACATCACCCTTTGATGAGCTACTACTAAATCTGGATCGACTCTCCATGCAGCCTCTTCCATCTTTCCCACCATGGTTTGCATGTTGGTGGCTGCGGCGAAAACTGTGCCATCCTTTGCTTTGTATGTGCCTTTGGCCAGCTGAGAGCGGAACGAGTTGTGGTACTGTAGAAGTTGGTGGATGTGAGTGAATGAAAGGCACTCACGTTTACGATGGCGGCGATCTGGTCACTGGGAAAGAGGGTGGCCGAGGTGGCTGAAGCTCTCTTATTACTGTCTACCTTTTATAAGTTTCTTTTTCTGTTGAACTAGCTTTTGACAACTGGCTATGCTTGGCAATAAGGTAATAAACACAAATTCTTTTGGTATTTGTGAGAACTTTTGATCACAATTTACATTTGAAAATAAACATTTGCATTTAGATTTATTAAAATTAAAAAAAGAATAAAAGAATTTAATAATAACCTCCGCAAAAGGCCAACAAAATGATGAGCTTCATTTTAGAGCCAACAAAATGATGAGCCCAAGCATGGCCTGGATCTTTTTATAGCCAAATTTGTGCTCATGATCACCTTTTTGTTTGTTTGCATTTTTAGAATAGATCTTTTTATTGCATAGCGGATGAAATCATAAAGTCATGTGATGAGGAAAGCTGTGTCAACTTGCACCACCCATCCCCACTCACATTTTTTTTTGGGATTCAAGTGAAGAATGCAATGGAAAAGTTTTCAGAAAGATGAAATACGGAGATCGATCTCAAAATACGCTGCGGTCAGACGACAAATAAAGCGTGGAATTTAGGGCGAAAAGTCATAAGAAGCCAAACTAGAATTGATATTTTTTTTTTTGGCTAGAATCAAGTACATCTTTTATCAAATATACATCTCTGTATTTTGATTTGACGTTGCTAAAGTTAAATTATACAGTTTATTTATTACAAAGCATGATTGGCATTTATTGCATTATTTATTACAAGCCAATTGGCAAAGAAAGTTCGAAGAAGTTCAACATTGAATAGTCGAATAATTGACTGATTGATCGGTAGCTCGAGAATGGATTAACACTAAAATGAAAAATTTTGGTAACTTGTATAGATAGTTATCATGTCTATTCAAAAACGAATAAAATGGATATTTTTGTACTTTAAAATTCTGTAAGATAAAAATTTTGTTTCTGTACTTTCTGTAAAATGGACAGAATTTCCACAATTTCTGCAGGTTTCAATGTGGCAACAAGTAAAAAGATGTACTTTGGAGAGGAGGACAATCGCGCGCTTTCTGGCAAACGGGGCAGATAGATGCCGAGAAAGAGACTTTCTAAATTGGTTTAATTACCCAAGTTAGAGGTTAGTGTAAACCACGAGATCCCCATTAAATGTCTCGAGAAAATTTTGGAACGAATTTCCCTTTTTGGGAAGTTCACAAATCATGAAATTCGTCAGCATTTAAAATTCACTTTTGAATTTTAAAATTTTGAAAACGACCCTTTTTGAAGCTCTAATATGAAGGATAGAGACATTGATCTTGCACTTTATATACTGTAAAGCTCCGAGAATAAAGAAACTAAAGTCGGGAGCTATCGGCAAAAATGCAAGAAGCTTTACTCGGGAGTCCCAAGCCGTCTCCGATCCAAGTACTAACCGAGCCCAACGTTGCTTCACTTCGCAGATCGGACGGGATGTCGTGTTTTCAACGTGGTATGGTCGTCAGCGAAATAGGCGGACGCCAGCGAACACGAGAGAGCATCAGCCCTCATAGAGACACGACGGTGCGTACCTTCGTGTGTGTCGTAGGAAAAAGCGGCACCTAGCACACGGCTCTTCGTGATACCGCGACGGCGATCTCGAACTTCGGTTTAATTACCCAAGTTTGAGGTTAGCATTAACCCCGAGACCTTCCAACAGTGTCTGGAAAAAATTTTGGAAACCGTCCCCGCTAGAGGATGCAAAAATAAACTAAATATGAGTGGGACTTATCAAAGAATGTGCCAACTCTTCGCTTCATTTTCAGTAAAACAATGGCCCGGGAATTGCTGGAAATTGATTATTGAAATGCTCCTAGTGCTGGAAATTGATAATTGATTCATTTTATTGTTTTCAAATGAGTGAGATTTTGAGTAGTTGGTTTCATTTTGGAGAATTTCGGAACTTCTAGTTGAAATGGCGGTGAAATGTGAGTTGAGGGTGTACTTTTCATCTGGAATACAAGGATCAACATTGGTAAAACACTATAAGTTCGAAAAACCAGCAAAAAAAACAGAAAGCAAAAATAGCAAAGGCAACAAATTCGTTAACTAATTTTCGCTGGCGGTCGCCTATTTTAGCTGTCTCTACAGCTGAATAATAGGATAAAAATGAAATAAAGTATCGTAGCCTCATCTTATTTCACATTTTTGCTTTATTCGTGCATCCCATAGCGGGGACGCGTTCCAAAATTTTTTCGAGACACTTTTGGAAGGTCTCGGGGTTAATGCTAACCTCAAACTTGGGTAATTAAACCGCAGCTTGAAGTCGGCGTCGCGCTATCTGGACGAGCCCCGTGCCAGATGCCGCTTTTTCCCACGAGGCACACGAAAGGTACACACAGTCGTGCCGTCTCGCGTCTCTGCGAGGGCTGATGCTCTCTCGTGTGCGCTGGCGTCCGCCTATTTCCCTGACGACCATACCACGTTGAAAACACGGCATCACGGTGAAAACACGGTTTAGAGCGCAAAAAAAGTCTTGCACCATCGTTTTATTCTGTTGTAAACTTTTTCTTTTTGTTTTCTGACTTTCAGCAAGTCAAGTTTTTAGAAAAGTCAGCAAGTCAGCAAGCAAGTTGTTTTTTGTGCATTAATTTATTTTTTAGATGCCCTGCGAGCGATATCTGGACACTCCGACTAAGGAAAACATTGTCAAAGCCCGTCAAGGAGGGATCAAAGTGAAGGCCATTTGTGATCTCTTTATCGTTGATCGCTCTACCGTCTCCAGGCTTTGTAAACGACAAAAACTAGAGGGAAATGTGCAACGCCATTCAAAAAGTGGTTGACCACCTAAAACAACAATCAGACAGGACCGTTCATTGATCGGGATGTTCTTAAAGGATCCAAACAGGTCGAGTACCGACGTTGCCAAGTTGCTTCAATCTTGTTTTGGGCTTGAAATAACCGCTCAAACAATTCGAAACCAGCTCAAATCGGTTCGATTGTTTGCTCGACGACCAGCACGAAAGCCTCTAATGGTTTTGAGACATCGGCGATTGAGATTGGCCTTCGCAAAGACGTACAAACATTGGACGGTCGACGTTTGGAAGAAGGTACTATGGAGTGACGAGACGAAGATCAACGAAGATCAACTTTGGACGTCCAGAATAGAAGTTAAAGCAAATTATTGTATTCATCGTCAGATGGTGCTTAAAAGTCTAAAATATACACAAATTATCAACTATTAACGCCTAAAAAAATAAAAATTGACATGAAAAATGATTTTGCAGTTAAAAAGAGAGCGAATACGCGACGCAACCTGGTGAGTCAGTAGGAAAGCAACGTAGCGTCAAAAATTATCATTTAACAAAAACAAATTAACATTTAACTTTAAGACAGACATTCAAAGTGACGTCACAGATTGAATCGAATCGAAACAAGGTTAATTTTAACCTTGTTAACCCTTTTAACCTAACAAGGTTAATTATAACCTTGTTTTCAAAGCCTTTCGAGAAATTTGGGTTTGTTTTGAATCAAAAACTCTTTCGCTAAATCTGTTCTTTTTCTTGGCTAAACATTGGAGTTTATTCAATAAAACTAAGAAAAATGAAGATAAAAGTAATCGAAATCGTAAATCGAAAAGTATGATCAAGTCACATGAGAAATGAGCATTTGTGCGCCACGCAACGAGGCCACCGATCTTGGCCGCTCGTTTCTCGCCGATTCCCAAGATGCCACAGATCTCTCGTTTGGTAAACGGCTACACCAAAAGAGTCCCTTCATTGCTTGAAGTGTCTAAAAAGGTTTCTTCACTCCAACAATATCGAATTTGCAAACTTTAGCAAACTAACAATAACTTCTTATCTGTTCGAAATGGCCTTGTGTGTACCGACAACGTTTCTTATGTTCAGTCTCAATTAGACACAAGGTTTTAACAGTTTTAACAACTAGCAACTTTCAAAACAAATAACCCTCACCATCGGAAAACAAATGAGAATGGCGATTGTAGCTAAGACTCCGTAGCCAGTCGCTTGAAATTTGTTTGCAAGAAAATAAAGGCTCATGTTGAGAGGCGGAAGATTCAGAGTCGGGAAGAAATTCATCAAATACCAGTACACCGTGAAGCTCACGTAGATGTATTTTGCTAAAAAGACTTCTTTTGATTCCCAAAAAAGAACACTCACGCAAAAGAATAACAATTTGAGTGATGACGATTCGTTTTGTGGTCGATGTCCACAAATGTTTCCTTTTCAAATTGGCCGGCGTTTTCATTCTGTAAGTGAACAGTAATGCTTTACTAACTGAATCGGGACTTGTTCTTGGGAGTAAATTTTACATTTCTTTAATCTGATTTTGGTCTTTGGTCTGTCCTTTGGTCTGAGCATCGCTTTAGCTTGGCTCAGTTGGACCTCCAAATGGATTGAACCGACACGACTGATCTGATATCCAGGGTTCGTCATAATTATGGACCTGGGGGTGTCAACTTTATCTGTGACCATTCGGTCCCATCTATTGTTATTTTATATCTTTTGCTTTTTTCATGTTTACCCTTGTTATTTGATATAATTTCTAAGATTATATAGTGTTTTTTTAGAGATTGTCAAGCCGAGTATTTATCGGAACTCGATCATAGCGTTGCATCAATGGGGGCTTTTTGACACGTGAAATTTCTCAAAATTTCGGAGTTTCTACGCGACTCGTGAATAAGACAATTAAATGCTTCAAGGAATTGGAAAAAAATGCTGATAGAAGTGGTCGAGGAAAACGGCGTCCCGTAGGGATTCAGGCCAACATCAAAAAAGTGCGAGAGGTTGCGTCGTAACCCGGAACGACCATGTCACGCCAAATAGGAATTTCTGAGCCTTCTTTTCGCCGAACTCAAGATGAAAGCTTTCAAAAAGAACAAATGTTAAGGACTCACCAAAGCTGTTAAAAAAAAAGAACGATGTGAGGGCCTTCTCAGGCGATTCAACCAACGCAGCTGTCGTGATATTTTGTTCTCAGATGAAAAATTATTCAACGTTGGACAAGTGCTAAACAAGTAGAATGACCGAATTTATGCCATTTCGAACCCACAAAAATCGCGCGTTATTCATCCAGCTTCAGTCATGGTGTGGGCAAGGATCACGGTGGATGGAAAGACTCCTCTTGTCTTCGTGTTATCAAGAGTCAAGCTCAACAGTCAAGCATATTTACGACAAGACGTTTTTCCCTGGACTCAATCTTATTTTGGACAACGTAGCTGGGTATTTCAGCACAATAGAGTATCGGCTCACAAGTCTCGAATGGTTCAGGATTGGTGTGAGCAGAACCTACCCG